TAAATCCCTTAGTGTAATCTATATACTTATACTAATTAGTAATCTTATTTTTTATATAATAATAAGTAATATACTATTTCTCTTTTACTTATAGGATATAGATTACTATAGCGTAAAATTTAATAACCTTACTAACTAGCTTATTAAGGACAAGATTATTATGCCTATTACCTAAAAATAAGGCTACGTATAGATACTTTTAGAGCTACCTAAAAGTACTATTATAAAGTAACACTTAACTAATAGTAAATTACACTAGATTTACTATAGACTTAGCTACTTATTAGTAAATTACCTCTATAAGCTACTTAAATAAGTAAGTAAATTAACCTCCCTTACTACACTTAAAGAGATTAATAAATACTACTATTACTACTAACTTAACGTAAAGGCGCTTAGTTACTTTAAGTTTATACTATATAATAACTATAAATTTAACTATAAAATTATTATTAACGTAATATATTTAGAGGGTAATAAGTCTATACTTTATATAGTTAACTTAGTTATAGCGTTTAATATAGTAAGATTCTTATGTTTAATTACTATAGAACACACTTAGGAGGCACTATAGATATATTAGATTAATATATACCTTAGCCTGCCTAATTAGATTACTACTAACGCTAGCCTAAATTTTTATATAGCTAAATTTAAATACGCTGCCTATATGTTATCTATTAAAGTTAATAAAGTGCCTATTAAGGCCTATTAATCTATTAGTAAGGTTAAGTAATACTATACTACCTTTTACTATACGTATAAGATTATTTATATAAATAGTAATTATAAGCCTAAAGTCGCCCTTTAATTAGCTATTAAAGCTATTAATAATACTACTAGCCCTAATAGCCTTATACTAACTCTACTTATTTTTAGGGTCTACCTCTATATTATAAATAATTTACTACCTACCTCTTCTACTATATAGCGCACTAAAGTAGTAAAAAAGGCTATAAACGTAGTATAGTAAATCTATATAAAGAGATAAGTATATAATATACTAGTAATATATAATAGCCTAGATATAATAAATACTATAGTACTACCTCTTTAATTACTTATTTATATATAGTATAAAAAAAATAGCTAGTAAGGCCTATTTTACTTACTTACTAATAATAGTACTACTTATACTATTAAATTACCTTATAGCCTATATAACTTTTATATTACTATAGTAAAGCTATACTATATAGCGTAAAAAGAAGGCCTATAAGTGCTACTACTTATAATAGCTAAAAAAGGTAATAATCCTATATAAGTATAAGAAGGAGAGCCTATAATAGCTAGTAAATCTATAGAGGAAGTATATAATACTATTATTATTAATAACAGGCTGCCCCTATAATAAGGCTATAGCTGCCTATAGAAAAACCTAATTACTACTTTTTTTTATAAGATATACCTTACTATTAATGTTTTTAATATATACCTTACTATAAAGAAAGAAGCTAACTATATACTTACTATTAAACTATAAGAAAAAGGTATTATTACTACGCCTAGTAGGCCTTTTAAAGAATCTAATAAGGTAAAAGTAAAAGCCCTTATTAACTATAGTGTATTTTATATTATTACTTATAATAAGAAAGCATATAGTAACATATAAATCTTTAAGTTATATATAGTACGTAAGGTTAAAAGAAAAAATAAGTAACTATATAAGAAATTATAGTTAGTTATTTAAGGTTATACTAATAATAGTAAGAAGATAATTCTTATATAGTTACCTATAATCTAATAAATAGCTTAGTAACTAATCCTTACCCTTACCTTATTACTTTTATAATATAGATTTTACCTCTAGTTATATAATATTACCTAGGCGTATACCTAATCTATAACACTACTTAACTACGTTATTTTTATAAGACTTTTTATATAAATTTACTATCTTTACCCTAATAACTTTATTATAAAGGTAATAAAGCCGCTTTATAGTATTACTAAGGCAGGCACCTACTAGTAGGCTATATATAACTACTACTATAAAGAGAATCTCTAGATAAATTTATTAACCTTTAACCTCTACCTACTTATTTTATTAGCTAATAATAAGGATTTTAGCCTTATTAGTATATAAATAGATAATATAATTAGCCTTATAAATAATAAATTCTCTACTTATAAAGAGAAAGAGCTTAAGAAAGTAACCTTTACTATAAAGCCTAAGTAACTATTAACTATTAATAATTTTATTACCTTTAATAGTAACGTGCTTTTTTTTAGCTATAATAGTAAAATAAATTTTTACTAAAAAGATTAAGGTAAGAAGCTTTAGCCTGTTAATATAAATTTACTTACTACTAAGTAAGATTTTATTTAGTAAAAGGCCTATAGGGCGTATATTATGTTAATCTACTAACCTAAGGCTTACTTTAACTATTTAGTTACTATATAACACTAAGAGCCTATAAAGGAGGAGATTAAGGCTCTTAACTACTAGATTAAGTAGTAAATAAGTTACCTTAACTATAGCCTACTTTTTTAGCTAATTAACTTTATAACTATAAAGCTTTTTATATTTATTAATAGCTTATTTATAAATAACTATAATTTTATATTATAACTTAGTTTTATTATTATACTTACTAATAAAAGTAGCACTATATAACCTACTACTAATAATAAGAAATTTATACTTACTAGTAATATTATTTACTTTAGCTTAATAAAGTATAAAAGAGTTATATATAGCGTACTAGCCTCTAAAGTCTATAGTATAGTTACTAGCGCTAACGTTACTTACGTAATTAGCACTATACTTATAATAATTACTAACTGCCTTAAGTTACTATAAATCCTAATAATCCTTTATACTAACTTATACTCCCTCTATAAGTGCCTTATAAAGCTTAGTACTACTAAGGAGAAGTAACTTATAATTAATATTATAGCGCTTTACTAGTTATATAAGTAACATAAGATCTATAAGATCTAATAGATATAAGGGGAGGATAACCTAGTAAATAGATTTATAAAAGTATTACCTAATAAAGCGCTAGAGTAGTTAATTAATAGTAGTTAATTAGAGATATAAATAAATAAATAGGTTTTATATATATAATAGGTTATATATATAAAAAGTATTAAATACCTTTTAGCCTTTTGTTTTTATTACGTTTTTAGGCCCTTTATAGATAACTAGAAAATAGGATAATTTATAGCACTTTAGAAGGTTGCTAGTGTTACGATATTAACTATTGCCTAGATATCAGCAGTATAGATTAACGCCAAACGGCTGGAATAACTACAGCTAATTCGCTGTGGATCCACCGGATTCATGGGGATATTACGCGGTGGATTCGCCGCGCAATCCCACAATAGTTTCTTTTCCTTTACGCATAATTCAGAACACGGTATTCACCCCCTATTATTCGTCAATTGCCTATTAATACGTACGGTTAACTGTATTACCACCCTGGTGATAACTAATAGTTACCTCTTATAACTAGGCTTTATAAAGCGCTATATACACTTTACTTTATCTACTTAATAGTAATCTCTTTTATATCTAGTAGTTTTTAGGTATATAATAATCTATAAATAGTTAATTACGCCTAGGGGGGTATATTATAATACCCTTATATATATTATACGTATCTAGCTCTAGTTAGCTAATTTCTCTAGACTAAAGAAATAGTTATTCTAAACTAAGCCTTGTCTCTACGTAGCTAACCTACTTAAAGAATATGTATTTCTTTAGGCTAGATTACCTATCTCTACACTATAGATAGTTAAGCTGTTTTCCCTATAATCTTTCCTACCTAAACAGTGCCTTTACGACAAAAATGAAAAACAAAAAGCCCCCTAACTCCGTTGCTAAAAATATATAAGAGAATAACAAAATGAAAGCTTAGTTTGATGCTTGGGTAGCTATGACATGACCATTCCCTGATGTAAGAATAGTATGCCAAGGTTAGCAACCCCTTCACAGTGGTATACAGTTTGATCAACATCAACGTCGGACCATGTTTTTGTCGTAAAACTTTACTTTGATCAAGCTTATTGGAAGACCATGCAAGTTTTCGGTTTCAAATGACAAAATCGATATAACGGTTTCAACATCACTTGTATTCTCGAGATCACTTCGTGCTCAACTGCAAAGGGGTTGCCAAGCGCCCATAATGAGACTGAGTAATGCTGCGAACGCGAAGTCCGGCTATTCAGGAGGATGGGTAGGTGTCCGGTGGCCAAGTGAAAACCAAACGCTCTTTCGTCTGCCCAAGATTTTGCGCCTTCAAGAAAACTGCTCTGAGACACAACAAAACAACTTTTGCTGAGTATGAAACTGAAGATAGTCAACAAAGAAACTGTGATGAACCGCAGCATCTAGTCGTTTGAGAATAAATTAGTTGTTCTATTAAGAACCTATGTATGAACCGGAAAATTGGTATTCCAAGCGGTCTGTGAGGGTGGCACGCCACATCTGTAGCGGCTGCCACTGGTACTGGCTGCACGAAGCCATTGTAGCTTCACGACGGAAACCGTATACATTATGGAGCATTTCTTCTTGGATATGTTACGACAAACACGGCGTGTGAGATTTGAATGATTGGAGGATGCAAACCTGTGATATAATGGACTGGGGAACACATGTGTCTGTACCATGAGAGAGGCGAGCTTGCTTTTGCCGCAACAGGGTATGCCATAAAGCCAGAGGACGGAAGACGCACTTTATTCGAATCATTCAAGGTATCTTTCGCTTCGAAGCAGCCATTCAACGGTGGGTGGAATTAGCCCACGGTGCACCCTTTGATGGGTATCTTGAGGACGGACGGGTTTCAGACAACCACCCAGAAAACTGCTGGATAGTGGAAATGAAACACAGCACATCGAATGGAAACGACAACTTAATTGCTTTAACTTGAACATAGCTTGGCACTAAGGTACCGTGACCTAAAGTACTAGTGTAGCAGTATTATAGACTATCTTGACATCTACCATCCACCAAGATGCGATCATTCCTGGCCTTGAGCCTCTGGCTGCAGTGATCCTTACATTCCGCTATCTCTGTTTGACCAAAACTTCTTGTCGACCTTGTCCTTCTCGGCAGGGGCTGCAGTATCATGCTTCTTCTCGAAGTCCGCGTTGTGCTCATCCACTTCGCGCTTTTGCTCTTCGGTGAGCTTCTCACTGCCCACGCTCGCATTGGAGATCTTGGGCTGGGGAGGGTTTGTTTTTCTGGCATCGGCGATGTCCCTGATATCTGTGGATTCCAAGCCGGGCTTATCGGTCAAAAAGCGGCGTGCTGAAGGAGCCGCCATTTTGCTCACGGCGGATGTTACTGAGCCAGTTGGGCGCAAGAACAAAGGCATTGCCCTTCGGTTGATGGCACTGTTAAACATGTTGGGTGTTCGTGTGTGTGGTAGAATTGGGTAGGGATAAATGGTGTCTGGTGGTTGACAGTGTATTTTCGGGTTGAAGTGCAATGTGCGTGGTATCGTGTTTCAATGTGAAGTGGAAGTGCTCCCTCTGCGTTTAAGCTTGTGATAAAGAAACAGCTATATGATGTCATCCGGCGCGCTTGGAGCCGGCATGCAGCAATGATCGCCGATTCGGGGACTGGGCGGTCACTACGACATGATGACCAAACGCGTCAGCCGTGCTTGTCTCAGTTGAATCAGAGAAACATGTGGAGGAAAACAAGCTGATGAGCATGAAACGACCATGTATTTGAACAGGTTTCGGGATCACGTCGTTAATCAATTAACATATGTTTTGCTGATGCGCCAAGGGAACGCATCGCTGTACATGCCACGTTAGACTGTGAAGTCAACAAAAGATTTGCCCTACGAAAAGAGCAGACTTGGTAACGAGATCAATAGATTTTTCTACAAACAGCAACTAATATAGCCTTTCATGGGATATTTTCCCCGCCCTTTGTTACCATCTCTCCAAACTATACATGGCTATTCTCACGAACCGCATTCAGCACTTGTTTCCCTACATCTGAGTGCCTGCCATCTGGATATGTCCTCAAGGGTCAACCGCTTTCCTTGAGAAAACAATTTACAGACGCAAGGACCAAGGAGACACCTAGCATCATCTTGAGTCACATCCCGCTCATCAACCTCGGCATCTGGGACTCCCCATCCCCAAAGCCTGTTTCTTGGAGCTCCATCTTTGAGGCTGAGAAACCGCGGCAAATAGCGCAGGTAAACAGACTCTAACGAAATTCGACAGGTTCATGGTGAAATGCTGATGGCATGGAGTCACGATATCAGTAGCATGGCATGTCGAGATACCAATTGACAGTATTTATTAAGTCAAATAAAAACTTCATAACTATGGAAACATTTCGAAGCAGTGGCTGAACCAATCTGTAACATTCATAGCCTGTCTGCGAAACGCGGTTGCAATCGTTCTTACTGGCCGGACGATAGGAAATGGACTGTAAAGACTGGTGGCCACCAAGCAAAATGATAAAGCTTCTGTTGGTATCCCAGGGATAAATCGATCCATGGCAATATAGTCACTACGTAGGTGAAAACAGTGCTTATTGAATTGATTAGTGAAGAAGGGAAAAGTTCAGATACATCTGTTTGCTGGCCGGCTGGATACATATATCCAGCCAGCAGTCACGTGATTATCCATATTCCGACAGCTTCCTTGACATATCAACGCTATGTTTGTTTGTCTAAACATTATTCGTAGTAGGTAAGAGGCATTATGTAATTCTAAAGTTACAAATCTACACATGAGCCCTTAATGCACAAAGGCCTCATATCGCTTCCCCACTACAGTGCCGTTACCAACAGAGGCGTCAGTATAAATCGATAGGACGTCGGTACTGTTGTCGTATTCAACTCCACACTTCTCTGAGAAGCCTGAGAACTTGTCAACCCTCTCCTGCAGATACTTGCTGAATCCGTCTCTTGAGCATGTGGTTCCAGGCCCATCAGCACAGTCCGCCAAAGGCTGTGGCGCGCTGTTCACTAGCACACGATAGTAATCGCCATCCTCGTATCCATAGGCCCCGGAGCAGTTCAGACGCTCAATCGCGATGTTTCCAAGGAAAGGCAGAATGTTGGACGCCCTCCATGCGCGGCGGTAGTTGATACGGTCGAGCGGCATTGTATCATTGATCTGCGACTCGCTGCCGATGTGTTCGGAGTTGTTGAAAAGGCCCATCGCAACCGCGACCATCGGGGGCAGCTCGCGATGGGTGAAGCTGACGTAAATGTCCTCATCAAGAATACCGTCTTGCAGCAATAGATTTGCCGTAGCGTTAAGCCAAGGAAGGCCGACATATCCGGACGCATCCAGGCCATAGCCAACGTTGTAATGATATCTGATATCTTCCGTGTACTCCCAGGCAAGCCAGTCATCAGGAGTGAAGAGGTCAAGGTCGCAAAATGGTGACTTTCCCCGAATGACAGTTTCGTAACCACATAGCTGCTGCATACCAAAGACGTCGTTGGCGGTGAAGTTGAAGTCTGGTGCCAGGTCGTTAAAACGGGCGACGATGGGCTTCGTGAACTTCTTTTGGAAGGCTGCAGATTGTTCGCTACCAGCAGTCGAAGAATAGGCCGGACAGGCCTTATAGGGCGTCAGGCTGTTGGCACCGGATTCCTTCGACTCGTAGATGCTAACAACGTTCATCGTGTTATCATCACTCTCAAGGCCTCGGACCAGAGACTGGGCAGACTTGACAGTCCTTTCGGCGGAAGAAGTCCAAACTCTCTTGGGAAGTCTCAGGTTGGGATATCTAAACTCGAGATCGACTCCCAACTGGGTCGCCTCCAGTCTTCCCACGCGCGTCAGGAGTGACGTTTCTGCCTCAGAGACGGGGGCATCCCACTCCGCCAAGAAGTTCAAGTATGGGACTTTGCTCCATTCAATGCCAGTCTTGTTCCCTAGCTTCTCAAGGAAGGGCTCGATGTACTCCTCGAAGTCGAAGTCGTTTGCGTAAATGGCTGCATGGCGGACGAGGTAGGCCGCACGTTTTGCTGTGCATCCTTGCGGGGCGTCCGGGGAGGACTGAGGATCTTGAGACTCAAAGTAAGGAGCAATACCTCCCAAATGCGTCAAAGGGTTGAAACTATAGGTCGAGTACAGGGCAGATGCCGATGAGCAGACAACGAAGGGCAGCAGATGAATGAGCTTGGAGCCCAGACTCTGGTGACGAGCCATGATATTGGGTTGCACAAACAATGCTTAGTGGATGACCGCACTTGAGAATAGAGGAACTATGGGTTGAACTTTAAACTTGTAGTAACAATTGATGGAATCAGACGCATTGATATAGCATTGGCTTTTTCGGCGTTTAGCTCGCGCTATTAGTCACTTGAGTGCGAATAAACAACATTGAGATCACTAGGGAGATGCAGCAGTGGTTAGCTGCCCACTTGAATTTCGATGTCACTGACGTCAGGTAATTCCTTTTCTAGCACCAAATCCGCAATGTGGATTAATGCGTTCTTTGGTGCTCTCCACATCAACCGGCAAGCCGGCATATGGCTGGCTTGGGCTTGTGCCTCGGAGAATTCTACGTCATTGACAGTGGACAGCATCGCCTTATGACTGCGTTGCAGGTCTGTCATTGGTGACCACACCCACGTTACCGAGATTATTGATGCTAATGATTGGTGTGGCTGGGCCAAGCACATTCAAACTGTGGCACTATATGACGGCACTTTCCAGGGGCTTTCCGTTAGCCCCGTGGATCGTCGCTCGTGCATACCGTTACCCGTAACCGACAATATGCCTTGTTTTGATATCCCAGCAAGAGTCTAGGCCCAGCCCTACTCGAAACCATGGCTAAGTTCGAGAAACTTGTACATGTAGTCTATGTGTTGCTAAAAGCAAATAATATGCATCTGCACATCTGAATCAATATGTTCAATACCGTGGCGCATGCTTGCTTTTTCGGGCGAGGAGATGGCGCACCGTTACCGGTTAGGCTTCTGATGGCCCTATTGCCATTACATACGTCTGAGCTTCCATGTGCCTTTTGGAGACATTGGACCATTCGCCAGCCTACTGGCCCTTTCGAATCATTCACACAATAGACTTATTCACAGACCAAAAAATAGTAACTTACACCAACTTTCCTACTATACGCTGCCTTCGCTGATCGCAGACTTGATCTGACGGGGGCGGCTCCACCGCACCCTGGTAACTCGAGGCCCTCTTCCTGTCCCATACAGCTGTACGCAAAAACGACTACTCTTCTAGACATAGCTACATCAGCTCTCAGAACAGCGATCGAGAATGCCTTACGTTGGATTACCAGAAAAAAAGCCTAGACAATCTAGGGAGCAGTGGCCGCCACTGTCCTATACTACAACTTCAAAAGACTTCCATTAGTGTGGCATGTAAGTGGCTAACTATCGTGGTGCTTGTTGATTTATACTTACAGACAATGCTAGTTCCGTGTCTTCCGCAACATTTGGTAGCCAAAAGTGGGACACTTTGATCATAAGCCAGGTTCTGAATTCCGCCCGGTTGTCACGCCCTCACGTGTAGCCTTTTTGGAGCTGGACTACAATATGGATAAATCCAACAGCACGTACTGTTAGACCTTGATGTTGCAATAACTGATTTCCTCACTTCTCTGAGATCGGAGGCGACTCGAAGTAGCCTATATAAGCAGTAAAAAAACGGTGTGATGGTTCTTCTGACCGGCACATCCTGCACCTTCGAGAAGGAAATCAGCCCCGGGGCCGCATTCGACATGCATAGCCGAATCTTTACTTGGATAGGAAATGGTTTCATGTTGTGAGCCATTTCATAGAGAAGCGAAAAGGTGCTAGGCTCTATGGCTATCAAACCCTGGAAGAAGCCCGAAGGAAAGACCACCTCCAAGTCTCCCGTTGTATTCGCCACAGCCATATGGCCGACGGGTTTGCTAGTGGGCTGGATGCGGCGCATGATGAGTTCTATGCCAGGGGATGAACTCGGCAGTCTTGTTAGATCTCAGCAACTATTCTTTCAGCATGGGAAGTACAAGTCAAGTAATCTCACGATTGGGCCAACGAGAAACGTCACAGGAAATGTGTGCAGGCATAATACAGAAAGTATAGTAAGCCCTAACCTCACACGTGCTTTGGACCGATTATATCACCCTGCTAGCCCGCTTACATGAATCACAAGTGCAAACCCCTCAGTGGATTCTATCCTTTTACCTCAACAGCCAAACCTGTGCCCGTACTCAGACCTGCCTCCATATACCGGGCATCAAGTCTATCCCGAGTCCCGCACACTGACATAAATCGCCATGGCAAGCACAGTGTACGTGATAACAGGCACCAACAAAGGCATCGGCCTTGGCCTGCTCAAGGCCTTGCTCGCTCGACCATCTACAACCATCGTTGCTTCCGTCCGCAATGAAGAAGCGGCTGCGTCTTTGAGGTCTGCTATCGCGGACGTAGCTAGGGGCAACGATACTGAATTGCACATTATGCTCCTTGACTTCACCAAGGCCCCAACGCCAGCTGCAGTTATTGAAGCATTTAAACGTGCGACTTTGGGTACAATTGATCGCGTCGACGTTCTCATCAGCAACGCCGCTTCGCCTTTCCCGATGACGCCTACCCATGCAACGTCTGCTGAAGACCTCCGCAGCGCATTCGAAATCAACACCATCGCTCCCTTGATGGTATTTCAAGGGCTTTGGCCACTAATGGAAAAGTCTCGGGGGCCAGGCAACGTCTCCGCCAAATTCATCGGTATTACCTCGTCCGTTGGATCAATCGGATCCCAGGAGCTCTTTCCAGCCGGTGCCTACGGGCCAAGCAAGGCCGCGCTTAACTGGCTCATCATGTCGCTTCATGTCCAGCATGAGAGCCTAATTAGCCTAGCTATCCACCCCGGATGGGTTCAGACATATATGGGTAACTATGCTGCTAAGGAGTGGAATTACGAGGCTGGCCCTCCAGATACCATTGACAGCTCCGTCAATGGCGTTCTCGCTGTCATGGATGGTGCCACCAGAGAGACCACATCCGGAAAGTTTGTCACCCAGACGGGCCAGGTTTTGCCTTGGTAATTCTAGGGCGGGTTGTGAGCGAGGAACGGCACCCGCACGCTCTTAGGGCTGGATTTACACAGAAATGTAGTATTGCGCATCCTTTGCAACGAATGGGAGGGATTCTAAACTTTGATTCAATTGTTTATCAAAGTTTTATAGTTTCTCTATGCCCAATGAGCCAGTAAAGTATAGGCTCGCTTTTGTGCTATCATCGCGTATGAGAGTCACCACCGAGAGACGGCTAACCGCAATATCAAGCTGATGGCAAACGCCAGAGAGAACAAGGCTATTTTAACTTTTGACAGGACTATAGTCTCGGAAGCCCCCAAGGATGCTGATTAAGATCCCTGTGGAATATTCATCTTGGGCAAAGGACACCAGCCATATTGCCAAAACCTAGTTTAGCTCCGTCTGGATGTATTCAAAATCCTACAAGCAGTGTTAGCTTTGAATTCACCTTATTCAAAGAAAAAGAAAGTAAACTTTTGCACTTACAGCCGCATTTAGGGTTGGAAGCTTTGCGCCTGTGTTGTAGATGGCAAAGTGCGTCCCGACAAAGTTCTGCCAGCCTTCCACGTAAGACTGCAACCAGCGATTTTCAACGCCAGCGAGCCACCGTGGTTCTTTGCCGCCAGTCGAGTAGCCAAGTCGGTAGCCCAAGTCTTTTGCCTCAATGAACAGTTTCACAGGAACACCATTGCCAACTTCCTCATCCTCGACATAGGTAGTATTGAGTGTTGCGTCAGGGCCAGTCCTGGTGTGAGTGACAATACATCTCTTTCCAGTCTCATTTGAGTATCCAATGGCGACCTCGTTGTGGTAATGGATGCTGAGGTATACGCTAGCACCGGCCTCCTGTCGCCAGGAATCTGGGCTGAACGCGCTGATCTCGGTGCTGAAGGTGGTGTTGATGTCGGTCTGCTTTCGTAGTAGTGCCGCAGGCGTTTCCCTGTCGCTGAGCGTGTAAACGTTTCCTCTAATACGAAGCTTTCCGGGGTTAGACTCGAAATCTTTGAAATCCTTGTATGGCGTCCGCAGGTAGTAATACGATTTGTCTACTAGCCCGCCATCAAAGTCGTCACGCCAAGTCAGAGGCCTTTCAAGGTCATATAAGACATTTGGCATGTGCTCGGTGATTGGTGCACCTTCATTGAAAATCGGCCATCCATTTACGTCCCACGTCACGGGACACAAGAATGTCTCACGGCCAAGTTGAGGCAGGCCGCTACTGTTTCTTGGGTTCTGTGGTCGAACGGCGAGAAAGACTGCCCACCAGTTGCCTTCAGTGTCATTCAAGATATCCGCGTGACCAGTTGCGAGGACGGGGAGAGACATGTCTTTTCCGTTCCATAAGACGGGGTTGTGTGGGTTACCCTCCCAAGGTCCATCCAAGGCTTTAGATCTATACACGTTCGCTTTGTGGTTGGCTTCGGTTCCCGAGTCAGCGGTAAGCATGTAGTACGTTCCGTTGAATTTGTATAGGTGGCTTCCCTCGGTCTTGGTTTACACTTGTCAGTTATTTACTGTACCTGCACTCAACTTAAATCCAGTGTATCACCAGAACAGACTCACCAGTGGATAACCAAGTTCAGGCGGTACAGTTGTCGTATGAAAAAGCCGAGAGTTGCTCAATGAGTTGCCCGTCTTGATATCGATCTCGGTGATCCAGTTGGCAAAGTTTCCATTGTCAACAAATTCCGAAAACGTTGTCGTGAGATAAACCTTGCCGTCGTCATCGAAAAAGAGATCAGGGTCAAATCCCCATTGATCTACATAGGTAGGCTCGCTCCAACTGGTCTCATCAAAAATATCTCTGGTCGTCACATAGAACGACCGAGGTACTCTGGTGACCTGTTGTCGAAGACGGTGTCAACTAAGCAATACGAATATGCCAATCTTTAGAGCTTTTTTTGATAGCCGCTTACATTATCAGGTGGGTTGATTATATCAAATGCAGTATCAATCAAGTAGAAGATGCCATCGTGGTGTCTCAACGTTGGTGCAAAGATGCCGCCGCTTGGAGCAGTGCCGCGCAAGTTCAGCTGAGAAGGTCGAGTAAGCGCATGGCCGATATTTTCCCATTTCACACTTTGTTCAATCAGCAAATCCACAGAGCAAGCATGACTGCATCGTGGTTTAACATTACAGGTCTTTTGAGTGGTAAATAGGGACACCAGGAAAGAACTCAAATGTACTGGTGGCTAAGAAAAAGTCCTCATCCACTCTGATGATCGACGGATCAGGATTGAACCCTGGGATGATTGGGTTCACAAGGCAACTTGCAAACGCTAACAGGCTGGTAAGCTGGGTTTAAATCCGTTTCCAAAGCTCCGTACTTGAACACTTACAGGCAAACAGAGCTGTGACAGAGGCCGATAAGACGGAAATATACTTCATGCCGGGCAACTAGATGTAATTAGACTAACGGAATCTTCGTATAACAGTGAAAGCATTCAAAGAATCTTTACACTTCACATCGGGACCTTTATATGGCTCAGTGACTGGCAGAGGGTGACGTTTTTGTTGGAACCCCTCACGGCTAAATCACAGGCTCAATTTACCCCGGATTGTGCGTTACATTGCACCTAAACTTGATGGAGTCAAACTTGGCGCAGTTGGCCCCATTCGGCCTTCGCCATGATGATCGCCGAGCAGACTAGGTTTGTTTACCGCAATCACGTAAGTGGTCCGCTGGATGTCTTCTTCGGATTGAAACACTCGCAGTTTTGGGACACTGTTTGCTGCTAGTCAATGTCTTTTTTTTTCTTACTACGCTCAGGAGGTAAATTCATCCACATGGGTATGATTTGCGTCTATTCTGTCCTCTACTTTGATACCACCTACCGGCGAATACCCGCTCATTGAAAAACTACTTCTTTCTCAAATAGTTCCGGACCTCAATGAGGATTTCGAGACTGAAATGAACTTTTATAGAAGTCGACGGTCCCTCTTCTGCATTCAATCATTGCAAGGACTATGGCAAGAGCCTTGCACAATGCTTCCTCCATCGATGGTGCAAGTAAAGTGAGGCAGGGCCTTGCAGAGCGTGATGCGATACCACGCGCCACGTCGTTCGCATATGAGGCGCTTGAGGATAACGGTGCACATTGCAATTTTAATTTTTTATTCTTTCTTATACTCCGTTTTGAAGTCGATTACGAGCAAGTTTGACTTGTGAGTTGCTGTCGAGGTTGCTGCCGTAAGTCCTTGCACTGCATGTTATGCCGTAGCCGTTCCATAACATTTTGCTCCAGGATTTATTGAAAGCCTTGAGGTTGCCTTTTAATGGTCTTGGCTCTAGCTGATTGATGGCGGTTCTCCAAGTTTTGTGTTTGCAGGATGCACGTCGCCATTTATATACGGGAACCTGATCGCAGCATTCTAGTGACGAATCCAAGTGTGACTTCCCATTCACTAGCCATAGCCAGTTCGGTATCATCACTGAAATTAGTGAATCGTATCGATTCATGTAAAGTTGATTACAGTTCCAAGTCAGTTCTAGGCAATACGCGGCCCTGTTCGGAAGCATTTAGCAAGACAAAAGCCATGGTTGCATGAGATGCCCAACGAAGGAACTTGATAAGAGCAATGGTTGTCTTGCAGTTTGTCGTTTCAGCTGTCACTTACAACACACCGATTGGGGATTCAGTGTCCCACATTGAAACCAAGACCAACCTGTCTCCCTCCCATGGCTGTCGCCCATGGGAAACTTGGAAGTTATCCACAAACAGTAGGTCGCCCTCTTCCATTACCAGGTTGATTTCCTCTTTATCAATCACTTCGATTAATTTGTCGAGGAGTTGGCGGGGAATCGGTGTCTCGCCTCCATAGATGCATGGGATATCTGAAGAGTTTAGTTCCAGACATAACTGACAGTCGACTAACGACTTACATGTCATCCCATAACGGCCAATTTACGGAGGATCAAGAGCACCAATGTCTCTAGTGATACCATGCCGACCCACAAAGCCCATTGAGCCACACAGGCCTACCGCTGTGCGGTGCTCTTCTGAGTCCTATTCGCCCCCTGCAGTCAGTAAATGCCCTTGAAACAACGTATTTTACTGTGGCGATATGCAAATACAGCTTACCAGGAATGTGCTGCGTCAATTCGAGGCTCCCATCGTCTTTCCATTTGAAGTCTGGCGTCAGTTTTCTCACTTGCTGCTCAACTTTCTGTCTCGTCGTCGCCTCGTCGTCACCTGGCAATAACTCCTGTCCGAAGCTGTGCTCACCGGCCCAGTTGAATGGATTCACTTTGGCCTCATCTCCGGGGGCACGGAAGACCATTTTCATGCCCAACCCCCGCTTGTGAATCTCTTCCACGAGCTCGGGAATCTCCGATTCAACCTTCTCGAAGACGTTGGCGCTATGCGCTATAGGAGTTGCGCCGCCTATATTGCCACACTATTAGCACAATTAGCGCCTAGCACAGTTGGCGCACTGAATCGGATATTAATTCGTTTGGAAACTTGGCTTTAGGCGCCTTCTTCACACAGTAGAAGTGGATGTTCGAGGGAAATCGGGTATACCTGGAGTACTAGACATGGCGTATAAGCTATCGATTGAGTATCCTGGTTTCTGGTGTCTCTTTACCATATTGTGCCGGTAGAATCGAGTGCTGGGGGATCCTTCGTTGGCGGTCCACACATTACCGGCAAGCGCTGTTCGCTTACCAGCAAGGCCGATTTGCACATGAGGGTGTGAGCCTCGCGCCTGCTCAGCTGCACCAACAAGTTGGGAAAAGGTCTCCGCAGAAGGATGTCCGGCGCCACGAATCAGTACCGCACCGTGTTTTTCCAGGAGCTCCTGTAACTTTCTCGACTCTCCAAGAGCGCGGAGTGCCGTTGCAGTCTGGGGAACCGGTGTAGGATCGATGTTTCCATCTCCCTGCTTTACCTGCAAGCCGTAAGGCAGAGCACGGCCAAAGTAATCCCTGGCACCAGGTACCTCAAAAGCCTCAAATCCGACTGCTATTTTGTCGAGACCTTTTGAACATGGAATATTTGAATGAAAGGGTCTCTCGACATTGCTGTAGGCTTTACCTGAGTTGCTGCATTTATGTTCTTGCTTCTGTTCTATTGCGTTTTCCTGCGTAAGTTCTTCGACATAATCCAGAAGGATGTGTAAAGGAACCCTAGCTAATGAGCATTCTAGAGGTTTCGGCTAGCAATGCTATCACCTTTTCTTCCTACATCCTGGTTGCGTCCGGGACAGAATCAGCAACTTGGAAGCTTCGTGGGGTTGCCATGGCTGGCGCTGTTTTCGCAGTGGGCATTCACACCATTGCGCCTCGCATAGCCAGGGGCATTCAAGATACCCTTTCAGCGGTGAAGTTGTTCACACTCCTCTTCGTCGTTTGCTGTCGATTTGCTGCTCTTGCAGGGAATATCAGAGTGGAAAGACCCAACAACTTCACAAATTCTTTTGTAGGTACCTCAAATAGCGGATACAACAATGTTATATTCTCTTTCCAGGGCTACGACAATGTGAACGCTGTAGGTCTACAATTCATTAGTGCAAAGTCCTAGGGTCTCACTGATGTGGTATGTATAGGTGTTATCCGAAGTCCGCAATCCAAAAAGACGCTTAAAATTGCTTTGCCTCTCTCAATGAGCATCATTACTGTACTGTATCTGTTGGCAAATGTTGCATACGTAAGTCAAACTTCCCGTGCGAGCATAGGAGAGCCAAGTTTAACCTACTCAAAGTTTGCTGCCGTGTCCAAGGATGATTTCATTGCCGCAAAGGTTACCGTTGCCGCAACCCTATTCGAGAACATCTTTGGTAAATCAGCTGGGACCAGAGTTCTTCCTGCATTGGTAGCGGTCTCAGCTCTTGGACATCTTCTGGGAGTTGCCTTTACTATCCGTTAGTTATGTCCATGTAACAGCTTACTGCTGAATTCCTGTATGGTTACAAACCACAACTCATCATAATAGCTCGGCTCTTGCAGGAACTTGCAAAAGACGGAGTCCTGCCGTTCTCGAACTTATTCATGGAGAACAGACCGTTCCGCACACCTATTTATGCCCTACTCCTTCATCTTGGCGTGACAATTCTCTTTACTTGCGCTCCTCCGGCCGGGGACGCCTTCAACTTTATCGTCAGTTTATCCAGTTATCCGACCACTGTGTTATTAACCGCAATCACAATCGGACTGGTAAAGCTGCGCTTCACCGATCGGGAGAACTTTCAGTCCCCACTTCGCGCGCCTTGGATACTGATAGCAATCTACCTTGTGGCAAATATAGTGAGTTTCCTGGCTTGAATACTAAGAAACACCGAGATGGATCACTGACAACTGCTTATAGTTCCTCATCGTCATGCCATTCGTCCGGCCACCGAATGGTAAGGGCAGCACCTCACTTCCCTACTGGCTGACATCCGTAGTTGCTTTGGCAATTCTGTCGCTGGGCATCGTGTACTATACTCTACGGTTCGTGGTTGTGCCTAGACTCTTTGGATACAGTCATCAGGAGATTCAGCAAAAACTTAGCGACGGGTCTAAAGTCACCAGGTTTCAGAGAGTTAAGAGATAAGTCAGTATACGAGTGGTCGTTCACGACTGCAACTCTGGGATTTTGCAAACAACTTGCTAAGCTTCAATGTTGATACAAAGTACAATCCAATAACATTCTTATTTTCGTATAAACTCATCATCTTGAGTGATTACCGTGACTGTTGAAAAGATTGATTCAACAAGCCGATGTGTTCAGAATTTGGACTTCCCACGAACTGGAGCTCCGTCATGCACGCAGACGAACCATGGCAGTACTGCATAGCTAACGGAACGGCATAGTTTGTAGCAGCTGAGTTGAAGTTGTCAGGTTGTCAAAATGTTACTGACAACTGCCAGCTATCATGATTGGATAACTCCCCGTGATCCTGAGTTGATGCAGCTAAGCCTAAACAACGACGTGCAAATAATACAACCTAAAAGTAAAACAAAAATAAAACAAAAACGCCAGGCAAAAGTCCAAGTGGGAGTGGAGATCCAGGCCACTAAATGTACACGGTATTCAGCTTGCCAACAGACAGTTCGTTGCAAGGATACGACTCGCAGTAACAGACGGGGAAATGAGACGGGAGAAACAAACAAGGACTGCAGATGACATCAACGAGGGTTCTCGGCTATGCACCGAGCACTCGGGACAAGGTCTGGGTGGAGTCTGCAGTTTTTCGCGGGTGGAATCGGCATTTTCATAGTCCACGATAATCAGTTATCGCTTCGTGACTGGGGTCGCGATAACATCGGACATTGCAATGGACTGAAAAGATGGATAGGTATAAGCGCCAGGACGGGAGGGGATATCTCACTGCAAACACCCAAACATTTTGGGCGACTCCAGCTAAACGTAACTATGGGGTATGTCATAGTCGCACCAGACATAGTGAAAACAAAAACTCCTGGCCAAAGGTCGAGAATTGGCGACGCGCCACTCAAAAGGCCGACAGGCCGACTCCGAGAAAAGTCTAAAACAGAACCTGCGGGGACTGTGCTTAAGGGGTCTACCTACTAGGGTCATCGTATCCGTAGAACGTGGGAGATGCCCGAGCGATGCACAAACAAGTGGCTCCTCAACCGTTCAAGCCCATCCACAGCATAGGTGTATCCCAGCTTGTAATACGGATGGTGTACAAGCCATCCAAGGTGCCTCCCAGCGCTAAAGCGCGAAAGACCGAGAACTCCTCCAACGCTGGAGCACAATTCAAGCTAGGTCAGCGTCGTCACGTTACACTACTGCACCCGGGCTATGCCGATTGCCCCCCCCCGCAATATCGGTCGACATCACCCCACAATCGACAGATTGGGACGATGGCGGCGCCAAGCCCAATTGGGTCTGTTGCTGAGCGTGGTGCCATGTTGGTGTCACACTGACCTGTGGCCGCGACTCCCGCTTTGCCCCCTGCGGGGATTCTTGTACACGCTCAATGGTCAGTCCTCCTCGAGCTTGGAGATGGCTGTGCCAGCCATGTCTTGCCCCTTGGGGGAGGGGGAGACCTGTTGGGGTCGAGAGAGGGCGTTATATGAATACATTACTGCTGCTGCCGCCTCTTCCCCAACGCCTCCTCTTAGCCCGAGTGATGGATTTATCCCTTGCGTTTCAACCCACAAAATAACGAGAGATACAAATCCCGATTTCACCCCCGACTATTATTCAAACGCCAACATATACAATGTTCCGAGAAGCCTCACGGAGCTTTTCCACCCACATGCCCTCAAGCTACTTCCTGCAAACTCCCCGCCGACTCGCCATGAGGTGGTACGTCCTAAATCCGAGCCGAGCGATCCTCCTCGGAGCCCCGAGTCTGGGGCAACAACAAGAGTAGACCAGCTGGGACTGACAAGTATGGCATAACAGGATCCCACCCACAGTTGCTGTCGTAGCTGTTGGCTACGGCTTGAACGCCTACCGCGAGGGCATGGTTCAACGTCGCCTCGCCAACACCGCCGCCGCCGAGAAGCAGGCCATCGAAGACCGCAAGAGAGCGGCCATGTTGATGGACGCTTACGGCGACCGTTCGAGCCTCGAGGCGCTCGAGAAGGCCGTACAAGTCTACGAGTCGCAGAATTAGGCGTGGCCGGTCAAGCATACCTTTTATCCACATCATACACATCATCGTAACATCGTAACACATCTATCAACACCGAGGAATGGACACAATGCATCGCAACGGCGTTATACAGGGGCCACGGGGATTATCAGGCCTCAGGGATTGTTTTAGGTACACATGCGCACATGGCGGGCGCTGATGCTTGTGTTTTTCAACGGGCAGGGTATGGCGTTAGAGGGCGACCACGATCATTGATATCTGGCACGCATCATCATGGATAGTTCTATCCAGTGGGCCTGGGTACAGTTCAGATATTTGAAAATGACTTCACTTTGTTACAGAAACACAATAAAAATCAAACCCTTCAAAGCCCCAATCTCAAATCACTTCGTGTCCTGTGCATAGCTATTAGCAAACGACACAAGAAAGGGTCTTACCCCAGCCGTGCGCCATACCCCTCCCCGCACGCGTCTCGTGACGCATGGGGTGGTTGGTGGCGTTGACGTTGTTGGGAATAGTTCCATTACCGGACTCATTCCATCACATTGGCCACCCAGGCTCTCAGCTCTTTGAGTGCATGATTGTCTTTTCCCTAAGATTTTATAGCACAAACAATTCTCGAGGCGCCACGCAGTATGGATATTACCATTCTCACGCTCCAAGGGGGCGTCTGACTTACCAATTGTCAAAAGGCCAATATCACAGCGAGATACCAGCATGGGGGGGGGGGGGGCACTCGTCGCGGTACGTTCTAGCCTGTAACCTAAGATCACCAGCGAAACTAAGTTAGGGTAGCCCACCGCCGCTTCCGCTCGTGGCAAAAACATTGGCGTTAACGACCGTTTGGGTTCTGCGCCTCCGAGACAACTCGTCTGGAAATTCTCGCCACTATTCCAACTGCGCAGCAAGTATCGTACTGAAGACAATGAAAACGCGAGCCTATCTGCAGCAGTTTGGCTCGTTGGACCACTTCAGGTCTTGGTCGGGGCGGCTATTCTCATGGACTTTTATACTATTCTAGTGATAAAAACAAACTAGTATTCCTAAGCTGACAGACACCGGGCCACTGTTGGGATCGATCAAAGCCATTCCCGTGTTATTTCTATACGCGCACTCTAAACTCTTGAACAACACCAACGCATTGCATCAAATCAAAAGAACAATTGGTTCTGGTAGAGGCGAACTTCATTTCCAATCTTCGGACCGAAAGGTTGCGAGTCGCCTTCGCACTCTGTTCCATCCTCTGGTAGCGAACCATTCTGAAAGTAGGTATGTATATACTCTCTGGTACACTTGGAGGGTGCAGCAAGTGAAGTATGCTTTAAAACAGACACGTTAGCATTCGATGCTGACTGGCTAGTTTATTGACATTCTTTCCAGTCATCCAAGATAACTTACGCCGTATGATTTCTGCACCAAGACAGTTGACCCAGTGAAACCAGCAGAGTTGTTGCGTGCGCTTATGAGCGGTGTGACGTTGTCTGCCTGGTTGGCGATGAACAGTATGGGGTGGCTTGTCTTGCCCTCGAAAGGTCCTGGTTTTGCTTTAGTAAACTAAATCACACAATGCTCTTTCCCGGGAGTCCTTGGCTTACCATCAAATCGCCAAAAAGGCCGAGTTGTTCGCCGGTTGCATGTCATCTGGTACGGTACGCTGACTGCTCCCGTAGCGGGACTGAGTTCTAAGATGGTGTCTACTTCTCGCCGTACGTCTTCGAGAGTCAGATTATGCACTGCAGGGTGGTCAGCACACATGATAACCGGGAAAGCATCATCTGTGGCTTCAATTATTTGCGGCAGTGGCTCTAAAGGAGAAATCGGTTGCGATGAGCACCCTAGGGTCGGAGAAGGCTTGCTGGGGTTGTAGTGCTCGTAAAATGGCCGTCCATTTTCTCCTTCAAGAGCTGCAATAATCTTGGAAAAGCTCTCAAACTGGTGTTGTGGCTGATACAACGCGGAGTAGAGGAGACGCATGACCTTCGAGTAAGTCACCAACATTGGAACTTCAGGCCCTTTCTCTTCGTCTGCCGACACGATAATAGGATGTGTCTTCAGCCTAACGAGTAACTTGCTAAATCTTTCCATGATAGCCTCTGATGTGGGGCCATGGAACGCGCACTTGTCGGGCCCGGCCTGGGAACAAAAGTCGTAAAAGGCAAAAAGAACTTTGTCTGTGTCGCGAACGAAGTTGAGGTGGGCCGAATTGAACCACTCCCTGTAGTCAACATTTCCATCGCTGACCAGCCGTTCCACTTTGTCGGGATACATGGCCGCAAAGACGCCGCCTAGGATTGTGCCGTAGCTGAAGCCCCAGTACTTGAGCTTGTCGTAGCCTGTCTGATGAACAATCTCGAGCATGTCTCTGGCAGTAGGAGTGGTGCCAGTGTGTTCTAAGATACCGGATTCTTTCATGGCTTTCTCGCAAGCCTGCGAGTATGCGGCGGCCCTTGTGAAAAGCTCCCCGAGTATACCTTCATGAGATTCCAGGATGCCTGGATCTTGCAAATTCCAGCTCTGTCTTTGTTGAGGTGAGTTCCAGCATTCGATTCTTGGTATAGACGCGCCGACTGCCAATACACGGTCAAACAATGTAGGACTCGGAGAAATGAATAATCGGACTTACCACCCCGTGGGTCGAAACTGATAAGGTCCTACGTTTCCTCAGCATTCGCAAGGGATCAGCTCCCAAAACTGGAATGTTGTTTATCAGACTTACATGGTTTGTGCCGACAATTTCTTGTAGCATTTTCCCATGGTCCCTCAGAGACCAGATCCCCGAGCCACCGGGGCCCTTCCCTCAAACATCAGTACTGAAAACGACGGCTTATGTTGATGCTGTTGCTTACACCAGGGTTGAAGATGACTGGTCCTCTGTAATCGGACGTATTTGTGGCTCGGATTCGAGCGATTGCAAGAACAACCCTGTGGTCATCCGATGGCATTTTCCAGTCCATGGGCACCTACGAAAGAGCTGTTAGCCCTGGTCGTCTCGTGCGTACGGGCCTTTAGACACCAACATCTAGTCTGGCGCAATCATAACCCCCGTCCTCGAAACAATTGTGCCACTCCAGGGTTCTACTTGGTTTAATCTGGAAATATTTTCAGTATTCAATCTTTTGAAAATTCAAAAGTTTATTCGTACAGTAGACCAAGTCCAATCAGTAGTAGAAAGACGCTGTTCGAGAACATATCTGTGTCCAAATGGGAACCAGGGTGTAGATAAGAGGCTCCCTCCCCTGATGAGCGCCGTCAGTGCAAATACCGACAAAGCAGCGATGACAGCCGTTCGGCTATTGGCTCTCGGGCCTTTGAGCTCTAAACTGCCTGGCGATTGCTTGCTGGCCATGTTGACTTCGTGAACGAGGTATTTGGTGTTTTCGTTGGGCCAGGCAAGGAGTGAAAGCAAAGGAAATGTTAAGCAGCCCAAAACAGCCCCAGGACCCCACACACATTTTGGACCAGCTGATTCAATCTGCAGCGGCCCAAAGGCGGCAGGATCACCGACTCGTGGCCAGAAACATACTGCGTATTGGAAATCTGGAACATGCTGACTTTATTGGGTTTAGCGTATACTTTGTTCGTTTAGGCTATACCCTGACTAGTATAAAATGATAGCAGATAAGCGGTGAAGGAACCCAACACCGTTGTCCTATCACTTTCCATCTGATTATCAGTCAGTGGTGTTGCAAGACAATGATCTCAAACCCCAGATCGCCCGGTTGAGCTGGTCAGGTTCCATCGCGCCGGGCGGGTCCACCCATATGGAGAAGCGTGCCTCCGGGTGCCGCTGGGCCGCCGCTGAGGTGGGGAGGACGAAGACGGTCCGTTGCCCGTTGCATCACACGCAGGTTTGGGTTACTTGCGCTCCCCCGATGCAGTCTCTCCTTCACGACATCCCCTCAGCCATCGCTGCTGTCCTACAACAAGGCATTCATATTAACCCTCTTGAGTTGCACTCCCGCATTTATGAGCTTTCCAACCCGCTAGGCGCAAGCGTCACGATCCTAGATGCACCACAAGAGTAGGCACAAAGTGCTTCTATCTACGCACAGCTATTGGCAATCCCGATCACGGAAGTTACAAGTGCTTTTGGAAAGAGTCGACATATCCAGCATGTAGAGCAGCAGAGGCAGATGTTGCGTACGTGGCAGTCGCGGCACGAGACACCCACTACGGCATCATGTACTTTCTGTCTTGAGTCCAGGAACTGGAAGTGCCATTCCCTGAGCAACTTTCACCTTCCTGCGACATGGAAATCGGTGCTTCCTCTCTCCCTGTTTGCGAATTGGCCTTGCATAGGTAGGTAGGTATGCAGTGATAATCTGGCACGTGGCTGCTTGGTGCTGGAACTCCAAGTTGGCATGAGCCTGCCTGCCGTTGAGGCTCTAGACATGACCCTGATATCATCTTCCCATAATCGTACCACCACAAGGGGCAGCAACACTTTATCAAAGTAAAGACACCATATGCCAGCCCATTTACTCATCCACGCTGCTCGCGTAGTCGATATGTTGCAGACTCGGGCAGACGACCAACACATCTCCTCAATCCGTAGCTAGTAGCTACGCAAGATGGCGAGAAGCGGTGCTTTAGCTACTTGCGTTGACGATGATTTTTGACTTTTCCACGCAGTCACATCCGAACCTGCTCTTGCGTTGAGGAACAGTAACCTCAAGCCGCTCTCAGAGTCGGGTGAAAGCCTCGATTCCCAACGGTCCTTCCAACATTGTCCATGTTCACACACGCAGGAGAGACGAACTTAACTACCGTCTTTCTCCGCTCTATTTCAATCTCATCCCTTCACATCCTCAATTACTCTTCTCACATCACACAGACAGAACCATACGCACCTTCTCATACAACCAACATCGGTGACGGCCTCGCTCTGGTCGATCACCTAATGAGTAGTTCACATTGCTAAATTTTCGAATGTTACCCTTCAGTCTCGATTTTATAAACAGAGAAACTGACAATAGTACAATCTAGATCTATGGTGATTATGCGGCGTCTTCTTGACCTCGCGAACGAGATTGTTGTAGCTGATATCACCGCTGAGCGATGACTGATGGCGTGACTTCTCCGCTGGCTTTCTGTTCTTCCTATTTTCTGTCACGCGTTTCGCGGCGGGCTTCATAGTGGACTATGTGGCCAAGGTCGGTGGTATTAATATGGGCTAACGGTTGGCGATAGGTATGTTCACCATATCAAAACCCATTAATAGCTCAGCCTTCACCTCAGTTTACGCTGTTGTCAGAGAAAGGCTAAGAAAAGCATGTCTGATCCATAGAAAAAAAAGCAAAAGACGAAATTTCATGATTTCTGCTCGCAATTTGGTTCCGCGCTTCTATGCGCGGGCTTTGCAATGCTCTTGAAGAGATGCTCTAGCTTTAGCAGCAAACAGCCCTTCATTCTCAACACTGCCTGTCGCGCCAGCATCTAATTACTTCTTGGCAGGAACATATGTTTGTTCCCCTCGGCCCCTTTTATACACTTGTTGACGTATGCCAAGTGTACTCCGTACTAGATCACCAATGCGATAAGCCACTGCTGTATCTAAGTTCAATGCATGGAGATATTTTAGACTATTCTTTGTGCTTGTGTCTGGATCACCGAGCTCCATTAAGCCACACAATTGATACCAGCCCTAGCTGAAATGAGAACATCCAAGTAGAAAAGGCACTAGGAAGATACCTATATTGGTGCCACCTTCAATGCGCAATTGGGCGTCTGAGCCTAGTTCCACTTGTATAGTTCATGCATTAACATGGGTAGCTGCAGTGAGGTAAGATCCATAGTAAAATCTACAGTGGAAAGACCGGCCAAGCATATTCACAACATTCAGCCTCCAGCTTCTGTGTCTTGTCTTTCCCCTCGGTAAGTATCGCATAATGATCCAAAACGCCGAGTTGGCTTAATCGGCAGGGTATTATTTGCTATTGTCAATGAGGTAGTTTCAATTCGCGTTAAAACCATGTCCCATGAGATCGGACTTTAATACTAGTCGAGTGGCGTTGCACGGTCTTCCACCCCTTTTACCACATCGCAGTCTACCACCAACCTTACCTTTAGGCTCGTCGCCGAGCCTCCGTGAGTTGCCTAGATCGACGGACGTGAGCTTTTCTTGGCTCAGGCCAGGGTTTCCAAGCTATACCGCTGCCTCGTCATCCAAGCTTGAGTAAGATCGGGCCAGATGCACGTCGGCCAAGTCGTCGGAAAGGGGTATGTGATGAACCAGGAGTCCTAATAGTCAAAGCCATGCTTTTTTTTTATATAAATACTCACTCGTGTGCCCATCATCAAACATACTCCTATTTCATTATCACTCTCACCTTCAAGATCACAGTCAGGTTCAATAATCTCTCTCTTCAGCTCCATATCTTTCTATTCTTTTCCAACGCAAATCTTGTGCAGTCCCAATCGACAAAATGCATATTCCTACCATCGGTCAAGTTGCCACAATCGGCCTGGTTTTCATTGCGGCTACTGCTCTTGCTGTACCCATCGTTGAGCCGCGTGAGACCGATATCGTCGAGGTGATTGATTGGACTTCCACCCCTTGAGAGACACTGGCTAACTGCTTTTAGAACTCTGCCGACCTTGTTGTAAGCTCGTTTTCTAATCACCCCAGTCTTGAATATCCATGTAGTTCGTGTCATCTTGAGAGTATATTAGCTAATATTTTATGTGAAAGGCCCGCGGTGAGGGCATCTCGGTAAGTTTTATATCTTTGTGAAGATACCCCGAATTCAAGCTAACAACCTCTCTAGGCCATTGCCAACTCTGTCCATGCCCTCGAGCAACGCACGAGCAAGAAGAAGTGCAAGCGTAACAAGAAGGGAAAATGCGACGATTCCGACTCCGACGATGACTACAAGAAGAACAAGAAGTGCAAACGCACCAAGAAGGGGAAATGTATCGATTCCGACTCCGACGACGACGACAAGAAGAACAAGAGCAAGAACTGCAAGCGCAACAAGAAGGGCAATTGCATTGACTCGGATGACGACAAGAACAACGGTGGCAAGGCCGACGACAAGAACAACGGTGGCAAGGCCGATGACAAGAACAACGGTGGCAAGGCCGATGACAAGAACAACGGTGGCAAGGCCGACGACAAGAACAACGGTTACTAGTGAACCATCGCCTTTCGGCCAAGTATCCGTATTAAGGGGTTTACTTGTCGACTTCGAAATTGGTGGCAAGTCCTTTTGAGACTATGAGTTTGAACAAGATGTGAGCTGTGTTCTATGTCGAATATTAGTCCTCGCTACACTGGTCTGCGATGCCATCCCCATTTGCGATGAGTTCGCACTTGGATATACTACCTTTCACCTGTACAATAACTTACTACAATCACATATTTCTCAAGTCTACATTGACTTTCAAACTGAGGCACTTCTGCCACGTCCATTCTTCATAAACACCACTGCAGCTGACTCCTATAAAGGGCATTTAAACTTCCGACTTCGTGGATGAATAAATGCTACCCAACAGCCCTAAAAGCACTTTGACACTTGCCCTCTGACGGCCTTTTCGACACCGAATTTCTGACTCAGGACAACCCAAGATCCAGTAACCACCAACTTTCTGAATGCGTTGGAGTCGGCGTTATCGCCAAACGCCCTTTCAAGCCAGACTTTTGCGTCAGTCCAATCCACAAAGCCCAAGTTGTTCACCGACGTCTCGGTCACTAGGTTCATAAAAAGTAGATGAAGAGGGCCCCCGTAAGGCCACTTCACAGGGGCTGAATAAATGTGCTTCCGCCTCTCGTAAATCTCTTGCGTTATAAAAGGCCTTCCAGCCTCCTTGAGAATCCACTTCTCGATCAGGGCCTGACGGGCCGAGCTAAGGTCTTTCCACCACATACTCGACCCAGTTCCCTCCGCCTGACCTTCTGCCTCATTGAACCCGACTTTAAGACTAGGCGGCAGGTAGTTGACATACTCAACCAAGTGATGGTCCAAGAAGGGGGTCCGGGCTTCAATGCTGTGTGCCATCTCCGTACGGTCGCCCAGACTCGTCAAGATCATGTTGGCAAGCGTGCCTCGAGTATAGATATAAAGCGACGAATGCAACGGATGCCACTTTTCCTTAATGTTGTTGTGGACCTCGGAAGACATGGTCCGAGCGACAACCTCTCTCATGTCAGGCTCTCCGTAAGTCTCTCGAACCCAAGGCGCATATAGACTCCAGTCCGGTTGCCACTTCAGAGCGTTTTGGGCTATGTCTATGTGTGGAGATGACGGGGCTGTCTTGTCCCACCGATGGTCAAACATCCCAACTGTGTTAAACATGTTCTTGATGTCTTCAGCCACCTCTTTTTGCATACTCTGACGCATGCTGTCGTTGTTTGATAAAGGAGAATTGGGCCATGCATAGTCTGACTCCAAGAGAAAGTCTTGAAATAAAAATGGATAACCGGCAAACAGCTCATCCGCACCTTCACCGGTAAGGACAACCGGAATTCCATTTTGCCTAGGTAATGTGGAAAGACAGAACTTCCCTACAAGGTTGAGGTCGAAGTGATGGTGTTCAAGGTGATAGACACTGTCGGCAAAGTTCTTCGCCAGCTCTTCTTCGTTCATGTCTTTCTTAAGGATTTGGACTCCGAGCCAGGTCGCTGTGCGCTCAGCAATATCTAACGTTTGCTTGGTTAGCAGGTCTGATAATGTGAAGTTGCGAACTCGGGTTTTAGTGCACTATATAGCAAGAACTTACCCGATTCGTTGAATCCTGAACCCTCAGGGAATTGAATGCTGAAACAACAAATCCGTTTTGTGGCATCCTGATTGCCTAGCTTAACTCCCTCTTCACGCACTAGCTTGGTCACAATACCAGCAACAACTGAGGAATCAATGCCACCAGATAAATAGATCCCCACAGGTACGTCGGCCCGAAGCCGAATTCTCACAGCTTCAACCAGACGTCTCCTGACTTCTTGAATCATCTCATCTACAGTTCGCGTCTCCACCTGGCGCTGTCCTGGTGTCAGTAAAGTGACAAATCATCTCATCTGCTGTTGCACACCTTGTCTTTGTACTGCGGGTCCCAGTACTGGCGGTGCTTAATCTCGTCGTCTTGAGATATCTCCATCCACGTTCCGGGATTTAACTTCCACACGTCCCTGAACACTGTGTTCTCGGCTTGTAGAGAAGCGCCGCTGATAAGGCCTTCGACATTCCACTGGGGTTTCCAGCCCAGAGGTAGAAATGCTTTGACTTCTGAGGTTAGAAGCAAACGTTTCTCCTCGTCCTCCCCGTTGCCAATAATGGTCCAGAACATGGGTTTGATACCAAAGCGATCCCGTGCCACGATTACTCGCCCATCATTTTCATCGAATATAATGAACGAGAACTCGCCCCGGAGGTGTCTGAAGAACTCAGGGGCCCCGTAAATCTTGTAGAGGGCAACTAGGACTTCACTATCGCTGTGGCCTTTGAACTCGTATCCTTGGTCACGAACACAACGCTGACGAATGGCGTCGTGGTCGTAAATCTCGCCGTTGACAACTGCGTGGATTTTCCCATCGTCACTGTGGATGGGCTGTACACCATGGGATGTCAAGTCATTGATAGCAAGACGTCGGTGTCCCAGACCTAGGAATGTACTTGTCAGATGAACGGACGGATGTCCATGGCCAATAGTTGCTTACCAATGCTTCCGTCGTCGGAGATCCAGATACCCTCAGCGTCTGGGCCCCTGTGGGCAATTTTGGAAAGACTCTCCGCCAGTTTATTGTGCAGATCAATGCGATTCTGCGGGTTGCTTGGCTCCTCAACGTGAAGGCAAGGCTGTTCGTTCGCCGCATTCGGGCGACCACCCCGTCGGAGCTTAACGATGGCCGTAATTCCGCACATGGCTATATGCCGCAACGAGTTGTAGCTGTGAAATCAAACTAAAGGATGAATGGTGTTTGCTACAATTCAGCTTGTTGTTGATCTCGATGAAGTAGACCATACGTTTTCGGGCTGTTCGGCAATCGTGGTGCGGGCAGGTCGTTTAAGGTTTGACAGCAGACCGTGTAATACACAGTTCACGCACAAATTCTACCGCGGTGACGATTGAAGATCCAAGGGTAACATAGGGCCGCTTAGTCACGTTCGGTTTCAGCATCATCTTGAAGCCAAGTACTACGATATTCCGATCAGCCTAGTTGGAGACAGGTACGACCTCAGACTTGGCTAATACCAACTGCATCCTCGATATCACTTTATAGTGGCCCGGAATAGTTGGCGGCGAGCCCGGATGCACAGCAACGTGTTCACGTGAAAGTACCACAAGTAAGGTGTCAATCCGTTTTGCCACTGACTGACTGAGCTTGCGAGGTAGAGGATACTTCCCGAGGTCTGATCCTCTTGTAGCTCGAGTTGGCCCTTAAGACAGCCGCTCAGAGGCGGGCAGCGCTTCACTCAGATCAACCCCATCAACCAACTTCGTCAACCAACCCGTCAACTTTACAAATAGCTTCACTTCAACCAACTAACCTCAAGGCCAAAGTTAGATTAGTTGGTTAACTCATGTGGAGTTAAATTATCTATATGTTCTGAAGCTAAAAATTCATTCTAAAGCTGAATATTACCTCCACTATATCCTTCCTTGTGATGTTATTCTTAGTGTTTATGTGGATATATAGGTGGATACTCTGCCATAAGTTATAGCCTCTGTTGCCCTCCCCCTATTAGACATTTTATTCTTATAATAGGGTGATAACAGGGCTGCCGCGATGGGCCGCGATGGGCTACAATAGGCTACGATAGGCTACCGCAATAGGCTACCGCAATAGGCTACCGCAATAGGCTACCGCAATAGGCTATCTTTATACACTATAGGGATAGCATCATAGGCCCCAGGGTATTCAACTGTAAACAACTATAGGAAAAAAGGCATTCAACCAACCAACCAACTATAGGAATAGTTTCAAATCAACCAATCAACTTCAAGGCCAAACTTGGGTTGGTTGCTCTGAATGAAGCGCTGGAGGCGGGCCGTCACACCAAAGCGTGAAGCAAGTCATTGTTGTACATCATTCGGTAGAGTCGGACAACTCAACTGTAAGTTTAACGACATTTCAGCCAAGTATTATGTACTATAGGGTAAACGGAACCTTGAAGATAGGTAATACCAATACGCAGCAAACACCTCTTGCGCCTCACAGTTGAATCAAATCCGTTGCAGTACCATTTCTCGCTATTTAAATATGCCACTCTATGTTAACCTCCGCACGCCACTTGGAGTTCCCGGTGTTGCCAACCCATCGACAGCACTTACTTCCGTATATGGAGGAGGCATCTCTGCGCTACTAGACTGTGGTGGAGCTTGCCGCCTGGAACTCGTACTTGGTCCATTGGGCGACACTGGTGTAGGTGGAGCAATTTCCGGCTTTGGTTGGATAGGACACTGGGCCCCTCGTTCCGTCAGCATTTCAACGAGTTCCTGGCTTTGAAGTAGTCGCGCCAGCGTCAGTGGCTTGACATTGCCCATCTTGTTGACATCCGCGCCGTGAGCCAGTAACTTCTGCACCAAGGCTTGGTTTTCCAATTGAAGAGCCTCAATAAGAGGTGTTCTGCCCTTGTTGTCGGCCGCATTTGCGTCGGCGCCGTGTGTCAGGAGGAGTTTTGCATCCTCAGTCCGCCCCATGTTTATAGCGTAAAGGAGGAATGTGTCGTCTTTAAGCTTCTTGTTCGGATTCCCCCCATGCGTCAGGAATATTCGAAGAAGCTCAGTGTTACCCAGCGTGATGACCAGGCTCATTATGGACTCACCCCAACTGTCAGCCTCATTAGGGTTGGCCCCTCGTTGTAGAAGCGCCCGCGAAAGGTCAACCTTGGTGGTATCCTCCATGTCCTTATTTTGCAATATCGTCCAGAGAACTCCCTTGCCCATCAGGCCCGTGGCGTTAGGATCGGCCCCTCTGACTAAAAGCATCTTGACAAGATCGTACTTCTTCTTGTGCAACGCGGAGATGATCATACTGCTGCCAGTCAGGTCCGTCGCGTTGGGGTCCGCACCGTGCTCCAGGAGAAAGGAGACGATGTCCATACGGTTCTGCCCTAGAGCCATGTGAAGTGGGGGCTGGCCAGAGAGGTCACGAGCGTTCATGTCGGCACCGAACTCCTGGAGAAGCTTCATATGTGGAAGACTCCCAGCCTGAACCGCGTGTGTGAAGATGGTGCGTCCACTGATGGCGCTAGTGTTGGCATCGCATCCCCAGGACAAGAACAGCCTGATCATCTCCAGCTGGTCGCTATTAGCAACCTCAACGAAGAATGGCTGTCCAGACCAGGAACGCTCCTTGGTGTCTGCGCCATTTGTCATGAGCAACTCGGCAATGGGGACGAAGCCACACTCGGCGGCGTGGAACAGAGGAGGCTTCTTCTTCCCAGTACACGAGTCTTTGGTCGAGTGGTCGGCTCCAGAACGTATAAGGAACTCGACGGCTTCAATTTGGTTGGCACGAATGGCGCATATGAGCGGCGTGTACCCTTCGTCGTTCTGGCCGTTGATGTTGACTCCTTGCGTGATGAAGCCTTTGAGATGCCCCACGTCACCGCTTTTGGCTGCCTGGCACATGGCGATGACCATCGGCTCTGGTTTAGCTCGTAAGCCGGCCGTCATTGCCTTGAAAGAGCTCGAAATTGACGAGAAGAATTGGCCAGTGGCTTTGCTTTTTCCCTTGCCTGTGTTGCCTGGTGCGTAGTCTGGTGGTTTCGCATCTGTTGGGATGTCCTCGAGCTCTCTTGGAGTTGCTGCACTGGAATCGACCGAGCTGCCGGGTTCTTCTGTGACTTGGAGAATGTTGCTGCGAGCGAGAACGATCTGTGATGTTTCTACAGCCGTCTCCAGTAATCGATGTCCGTCCGGTGCTGAGAGCCTTGAGTCCTGCTGGGTGACCGTGGGCCTCGGGATCTTCAGCGACTTGTTTATACGCGAGACTAGTTGCTTTCGGAAACTCACATCTGAACCACCCGGATGTACTGTGTGAAGAGACGAGTGTTTGCCATGTGGTAGCTCTCATATTTCAAGATCACGTCTGGATTGAGGCCCGTCACATTGCCTGGGTCGAGTCTACGGATCTGCTTATTCACAACTGCCGCTGCATCTGCGCATGGTTGAACCGAAATGGCTAGGGCATTTCGCAGGCCAGGAGAGATAGCTGACGCGTTTTCCAGACATCTCCGGAGTCGTTCCGTAGTATGTCCGAACTGCTCGAGCTTTGCTGAGAAGGAGATCAAGTGCTGAGCTTCAATGCTCCCGGGATCGATGGCTTTGAGCAGGCTATCCAGCTCGGCCGATGTGGAGACGACTCGATGGGAGATGTCGTCGCAGTTTGACGTTACTGCCGCGGAGGAGAAGCCAACCATTGTCCCGAGAGGACAGGTTCTCTGGATTTCGACGGGATTTTGACAGTATTCCACAGAGGCCCCCGCGATTTGCGGATGCGCTCGGCAGTGCACCCGTTCGTTGGCGACGACTTGTAGTTAAATGTGAAAAGCAGTGTGCCCCGCTGACGTCCGGTTGTGCGGAGGGGTGATGATTTGAACTTGACGCGCCGGTCTATGTATGGTCAGCGTGGTTGGGAAGCACCGCCTCCGAGCTAGGCAGGCATCCTGCGCCCCATTTCCGCAATTCAGGCGCAGGAGTAGGCCACAGGAGAACTCCCATGATCCATTGGCTAGCGTTATCGGGACGCGCGTTCGAGATGCGACGCCCGCATGTTGTTGTGGCTGGGTAAGGCTGACGAGAGGCCTCTAGGTATGTTGACAAAACGAGACCGTTCTGCGTCTGCACTAGTCTGAAGCTTTGGGGTGCGTCGGGGTTCTTGATTGGCAGTCTTGCAAGACATACAGGTATTTACGAATGCAACAATACCCTCGGGCGGTCTCGGGCCAGGCCTAGGACCTAACCTTTCTGGGGAAAGCGACGGTAAATTCTGCTGAGTTTCAGAGTCATCAAAACATTTTGAAAACCTCCAGGAAAATGCCAACATGACATGTACCGCGCCAATGTCGATTGTTTCTGGACAAAACATGTTCTGGTATGTTTCGAGGCGTGTTATTCCGCGCCGTATCATAGTGTCCTACAAAGCTCTCGTCTCTAAACACGAACTGAATCATTGCAGAGAGGATTCCCGAATAGTGTAACTCGCGCGTCTGGGCACCGTTAACGAAGAGCAAACATGCCGCTGTACAGCACCCTGCAAGGTCGACTCTGTCAAAAGAAGTCAAATGTTTCCTAATTGGGGTAGGTCTACGCCAGATACGTACCGATCTAGAGCAAGAGGGATAGGTAGGTAATTGTAGCTCTGCAACTGGGGCAACGTAATTACCTACTGCTGCCAGCACCTGCCTACTATCGCCAGCACGCACCACTGTAGCCAGTAATTTTACCTACTATTACTACCACTGTTACTGGCGCCTGCCTATTATTACAGTAATTACATTTATAACTGTAAACAGGTGCTGGAAATTACAAAGTAGCTTATTAATTAGAAGAGTAGTAGGTAGACTAACTGGCTATAGCAAGTCTTATTTTTTACACCGACTATGACCTATTAAATTAAACTCTTGACTCTTAGACACAGTCGGCCTTGTAGGCTGCTGTACTGTTGTTTAGATCTGTAATCTAATGCTCAGTAGCCTTATGTATGATTGCGTGAATTCATTTCACCCAGGAATCACTATGGTCCCACTAATCGTCTCTATGGCTCAGTCGGTAGAGCGTTGGTCTCATATTCATCTATATGACCCTGCCTGAAGGTCGGGATATCCAAAGGTCGCAAGTTCGAGCCTTGCTAGGGACATGTTCTTTTGCTCTCACAACCATTTTGCTTTCTTTTTTTTTTTTTCTTTTTTCCCCCACTACCTCCTCGCCCAGTAGAGCATTGGTCTCCTATTACTCGTCAATATGACCTGGCTTCTAAGCCTAGGATATCTAAGGTCGCAAGTTTAAGCCTTGCTAGGAACACGCATATTGTGCTTTCGCTGTACGCTTGCTCTTTTGTTTACATAAAATGTATAAGTACTAATGATAGATAGGCCTTCGTTTCTTCTTACCTTCTTTTCATAGTGGACTCAAAAAAGAGTGATGACTACGTTTAACCACTGTATACATACGTACAGCATATATATAAGGGTAACTAGGTAATGTGAGATATTGCTAATGTTTAATTAGATTGAATTTAAAACTTTTTACATCATGTCGACAATGATGGTCCGAATATCTCCATACGGGTAGGTAGGTGATGATTACAAAATTATAGAATATCGTCATGCTGAAAAGCTGTATTGCTAGGAACCCCCTCATCTAGCCGGGTCTCTTTTCATCACCCGCCCATTCGAGTCCTGATGAAGGACCTGTGTACCGTGGCGGCGGTAATTCCACTTGTGATATCTGCAGTGCATCATCAATCTGCCTGGACCTTCCGGGATGGTTCGGCGCAGGTGCAGTAGGCCGTGCGGACATGTGTACTGGTGTCGATTGAATGGATCGTGAGGGCGAATGCGCTGGTTCTGCGGTACCAATGGGCGTCGAGTCGGCCTCGACGGCCTGAGTTTCATCTCCGGGGAGTTCAAAGATGGGAGTATATGTGTTTCTTGGTGGATGTGGAGGATGTTGTTGAGCGGGAACGCTGGCAGGAGCCTCGTGTGCGTTCCAACTCGCGTTCTGTAATGTTGGTGACTCGGGTCCCCTTGTTGAATTCGGGGGGTATGTAGAGACGGGCGAGAAGGCCCATGTCCCAATGGTTCCGTCAGTATTGGTAACCGGCGACGGCCAATTTCCCGTATGCTGGCCGTACTGGTTTTGCCATTGTTGAGGACTCTCCGGTGCATATTGTTGCTGTTGCTGTTGGTGGCTCCTTGCAGTGGTACCCGCTGCCATCTGCACCGTGTGAGCGGTATCAGGTCTAGGGCCGTTCGCTCCGTTGTATGATGTCGTCGGCCGGCCAGGGGGCGATGAGGCCGTCATTGTCGTGAGACTCGTCGCACTGGATAACGCCGCAAACTTGCCACCACGGCCGCCCTGCCTTTCTTTTTCTTTGCCCTGTTTCCATCGCCGATAGCAGAGAAACGCGAGTCCAGCTATCAGAAGCGCGAGCGATCCAGCAATTCCGGCTGCCAGGGCCGCGCGGGTGTCTCTGTCGTCGGAACGCGACTTCTCGTTGTCGCTGCCCTCCTTTGCACTGGTCGTCCCGGTTGGGGCCACCTCGATTCCTCTCGTTATTGTCACCGTTACTCCGCCTGGAGCCACGCTCTGGTACGTCATCATGGACGTTGATGTTATTGTTCCCGGTGCTTGTGTTGATGATGCTTCGGGCGGCGGTTTCGTAATTGAAGTGGCAAATGTCGTCGGTATTATGTCTTCGATGTCGTCGTCGGGGTCCAGGAATTGTGCCTGAGAAATGCCCAGTGGTGTTCTCGAGTCCGTGCAGGAGGTCAGAAGCGTTGAATAAACGGTGCCGATCTGCTCTTTCGCTTGCTTCTCAATGCATCTCGCAGTCGTCAGCACGAAGTCGCCGCCATTTCCGCATAGACATGTATTCATCTCCGTGACCGTGTTACCGGTGCAGCCGGACGCGGCCGCTGCCGCGTCCAAACATGGCCTTGCTTTCACCGGGTACGCAGAAAAGTCGTTGACGAAAACAGCCCGAGACTGTGCTGCCAGGTAGGATATGATGAGTGCTGGAGTTGGGATGATTCGACGCCGAGGTCTTGGCGACATTTTCGGCGGCTCGTCGTTCAACGCGCGATGGCGTCGAGGGTCGGCTTGTTGATAGTTTTTCTAGCAGGAAGACGCCGCTGCCAACTTCCTTCTGGACATGGGTTCTTATTGAATACCTTGCGTACGCGTTCCAAGAGTCCAACCAAAGGGGTTTTGCGGTTTCGAGATGCGGTCGGTTTAGGACGTGGAAGAGTTTTGGGTGGCCGTGGAGGAGGAGGAGGGGACGGGGTACTAGACTGACTGATGGCAAAGGAAGCAATTTCCTATGAGAACACTCTTTCTGCCGTCTTTGGTATTGACCGACAACCTTGAACTTGAGTTGCTACAAGGATCCCGGGGTCCCAAAGGGGCCAGCCAGTTGGACCCGGAGACTCGGCTACTGAGGGATTAGGGGCCAAGGTGACACCCCCCCAGTCGTCGGAGGGAGCAACCTGGCATGTCCACAACACCATTGACGTGTGTCGTGATCATTTTGGTGTACGTGAATTCAAGACTATGTGGGGGGGGGACCATGACAACCGAGTCCCGGTTGAGACCCTCATCCCAGTCAAAATACGAGTCAAGTCAGCCTTCGCCGGGAGATTGGGTACTACCAAGGGGCAGAGCTCTCTGAATAGTTCCACTTAGCGGTTAGGAGAGTTTGAATTTACTTTCTGCATTGGTTACTGATCGCCTTCACCAGACCGTAGTGCACCGTTGTGCCTGGTTTGTAGATTGTGAAAGCCTAACTTCCCCCTCATCGGCGAAGACAGTTCCTAAACCATTCGTACTGAGGGGTGAATAGACGTTGCCGAGGTCAGAAAGGGCGCCAGCTACAGATACAACGCGGTCTGTTCGTCTTAAGGTCACACAGGCATACAGTGATAATGATACTAACGCGGTCGATCTCTCGGAACATTACACTTCTGGGAAATTGACCGCCAATGGACCGCTGCCATAAGCCGAGCTGCCGACTGGGGTCCTAGGGCGTCACCCACGGATCGCCTACAGGCTACAGATCATCATCATGTACCTGAACGACCTTAAGAGGAACCGTCTTGTACGGAGTATGCGTACTTAGATGCCGACTACATGTGGATACCAGCATCCCCTGAGTTTGCGCCGCCATTCCCCAGGTCTTCAACCTGGCCAGACCTGTTTGTTTAGGCTTCTGATTAGTTATCAAAGGGCGGACAATGGCTCGAAACAACGCCATCAACCCTATACAATTGCCGTCCGACGAACTGGGTTTGTAGGACCGAAACTTGACCTGATGCTTGATACCCATCAAGCTTTTGGCGCATCTGATGTTCACCACACGTATCATTTGAGCCACCCCCACCAGCTCACATCAAAAGATCTGGTGAGCGCAAGCTTTTTTTCCTTTCGCCCAGCAAACAACCAACGAACCGTGCTCCCGCCCACAACGCGGAAACCAACCATGTGGGGGCCATCCTTGGTTTCTCCAGAAACGAGATTGTGCCCTAACAGTCAGGCACTTTTCCGTCATCCATCTCACGCGCGCGCAAAAATGTTGCTTGACCAGCCTGGGGGTCGAACCCAGAATCTCCTGATACCATGTCGAATCGTAGTCAGACGCCTTGCCATTGGGCCAACCGGCCGTGGTCCGATAGGACTTGTCAATATGTGGTCTGTGGAACCGGAACGGCATTCAAGTCTCGGAATGGGCCCTTCGTGTGGACGACTGTTGAGCTGCTCCATTGAATTGATTGATCCTGGAGTTGAATTTGGCACACGTGACACGCCAGTAACCCCTTGATGCTTCATCTGATCTTCACTCCTGACACAAACTAGGATGGCCCAGATTGTGTCTCAGACGAAGACTTGTCATCACAACTCAACTGTCCCTTACTCACCCAAGGTTTCAGAGCAGCTTTGTGGCAATGTCGATGACTGATAAATGTTGCGTTTAATCATGAACCGCAAAACGGCTCCCGGTCCCTTGTCACGACATGCCGCCGCTGCTGCCACCTGCACGCAGATGTAAACTCAGCTATAAATGAAGAACCGCGATAAGCTTTATGTATGCACTGATTGACGATGTCACAAGGAGGAGATGGGGGAGCACGGTTAGATCTAAAGTCCTGTTTGGGGCAACAAAACACAAGCACACACTAGTAAGAAAGAGAGAAGAGAAAGAATAGGACAAGATGAAGTTGGAAAGATGACGTAACGAAGCCCCGGATCATGAGGTCTTTCCGCAACCATGGGTGGGGGTCATAATCAAAGTGAGGCCGTCTTTTCACCTATGGTTTTCCCTGGTCAGTTCCATGCATCGACCGACATCGACCGACATCGACATGCGACCTCGGCTAGGTGCCGCGCAAGGCATAACTGTACAATTCGAAGCCTTGCATTGTTTAACGGCCAACGGCAAGTTGCTGGAGGATATCTTCTGGGAAAATGAAACAGCATTCCACACCACTACTTTTCCTATGGAAACTGCAATAGAGTTCAACTCCTGTGCGGGCCTGCTGGGGATATGATAGAGTTTTTGTAGAAAATGTGATGAGTCTACGACTTTCGCATGTGAAGCATTCCCGTTTATCCAAAGTGAAAGATTATGTAATGTAACTGTTAAGCATTTGTGATAGTAAAGACGTAGGGTATTGTAAAGTCGCCTGGCAATTGTTCTACAAAGACGTTTAACTAAATAGGAACGCAACTTGATATAATTGTCTGTGTTGGTGCTTTTTGTTATATTGAGATTTGTAACCTGATGATGAACCCATGCGAAACATTTAACCCCTCGGTTTTGTTTTATAGCGTCTGCACAGCGAACAGTATAGAAGCTGTTGTTCTAATAACATTGATTCACCTTTTTATGTCGTGCCTTGCCTTATGAAACTTGACAGTTCTACTTGCTCTACGATATCAAGAGACGATATAGATGTGCCTATATAGTCTTCGCGATATCGTTCGTGTCAACTTCCTGTGACAGGAGGTCAGGGCGGGGGGTGGGTGCATACATGGTCCGGACTATTGCCGGGAAATTTGTCCGATTGAGACATGCAGACATTGGCCAAAGCGCGCGGCCTCCAGTTCACGCTTTCTTTCGCAATGAGGGTCATCAGGGTAGCCAGCGGTGTTCATCGTGCAGCACACATCGTCATCTCTTTCCCGTGACCAAGTAATAGTTCAAATTGTTCTGGGAAAAAGGGCCGCTTACCGCGCAGCCAAAGAATGCCTCCTGGCCGTCCCCGCCTGGACTTGGAGCCATACAAAGATGAGATCATCAGGGCGTTTGACCGGCGCGAAACCGTTGAGAGCATGATCAAGGGCCTCGCCGCCAAGGGCGTTGAAGTAAACGGCAAGACGTTCCAGCGCAGGATGAGGGAATGGGGACTCTATCGCTATGCGAAGACGCCCAAGAAGCAGAGCAGCACGGGCCGGACGAGCACCGTCGGCAGCAACCCGGGCAGCATGGCGGCGTCCGTCACTCAACCGGCCCTGCAGCCTATCACGCAACGAGACGAGATTCCTGACTCCGTAAGTCTACTTCACCGTTTCCCGATGAGGCAACTGTAAGAGTCGAAAGGAACGCCAAGTGGGCTGCGAGGAACCACAATTTTGGGTATCTGGAAATCGAATCGCAGGGGGCGGGGCTTTGTCCATTTGATGAGGATTTAAGAGCGCTGCCACCGCAGCCAACAGAGTGAGTAGGAACTAACAAGAACGTCGACTTCAGCTCAACGACGACAGTTCATCATCAGTTAGCTCCGTCACTGGCCACTCGCCAGAAGAAACGCCGATCAACACAAACAGGCCAGCGTTTGACTTATACCTCAACGGCCCGAGACCACCTTCGCAGCCGCCAAACATGTCCCAAAAAGTCTGGACCCGCCGGAATCCCGTAGGCTTTGGCCTGGAGAAGTCCCTCGAGGCCGTTCGAAGCCCCGGTGCCGCCCCTGTTCACATCCCGTCTCCGCCCCGCGATGTAAGTGTTGAGAGCCGATGCTGCAACTGTCTCTGACAACGCTTGTAGGTCGAAGTTCTCAAAGAGGATGGGGACTCTTTCACCCTTTCATCCTTCACATACGAAGACGCCTTTGAACTCGGTCACCTCCTGCACGCGCGCCTCCTCCCCTTCGCCCTCAGTAATGGCAAGCCCACGCTGGTTTCCATCGCTCTGGCCAACAGCCAGCAAATCATTTTCCAGACGTCCGTCGGGCCCGGCACCCTCCCCGATAACGAGATCTGGGTACAGCGCAAACGCAACAGCGTACTGCGATGGGGATGCAGCACGTGGCTACTCCACAACAAGATGGGCGGCGATGAGAAGCTTTTCGCATCAAAGTCTGGCATGAGCCGGGAGCAGGCCAGCAAGTACGCGATCCACGGTGGCGGCGTGCCGATTCGTGTCCAGGGTGTTGAGGGTGTCGTCGCTGTCGTGGTTGTGAGTGGGCTGAAGCAGGACGAGGACCACGGTGTCATTGTGGATGTCATCAAGAGTAACTGGCAATGCTGCGCGTGAGCTACGGAGTGGTAGGGCAGGATTCTTGGCCATGTACGAATCATTTGTTAACTAATGACCGTTCCTCTATTGCATCCAGTCCTAAAAGAGCAAAAAAGACGACAAGATAGATGACCGCCGGAACCAGTTGCAGTCAACGGATTCAACGCATGAATAGGGGGATTGGAAAAATGGAGACTAGCAATATGTGCCTTGCAGCGATATGCAAAGCGCCACCAGTCTCTGCATGTCACCCGATATACCGTGTGTGTGTGTGTGTGTGTGTGTGTGTATGTGCCAGGAGGAGCTCAACAGCATTGCTCTTTTCTAACCAAGGATCTGACGCCGGCCTAGGACGAGCGAGCAGATGGGGACATCGGAGAGTGCTGTGCGTGCCGAGCCGGGCAAAGGCGGATGAATCAAAATATTGGGAGTTAAGACAGAGCGAGGACAGGGTGGAAGAATCCGGACGGGAGGCAAGTGGCTGTTTTCTCCGGTGGCCAGACGCCTCCCCTCAGCGAGGTTGAGGTGTGGCAAGCCCGAATTGGCCAGTCCCGTGTCGGGCTATCATGGTCCGGATCTAAGATGGCTTTCAAGGCGAACCTGACGTAGCCCCGCAGGCCTAGAGACATCAATATACTTGACGGCTTCCATCGTTTCGATTCATGCGGAGAGATGGGGGAACATGGACTATTGGCCGTCTTTAATTCTAACCTCCTCTTGTCATTTCCCCGCTTTCTGTCCTTTCTCCAATTCCTCCTTCCATCCCACGCAGGAACGCCTCCGCTAATTCGGTCAATACAGTCCTCGGCAGCCAGTCTGGATACAGGTGCGCCCAATCGCTGCTCCTGTGAGGAACCAGAACCGGCTGATCGCCGGGCCTCCACCCGACATACTGGGCGGGACGACCAAGTGGCCTCTGTGATGTCTCGATGCAGGTGTAACCGCGTGACCTTGGAAAGCGAAGCGAACCTATATCCAGGTGAGCGCCAAGAGCATACCCATGCGCGGGTTCCTGGCCCGTTCTACCGTGAGGGCCATGAAGCGAAACGGACGCCGGCATGGCTTCACTTGGGCTCCATTCCAGCTCTGATGTCTCGCGACCGGTAGCTTCACAGCTCAATCTGCCAGACGCTATCTAACCCTTGCCATCGATGCGGTGCTTCGGAACGTGACGTTCCATGCGACTCAACGGGAAGAAGCGAGCACAAGCCAAGGATGGGACGCGCATGGGTGGCATCGTGAGCGTGGGCCCCCTTTGATCGCGTTCCCTAGTAAGAGCTCGTGATGCGGAAATGGGAAAAGAGGCTGGCATCCGACAGCTCAAAGTAGACATGAGATGGACTTGTCAATACGTGAGGTTATAATAAGCCTGGGCTCCCTCATGGTCCCAGTCTGTGTGCTCTTGTTTGTCTTCTGCTGCCATCGCCATTATCTCTCCTTACCCAGGTCTGTAAGCGATCATTCCCCTCAAGGACCTTGACCACTAGCCAGTCGCCATGGCCTCAAGAGTCTCCCGTTTGGGCCTGGCCGCCCTTTTCCTTGGCTTCGCAGCCGCCCAGCGCCAGGTCGGACCGGCCGAGAACCACCCATCGCTGAAGACGTGGCGTTGCACCAAGGCCGGCGGCTGCACTGAGGCCAGCAACTTCATCGTCCTCGACTCCCTTGCGCACAACGTCTACCAGGAGGCCAACGGCGCGTCCTGCGGCTCCTGGGGCAACCCGCCCAACGCGACGGCGTGTCCTACCAAGGAGGCCTGCGCCGAGAACTGCGTCCAGGAGGGCCTCGACGACTACAGCCGCATGGGCGTCACCACGGACGGCAGTGCCATGACAATGTACCTGCTCCGGAACGGCCTCCAGGTGTCTCCGCGCGTCTATCTGCTCGACTCGTCCAAAGAGAAGTATGAAATGATGCACCTGACGGGCAAGGAGATCGCTTTCGATGTGGACGTTTCGAAGCTCCCGTGTGGCATGAATAGCGCCCTGTATACATCCGAAATGAAGGCCGATGGCGGGAAGAGCGCGCTTAACAAGGGAGGCGCTTTTCACGGAACCGGTACGTATTGAGCCTCTTCAGATTCTCGGCCTATACCTGCCTGGTCTTGGACAAAGCTGACAGCTACTCGTCTTCAGGATACTGCGATGCACAGTGCTACACGACGCCATTCATCAATGGCGAGGCCAACATTGAGGGTTACGGGGCGTGCTGTAATGAGATGGTAAGATGCCCGAGTTGTTTGGTCACCTTACAGTTGTTGACAAGCTCGTAATAGGACATTTGGGAATCAAACTCTCGCGCGGCACACGTGGCACCGCATCCTTGCAATCAGACCGGCGTCTACCTTTGCGAGGGCGAAGAGTGCGCGTACGAAGGGGTATGCGACAAGGACGGCTGCGCCTGGAAGTAAGCAATCGCTCCCCAATCCACCATGATTCCTGAACGAAGTTGACCCTTTCCCCAAAGCCCGTACAGGGTCAACACCCCAGAGACCTACGGCCGCGGCCCGGAGTTCAAGGTGGACACCACGCGTCCCTTCACCGTCATCACGCAGTTCCCGGCCAACGAGGCCGGCGTTCTCACCGAAATCCACCGACTGTACATCCAGGACGGGCGCCTCGTTCGCAGCCAGGTCGTCAACAACCCGGACCTGCCGCAGGTCAACTACCTCAACGACGAGTTTTGTGCCGCAACGGGCGCCCGACGGTTCACGGAGCTGGGCGCGCACCAAGAAATGGGCGAATCGTTCGACCGCGGCATGGTACTGGCCTTCAGCATCTGGTGGGACGAGGGCGGCGGCATGAGGTGGCTTGACGGCGCGCCTGATGCCGGGCCGTGCGATGAGACGGAGGGGTTCCCGCAGAACGTTATCAAGGTCGAGCCGAACCCCGTCGTGACGTTCAGCAACCTCAAGTGGGGAGAGCTCGGGTCAACGTTCAAGCCCGAGTGCAAGAACAAGCCTAGAAACCTGTGAGTCTGAGGTCATATCAGTCGTTGGACAGAGCCGGGTCAATCATGTGGTCGCTGCCGGATTGTACCAAAACATGACATATTACCTTCCCTGAACAATTACCTTGTATAAGAAGAAATTATAAGGGGTAGCAGTATGCAAACCCGCATCATTTCGGTTTTTATTTTTTTATTTTTAAAACATTGTGCAACCAACGTGACCCAGTTTGCCGACGTTAGTACGAAAGAAGAGACGGAGGATGGAGTACGGATACCTGGTTCCTGAATGGTAGCGTCTGGAAGTGGAGGAAGGGGTGAAAACGGCCCCACGTGAGTCGGCTGAGTCAGTGGTGACGGATATCCGTCAGCGTGCACCAGACGCGTCGCGTAAAGTGGTTTGCTTCTCGTCCACGGCTTTGGCTTTCCTGCCCCGCGCGGCTTTCTTCAATTGGAGCCATCATGGGCAGGTTGCGGTCATTTACCAAAACACACCTTTCCCACTCTATGATGCCCTCACGGCTTCTCAATTCTCCTACGAATACCTGATGAGATGGAGGCGGCTACCGAGCGTCACTTCTTTCACCACGGTGCCAGTGAGCCGACCGGTGCCAAGACGTCGGCCAGGGTAATGCGCAACCCCCTCGGCTGCTCCAATGCAGACATCCCAAGCTGACTCGGTCTCGCGCAGGCTCTCGAAAAAGAGAAAGAACACTGCCATTGGTGCCAGATTCGTTCGTTCCCTACAAACAAGCAATATCCGATCACAATAGTCAACGAAGTTGACAACGCAACCATCCCCTCCACCTTTCGGTTTTTGCAGAACTCGAGACTCGGGGCCGGAGTCCAAGCTGCTGAGGATAATTTCCGCACAGGTTGCGAGTGTGCCGACGTGGAGGAATGTCAATACATGGGCTGTCTGTGCTTGCAGGAGCAAGAGGACGACCCGGACGACGAGGGGCACACCAGGCGGAAGGTCTACATGTACCATATGCACGGCGCCAAAGCTGGCCTGCTGCGAAGCAAGTTCCTGAACTCAAAGCGACCCATATACGAGTGCCACGATGGCTGTGCGTGCGCCGATAACTGCCCAAACCGCGTGGTTGAGAGAGGCCGCAAGGTGCCTTTGCAGATCTTCCGCACAGAGAAGACTGGATGGGGTAAGCAGCCGCCCTTGGCGCGTACAGCACGGGCAGCAACCAACGGCTGACCATTTGGATGACAGGAGTACGCTCGCTGGTGGACATCAAGAAGGGCCAGTTCGTCGACAAGTACATTGGGGAGATCATCACGCCCCAGGAGGCCCAGCGTCGCCGCGCTGCGTCCAGTATCGCGAAGCGGAAGGACGTGTACCTCTTCGCGCTCGACAAATTCACCGACCCGGACTCGCCCGATGTGCGCCTCCGAGGACATCCGCTTGAGATTGATGGCGAGTTCATGTCTGGCCCGACGCGGTTCATCAATCACTCGTGCGATCCGAACCTGCGCATCTTTGCGCGCGTCGGAGACCACGCGGACAAGCACATCCACGACATTGCCATGTTTGCGCTCAGGGACATTCCGAAAGGAGAAGAGCTGACGTTCGACTACGTCGACGGCGTCAGTGAAGAGGACGACGACGCAAAAAACAAGAGCAAGCAGGATGATATGGTCAGGTGTCTATGCAACAGCAAGAACTGCCGCAAGTTCCTGTGGTAATTGTTGGACAGGCGAGTTCCATACCCAAACGAGAGACCGTTGTTCTCCGAGACGCAACGGCTGCAAAGGGGAATCGCGACCGTTGCACTACCGCGTGGTGTGGGTGTGAGGTTGGATATGAAGAAAGACGAGAAGGCTGGACCCGGACGGATACAGAGCAGGGGTGCGGCGGCTCAGAAAGACTGGATCCTGTGCCGAAATGGCATACCTACCACGGTGGAGTAAATGAAGCCTACCAGCGTCAGTTCTTCAGAGTTACTGGGGACCGCCTTGGCTGCCGGGGATATCCGGTGTGTCGGGTTCGTCTGAAAAGAAGGAAGATCCAGGTGTGAGAAGGTGTCGTATGTACAATGTATAATGTAGGGTTCGACCTCTGGGGCGGCAAAGTGAACCCGGCGAGTTGTGTTACATTCAAGGAGGGCGTTTTCATGAACACATGATCCATCAGGGGATGACATGATTACTGAAACCCAGGCACCGATGAGAGGTGGCAGGATTGGTTTGAGAGAAGCAGGCCAATTACTAATTCGCACCATATTACTGGCGGTGTTTATCAGTCTCTCGTCACAAAGTAATTCTTTCTTTATTGTGGATCTTGCAAGGACACTTGCCCTCGGTCATGACTTGAGTCCATAGCCCATCTAGAGTTCCAGAAGCGTGTGTCCTCGGGCCTTGGATCAGAATCGGACGCGGGCGTCCAATGCTCGGTGGTTAAAGAACCTTTCTTTGGACCGAGTCGAGCACCGCCGACGCGGGCCAACCGAGCACGCCGCCACATACCTAGAGGTGGGGGACGTCCCGCACACAGACAGCGGGCCAGGCTGAGGAATGCTGGGGAACCATGATGTCGGAGCCCAGCTTTTTGTTTATTTGGTGGATCGTGCCAAGGCACTAGGGTCAACAAGCTAGGGGATCAAAGAATCAATAAGAGGAGAAGAAAGGGAAGAAGAATGGATTCGAGGCCGGCGGAAGAGCAAACGGGTACCGCCAGGCCGGGTTTGACTGGGGTTAGGCCGGGTTGGGCTTGCTTGCATTGCGGCATTGTCTCAGTCCATTGTCTTCAGCGTTATCCGCACTAAGCACTCGAACAAAGTAAGCGCCACGTGCAAATGGGGAAACCTGGTGGAATGGAACGGTCCCGGTTGAGAGGTTCTGTTCTGCACACGGGAGAAACCAGACTTTGACATGCGAAGCGAAACGAGATGAGACGGTGCAGATCAAAGATGCCAGAGAGTGACAGAGCCAGAGAAGAAATTGAGAAAGACCAAGGAAGAGGGGAGAGGGACAGGGGGAAAAGACGATAAAATTCAAAGAGTTAAGCAAAAGGAGCAAAAAGGGCAGAAAGTCAGGGTCCGGCCCTGTTCTGTTTTCTGCTTCTGTATCCGTACCTTGCCACCTTGTCCTAAGCGGGCCTCTATGTATTAGAGCGGAACCGAGTAATAATTTATTGTCTTACTGCTATTAGGACTGCCGCTACTACCACCCTAGCTACCTAAAAGCCTATTTCCTAGGAAGTTGCGACAACCAAAGTTCTGAATTCCTCTGGGTGCGACGAGGGGGGCAAGCGCTAAGTGAAAGTGAAGTCCGTCAGTCGGCCAACCTGCCTGTAAAGACGCAGCTCCCTTTTGTCACTACTAACGCTACCACCAGCCTATCTACCTAGCTAGCACCGGCCCTGAGCCTCATCCCGGTCACGTCGTCCGCTTGTTACTTATTATCACTTTTCTCCCCTCCTCCTCCTCCTCCTCCTCCTCCTCCTCCTCCTCCCCCTTCTCCTCCTCTCTCTCTTCCCCCTCCTCCTCCTTCTCCTCCCCTCTGCCCTTCTCGTCCAAGGTAAAATCACGCACGCTTCGGAGTCGTCACCTTTCGCTCAACTTTACACATCTGAACCTGCGCACGTACACGCTGGGAGCTGCCGCTCAGCTCACCATCTTCTCTTCTTCCATTCGCTGCACCTCCCCCCCCCTCCACGTTCGTGCCCGGCAAACCAACACACGAGCAGGCCTGTTCGCCGACCAACCAGCAATACTTTGGCACGTCAATCAAGCAAAACGGTCTAGACCTCCCCAACGGCCATTGTCCGATTTCCGCCTCTCCCCCTGTTTCCACCTAACGCACCTTCTCTTCGCTCTGCTGTAAGCCTTCAATCGCCTTTTCGCAGTCACCAACACGCCGTTTTGTCATTCTTGCACTGGTCGAGCTCGAGCTATTCTATCCTCATCCATCAACCGTTGCCACCGCTGTGCTCCAGGACTATCTCAGGCGATGGCACGGGATATCTCGACCTGCTGATATTATATACGAAAACCAGCGCCGTACTCTCGACTTGCCTCTTTCCGACAAAATGGTACGCCGATATCCCCTATTCCCTCGTTCTACGACCATCGGAGACCATTCCGTCTGGGCCCCCAAAGTGCAAACTGCCAGACTTGCATCTTGTCCGAGCACCCACATGCCGCCGCCTCGCAGGCTAACCATTCTTTGAATAGGGCTGCTGCATCTCTCGCTCCGAGGCCGACACGTACCCGCACCCCTCCAACACAGGCTCTACGCGAGCCACCAACCCCGCCGCCGCCGCCTCCGTCCCCCGCGAGCGCTCTCCCGCCAGCACCCATGCGACACACCCTTCTTCGGGCCGCCGCCGCGGCCGCCACTCCAACATGCCCCTCGACAAGCACATCAACAAGCCCTTGCGCCGCCACGAATGGTCCTCCAAGGGCCGTGCTTGGACACGCACCGCCCTGGACCGCGAGCGCGCCGACTTCTTCGACACTCGCGTCACCGGCCGCCCCGAGGTCTGGCAGTCGCTGCGCGCTGCCCTAGAGGTCCTCTGGGACCCCGTCGGCCAGAGCGCCGCCGCTGATGGCACCGGCGGCCTGGCCACGGCTCAGGGCATCCTCGACGCGGCCGAGATCACGTTGCCGACGGGAGACCTCGCCCAGGGCGCCTACGACCAGCTGGGTAACTATTACCCCCTCGCCGAGTGGCTTGTCGCCGACCCGGCCAACCTCGTCGAGGACGACGCCGCCACTGAGGGCGCCGACGAGGCGCTCTCCACCCGGGACCTTAAAGACGATCTCGCCGGCGGGGACGAGACCACGGAGGAGCTGGACGAGGACGACAACGTCAGGCGCAGAGAGGAGAAGGGCAAGGCCGTCGTCGACGCCCGAGACCAGCTCTCAGTGTTGGCACGCCTTAGCGAGACCGCGCGCGATGTCACTGTCAACTTTGTCAAGTCGGACACTGTGAGAGTCGTTGCTCGCAAGATACAGGAGCAGGCAGGGGTAAGTCGGCTCTTTACACACACGTCTTCTCCTCAGCCTTCCATAAACACATGACCTAACAAATCTTATAGCTTGTCGGCACCAAAAAAGTTCGCATCGCATACATGGGCAAGATCCTCAGGGAAAACCTCTCACTCACCGAGCAGGGCTGGCAGGAGGGCCATGTGGTCAATGCCCTCGTCTTCGACCGATAGCATCATCGGGGACAATCTCCAATGACCCGGTATTCGCCCTGGCTGGTCGTCACGCTGCGCACCGCTGGGACACGCATCGTATTCAGCCCCCCTAGCTCGCGGCTATCCTCAGGCATATAGGGGTCAGTCAGTAGGCGTGCCAGTTGCTGTCATGCCGGCCACTTATCTACAGTCAGTCGCTACGTGACAGAGGCCTGTATTTGGAGACGCGCGGGCTTGCTCGGAAGCTGGCCTGGCGCAGATGGCACTCGACGCACATACACACTACACGCCTCGCCTATTCAGGATCCTTCTCCTTACACTGGCTTGGCATATCAGCACAAAAAGTTTCTTTTGGTCTGGTTATCTCTTAGTCTGGATAAATACCCCCTTTCATCGCGGTCCGAGACTCCTTTCTCATCCTTTTGTGTCCCTCTTCTGCTTTTTTTCTTCTCTCTTTCCAGGTACTCGGCGTTCAGGAAAGGTACCGGGGGCAAGGAAAGCCTTGCCCGACAATCATCAAACATCAAATGAAAGGAAACGTGGCGAGCCATTGCAAAGGCGTCTGTTTTGTCTGTCTATAAAGCACATAGTTCCGAGAGTGTGTGCCTCCTTTTATCTCACTTTTTCTTCTCTCCCCTCCCCCTCTTACTTACATAAACCTCTTCTCCATCCTATCGTAGTTGTTTAATAGTTGATCGTTGGCGGCCGAAACCTGGCGGTGTGCGGCTATCTGAATCATAGCATGGGCCGGCGGTGTGGCCGTTTCCTTGGGGCCGGGAATGTAAGGAACAAATAATTTGATAGCAGCGCGAATGATCAATCAGCTTCCTTCGCAGTGTGATGTGTCGTATACCAAAATGTATGAGGAGAAGCGAGGGTTAGGGGGGATCTGTAGCTCTTGCTCGACCTTTCCTTAGTGTCTAGTTTGACTCAATGCCCGCCGCATCTGGAATTCCTCTTCGGTATCCGTATAGGAGAAGAGGCGAGCCCTGTCGGGGAGAACCAACCACTTGGGCAGCGAACGAAGAGATGCCGCCGCAGTCTCACGCAGACCTGGCCCAATCCCAAAAATGGAACATGAACATCTCATTTCTACCTACTCATGACGCCTGACCGGGCTGCACTTTTTACTCTAACCACACACAAGAGAAAGGAGGGGAAAGTCAAGGGAAGAAAAACATAGACAAGACCTTCCCCCCCCCCCCCCCTTTCCCCATTTCATTCCCATTTCAACGCTTGTCGACCGCTCCAGCCAAGCCGGCCGTCCGTTGTTCCCCTCTTCCCCACGCATCGTGTCTTTGTTCTTGGTTCCGGAGCCGTCGTGACACCTCCTCAGCTCCCATTACACCCACTGGCGTAGCCTTAGGCAGCCGGGGCGACACTGCTGTTTCGATATATAGCATCCAAACCTCACCCTCAAACCCTCTATGCCGCTGAGCCGATCTTGTTTAGGCCCTTGAGGGAGCCCAGGCTCAGGGCTAGGCCCTGCGATCTGCTTCTTATTCTGACAAAACCAGTGATGGGTCCGTCCTCGCCCTCCTTCTCGATGCTCAAGTTGGCCAGAGCATCCTCGCCTACGATTGTTAGCATGCATCGTGCTTGTTGCTACTGGCCAAGGAAACTTACCAAAAACACTGCGAGCGTACAGGTTGGCGCTCAGGAACTGGCAGTCGCCCTTCATGCTGGCCTCGGGGGTGAGACAGTTCATGTTGGTTGCTGCCATGAGCTGCTCGAGGAAGTCGCGGAGAGACTTGGCCTTGGAGTTGATGTTGACCTTGTTCTCCCACTCGAACTCGGTCCACATCGTACGGAATTGCGTCTCGGTGCAGGTCGCGGGCTGGATGTAATCCATGATGTCGACGTGGAGGTCGTTGAGAATGACAACGTTGGTATCCGTGGAGTGGGCGCCGTCGTAGACGACGTTGCCGAAGATGACACCAGTATCCGTAGACGAAACCTTGATGGTACACTGGACGTTGTGGAAGTCGTGGGGGCCCAGATTCTGTGTCGTCGGACGCTCAACAACCTTGAGGTCGCCCAGTGTGGCAAACTCGACGGACAGGTTCTGCAGCGTGTCCATTGTCTGGTTGACAAGCAGCACGTCCAAGACGATGTCGAACTGGTGCACCTTGACGTAGGCTTCGGCGTAGACGGGGTCGGAGAAACCAGTCAACTGGACAACGCGGCTGAGCTTAGACGACAGATCTTCTGCGGTGGCCTCTCCGCCAGTTGCCCTCTCTAAGTCAACCTCGACGTCATCCAGCCCGTCGCTGGCGTTCTTCTTGGAGAGCTGGCGGATCTGAACAACGTCGTCAACCTGGATGGCCGTCTTGGCCTTCTCGACGGCCTCCTTGGCGGCCTTCTTCTTCTCTTCAGCCTGGACCATCGCCCTGAACGCCTTGCGGGTATCGTCGAGGTAAACGGTCTCGAGCTCCTTGTTCTGGGCGAACTCGGCCAGCGATCGCACGCAAGACATGATGCGGTCAATCGAGTCCTCGTCGATGGGGGCCTTGACGAATTGCGACTGACCGACACGGATGATGGAGATCATGATGAGCATGGCCTCGCCGCGAAGAGCATTGGTGCGTGCGGCCTCGGCAGAGATTTCGGCATGGCGCATGACCAGCTTGACGAGGGTAGCAGAGAGGACCGTCGCGAGGTAATAGTCGCCGTCAAGAATGAGCTGGCGCAGAGGAGGCTTCTGGGCAGCCTTGACTGCCTCCAGCTTTGCAGCAACAGTAGACTGGCTGGTGAGCGCTGTCTCAGTAGCGTAGGTACCGTCGGCAAGAACCTTTCGGGAGCCGGTTGGAGCCGTGGGCTTGGAGTGGCCGTTGACCTGCTCGTTGTTCTCCTCCTCACCATCACCGTCAAGAAGTCGTTGTTCCGAGGCGAGGATCGGGATCTCGCCAAGGCTGGAACGAATGCTCTTCCACGCATCCCTGATGTCGCGCTCCTCCAGGGAGTATTCTCCTATGATCCACATAATTCCTCTGTACACCTTTCCGGCGCGCACCTCGCTGAGGGTGGCGACGAGCCTCTGCACGATGGGCTTGCGCAGCTTGGGGAACTTCTCTACGACCTCCTTAACAAAGTTGATGACATCGACGGCGGAGGTGTTGTTAAAGTCGGCGATAAAGTCCATGAGCAGGTCTACAACGCTGGCCGCAACCTCGGAGAACTTGATGGCGCACTGGTGGATTGTGTGGATGAGAAGTTGGCGGTACTCGGTGTTCTTCTCGTACTCCTGGTCGACAGTCTTGGACAGCTCCTTCTTGAGCAACAGAACAACCTCCTCGATGTTCTTGCTTGACACCATTTCGAGGGCAATATCCAAGGCCTTGCGTCGAACATCGATATCGGGGCTAGAGAGAACGCGGAGAATCTCCATAACCAAGTCATCCAGAATACCTTCGTTCTTTTTCCGAAGCTGGTCGACCCGATCGAGCACGATAAGCTTAACGTTGTTGTCCGCCTCTTTGATGCTGAGCTCGATGAACTTGGCGGCTGCGGCCTTGACGGCGACGGGGTTGTTGGTAAGAGCAGTTAATGACGAGGCGGCTTCGTATACGACAGTGGAGGTGTTTGCTTCAAGAAGGTCGAAGATGAGTCTGAGATACCGCGCCTGTTGAGTGTCAGATGTGCGGCCCAGCCCAGACTTGCGGCGGGAGACTTACCTTGTTCTGGGAGTTCTGGACGGCATCCTTGCGAATGAACTCGAGCTCGACGAGCTGCAGAAGCTCCTCTGCGTTCGGGATGCCCTCGAATACGGTGCTCAGGTAGAGCAGAGCCTTCTCGTGGTCGATGGACGCCAGAGCGGCGAAGGCGTTGCGCTTGCATGTCGCGTCGTTCTCGGATTCGAGGAATGTGGCAATGAGGTCGGAGGCATCGGGAATGAGGGAGGCGGAGTGTGTGTAGATGGAGGAGACGGCGAAGACGGCGTTCTTGCGGACATAGGCATGGCGGTGTTCAAGGCATTGTCTCGCGGACGAGAGAAGAGGTTCGATGAGTTCGGGTTCTCTAAGCTTGCACAGGAAGCGGAGGGTGTTTCCACGAATGTACTCATTGGGGTGTTGGAGGTCGTTTCTGATACCATTGCTAAGGCCAGAGTGTCAGCAGGGGCGATTCAGCTGCAAAGGGACGAAGGGCCAGCCACGAACCAGACCAAGATCATCTCCTGCTTCAGCTTGCCATTGGAGTCGAGCTTGGGGCAGATCTCGTAGTAAAAGTACAGGAGCTTCTTGAGAGCCTTGTGTTTCGAAGGCATGACAAATCGGATGATGTGCATCAACAGGTTAGGCATCGGGTCACCGTTGAGCATGATCGTGAGAATGCGCTTCATGGTCTCGACTTTGCTCTCATCGGTGCCCTTCTCGAGCTGCGTGCGCAGATCAGAGAGGGAGGGAACGTCAGCAGCATTGTCCTGGTGCACCAAGCTGTACGCATTGTCCAGAAAGGATGCCATCGTGGGCGGTTGATGTGGTATTGCTGGCGAAGTGCCGGCGCGGTGAGGTTAAGGACAGTGTTCAAGGGGGAAGAGTGGGATGTATCGAAGCTGGGCGGTGGGGATCAGACGGTCTAGGGACGGGGCGGAATACGTGTTAGCTAAGGGAAGCTCACGCTGTTTCGAGGTACACGTCTGCTGTGGATTCGAGGGGAAGGACCATATGCAGGGGAAAAGACGAACTTTAGACCATCTGTTCAGACTGTCCTCTTCCGCGCGAGACTTTGGTGGACATACGCCGCCCAGTTGTGCTGTTTAGGAAGCAATTCGTTCCGATATACGGCTTCGCAACTGGTCTCGCTCTCTGGCCCATTCGTGAATATCTGTCCCTGGGCGGCTGTTGCCGAACAGGTGTCACTAAGCGAGGACTACACGTGATTTTGGTGGGGACCCTGAAGCACGGAACGGATTAAATAAAGCTAGCGGTCAACCCGATTCGAATCTCTCGCAACAGAGCTCTCCTATTGGCCGGAGCTTGCCCGCTCCCCAAGATCCCCGCCAGGGCGGGCTGAGAGGCTGTCCGCCACTGGCACCCCCGGCAGGGTGGGCCCCGCCTTTTGGCACTCCCAAGTCTCCAGCCTTGCTTGCATCTCTAGGACACCAGCCGCGACAAGACAACGCAATTGACGTTGACGCCTACAGCTGCAACGATGTCGGCGCCTACAGATCAGTTCTACCTGCGATACTAGTATGAACCTTTTGCGTCTAGATTTGCAACACACGGGCTAACTGAACCCAGCTCCGGTCACTCTGGACGGTTCGGACACGAGTTCCTGGGTAACACCGACCCCGCTACCACTCGATGCTTCGATCTAAGTGTATACTGATGGCGGTCCGCAGAGTTCGACTTCCGCGTCCTTGGCGATGGAAGAAGCGCAGTTGCGCGTTACGCGAACAACTCTAACTACCGAAACGACAGCCTGATTCGCAAAGAGAGTACGACAACGATTTCGAAATAAGACGCGTACTCGGCTGACTCGGGAGAATAGTGTGCGTCAGCGCTCTTGTTATCGACGAGATCAAGCGCATCATCAAGACCAGCGAGATCATGAAGTAAGACTACGGCCCTGATGGCGGATGACACGAGGGGCAGCGCTGACACGTTATGAAGGGAAGACGACTCAAAGTGGCCACAGAAGAACAAGGACGGGCGTCAAGAGCTCGAGATACGGCTAGGCAACGACCATATTTCATTCGAGGTGAGTGGCGGCGGCTTTGTGATGCCAGAGAACCGCGCTGACGTGTTTCGAACAGACGGCCAAGATAGGTTCATTGGTCGATGTCACGGAGTCCGCCGACCCTGAAGGACTCCGAGTGTTCTACTACCTGGTGCAGGATCTGAAGGCGCTGGTGTTCAGCTTGATCGCCCTGCACTTCAAGATCAAGCCCATCTAAACGAGCAGCGAACCCGACTTGGCGGCGGCGACGACGACGAAATTGGAGATACCCGGAACAACTGGCCAACGATTCTCACGAGAGGGGGACCGCGGAACGGCCGTGACGAAACACCGCATGCGACCTGCGGAACGACAATGGTTCCATTTTCTTCTAGAAAATTGCATGATGTCGTATGTTGGATGCATGAAGGGAGGGGGGTTCTTGGGCCCTTCAGCTCAGACGACAAGCTGGCGAACGGACGTACGGGCAGGCGGGCAATTCAGAAGTCCTGCTGGTCGTCCCGTATGAAAGATAGACTTGGACGAGACTGCACCGCACGGCTTCCGGTCGTGTGTCTCTGTCAGAAAACATAACGCGATACGTTTCTCTCTCCCTTTCTTCTTCGCTTTCCGGCATAAACACGCACGAGTGCTTGTTGAAGTCACGATTCCAAGTGGCGGATCAACAACGGACCCCAGTAATTACTTGGCAGGCCGAGAGATGAAGAGTGGCTTGTTCTGTTTTGGGTTCCTTCTGAGGTGACATGCGGCCCGCCGTTAGAGTTCCGGCACAGGTAATGGGTCAGATCAGCCAGGTCTTGAGACGTTGGCACCAGGGTTTAAGAATGAAGGTGTTGCGGTTCACAGGCACAGGGCAATCAGACCAAAAAAACTCGAGTCGTGTTGTGGAACATTGCATGGCGCAGCTGGCGGGAAACCACCGGCTTACTCCGGCGGACTGCTAGCAGCATGAGCCAAACTCAAGGTGATCCCTCTTTAAGGTTACGCAGGCATCTACACGACACTCTAACACAGTATAAGCATCATGCCCGATGCCCAACACCATAATAGAGGGTCTCTAGATAGAAACACAATACCATGGCACATGGATCTCGTAAGCTGTAACTTAACCTCCCCTATCAAGCAAGGCTGCCAAACGACAAAGTCTAGCCGGGCTTGCAGGGTCCAAGAAAGTGAGAAGGAGTCAGTCGTTCGACGGCCTCGGTGGGCGATGTGGCCCCACCCCCGTTTCCCCTTGGAGGCTCGGATCGTGCCAGAAGAGTGGCATCGAGGGTGCTCTCGTGCGACGCGTGCGTGATCGTGAGGAGTTTGAGACTCGCCACATAGTTCCAACGCGCCTGAAGGGCCTTGGAGAACCTCGGTCAGGACACATTGCCGCCGGGGTTCCGCCTGGGATAGGAGTGACGGGTTCGACGAATGCTTCCGACGAAACGCCACAGACGGTGACACCAGAGCGAGCAGCAAGAATGCGAAGCCACTTGGGCTCACAGACTTCTGACAGGAAGCTGCTGGCGGAGGTACTCTTCTACATCACGTGAGGCTTACTGAGCTGTGGACGGTGCACTATACTACGCAGCTCTGTCGCAAGACAAAGCTTAATATATAATAAGAGGCTGGATGAAAGGTTAGGCCGGGCTCTTATTACAAGTTTTCTACCGCGAGTCAAGTTCTGCGTAAGGCTGTACCTGCGGCTCGGTAGTACCTAGGTAATCTATACGTGAACTGTTAGGCTGCCAGCGGTAGCCTACATACTCCACCTCAGGTACCTACCTACCTTACCATACCAACACCATCTTTGGGATTGGGGGGATTGTGCTTGGACAATGTCTGAGGGCTTGATGCAAAAGAAAGGTCAGTTGGCTGCAAGAGCACAGAGTTTGGCCCCAGTCTGTGCTCACAGCGCGGATGGCTTCAGGCGCTCTGCCGAATCCTCCGTGCTGCCGCGAGGGCCTGAAGGGGGGGGGGGGGGGGACGGGCGCTGGAAGAGCCCGCAAGCCCGACTACGGGAAGCCTTGACCTCGGTTTCCCCCGGAGAAGAGGGAAGATGATACTGTTACAGCAGGCGGAAGAGTGGAGGGCGGCAGCTTACGGGGCACACACAGAGACAATGCCTCCCACAGAAGGGCAGCGACAGGTAGTGTGGTTTCGGGCTGTGAGACGTGTGATGGGCGCGATGGGGTGAGGTGGGTGTTCATAGACAGCCGCGACAGGCGAGTGGGAAACACAGTGGCTGTGACTGCGACAGACAGTGAGTGTGGCCTAAGACAAGTTTCGACAATTAATGGAGCATGAGCATGAGCATGAGCATGAACATGAGCATGAACATAGATAGGTATGTACAGGTATGAATATAAGCATGAGCCTTGGATTGCGTGCGAGCAAGGTGAGTGAGTTGGCGGGGCTAACGAATCAGATGTCCAGCGCCACAGGAGCCGAGAGGCCGTTGGGTTCCCCATAAGTGATGCGTTTTCAGCGTCCCTGCGACGCTTGCGGCCCGGCAGCCTGTTTCTCCAAGCTACTAGACGGCGGAAAAGGCGAAAAGGGAAGAAGAAACCACCGGGAGATGCTGTCAGCTAGAAGCTAATTACCTCGGCATACCGCGTGCGAGACAAGCATGGCCGAGTTAGCGCAACCTTCATGTTAGCGCGTGGCAGCATCGAGGCGCGAAAAGCGACAGCAATGACGGGCACTGGGGGAAAGGAGAGGGACTGAAGAAGAAGATCAAGAAGGAAGGGGGAGGAGGAAAAAAGAAAATGCATAGGCAAAACCGCAGTGCGTCCGTCGGGCGAGGCTTTTCCAGCGCGCAGAAGTGGCACATGCCGGGGGAACCCTTCCAACGTGGCTAGCGGTAAACGAAGCGTGTGTCCACGTCCCCACGGGCCTATCTCTCGCTGTCCATCTGTCACTGCTGGATGTGGCTCTCGGCTTGGCTTTTCTGCCTGCCTTCCCTGTACGCAGTAAGTAGGCTGTGTGTGTGTCAGTCAGTCTGCCTGTCTGCCTTCGGATTGATTGCGAGCAGAAGGTGGGGAGGGCATGCAGGCGTCATCGGCTGCAATGCATCAATCGACTGCACCCCTTCACTCCCGCATTTTTCACTCTCACCCCCTCCCAATGCGCACTCACGTCCCATTTCATGTAGCATTCCGTATGGTGTAGGTGGCCCTCACCTTATACGGATACTTACCCTGCATTTGTTCCCAAACGGTGCCGGGCGTTGTAAATGGTAACCGTGTATTTCGCCATGTTCAACTCACTTACACAACAATAGTCTTATGGTAGGTAGACTCACTACACAATATCCATCTATACTTACCAACCTACATGCCTATTTAACAAGATTTTCTCAGGCAAAGAACCCGAAAGTATACTTCCTCGTACTCATCAGGTCCATCCATGCCTGTGACTGAGTGAACCCAATCAAACGCAATACAGGTCCATCCCGTCCCATCCCATGCCTCCCCGTCCCTCGTCCCAGACCATCCCCGTCACCCCCATTTTCTCTCATTCCTACCTACCTAGGTACGTACGTGTATTCCCCCGTTCCACGCTTCCGACGAGTACATTACCTGCTGGAGTATCCTTAGTACCTTAGGTATCCGTATATGTATCCCGTGCGTCCTATACCATGCCTACCTACCTACCTCAGTTACCTAACTCTGGTCCTCTTGTACACGTATGGGCACATCCGTCTCTCTTCCCTTTCCCCCAATCCCAATCTCAATCCTCACACCCCCCCGTCCCATTTTCCATTCCTTGGTTGCCATCTCTACCATTCCAACCGCTGCCGTTACTGCTCCTGCTGTTGCCGCCGCCGCCGCCGCTACTGCTGCGGGCAACCCTTCCATTTCATCTTCCACATCCAGTCTGCCTCGATCAGCTTCTCCTCCCTCACATCACTCATCCTGCCCTCCATTCTGAATTCCCTCAACTCCAGAGAACATCGTCTCGCCTTCCGTTTATACTTCAACTACTACAACTTTGATTTCGGCTTCGACCTCGGCTTCGACCTCGACCTCGACTCGCTCCCATCAACAAAACTCCTCGCTACCCGCTGCGGTTCCCGCCATCATATTCTACTGCGGATACCTGGGGTAGTATTTTCCCGACCAATAAATACCATACCTTTCCTCGAGCCCCCCCCGACCGCTACCCCCCGCTTGGCAGGCCTCTCACCCTTATCGTCTGCCTGCTTGCACGCATATAGCACTTAGTTTCTTGGGTCATCCATTGCTCCAAGTGGCCTGAATCACCTCTCCTCGCAACCTCTCGACCGAGACTTCCCTCGAGCACGCGATCGCACATAAGTGAGTCCACCGACGAACTCGCGACATCGCCTCTCACTCCAAACGCCAGTCAGCACTCTCTTTGCTTGAACCCAAAGATACTCTCGCCACCCACCCTTGCTATCATCATTGCGGGGCCCTCTTCTTCACCCCCCCTGCTGGCGGTAAAGCCGCAGCCGTTCCCGGTCGACGCGACCGAACCCCATCGCCCGACATCTCCACCGCTGCACTCCACGACACACGACCTCCAACTTCCTCTCGCCCAACATGCCGACGCCTTCATCCAATCCTCCTCCCGTCTCACATTCACCCCGATCTTATGCTTTCTCGACATGTCCTGAAGACAGCAGCTCAATACCCCCGCAACGCAGCTGGCGCACGCCGACCGATGCAAGCCACGGCCCTGCCGAGATGGATGCCCATCACGACGATCGCATGGACGAGGACGGATCACCCTTCCCCCGAAGCAACCTGATTTCAGACGCCCTCAGGGGCCCAAATTTACACCCCCTCAGCGGCCTGATGTCACAGGCCAGGGGCATGAGCACAGAGGCCATTCTCGACGATGAGCACACCTCTGCTGCGTCCTCCTCCCGATCCACCACCATGTCGCCGAGGCCGCAGTCGGGCGACACCGCTCACTCATCACCGGCGATCGATACGGAATCGTTCAAGCATACGGAATCCGATGACGACGGTCACTTGGTTGGCGAAAGGCTGAGGACGTCTCAAGGGGACGGTGCCAGGCGGCGTGACCCTAGACTATCACCGACGTCGACGCACGACGAAAACAAGGACGTGGAGTTCGACGCCAGCGACTTGTGGGAAGAGGAGCTGATGGCGCCGTCGATGGGATCGGATTTTTCCAACATGCGGGTAAGTAAATCCAGCGACGTAGGTGTATGGCATCAATGATTAACGTCCCAACTAGATCATTCCATCAACAGCGTCGTCCTTTTTGCGACCTGGAAGCAAGTTCCACGGAACCCAACAATCCGAACGGCAGGTGTACGACGTGCAGGTTGAAATCAAGCACGTCGATCTCAGGGAATCATTTCTGTGCGGATACCTGCGAATTCAAGGTAAGGAACGGCTAGCTTTCCCGCCCGTCGTGTAACCGTTTGCTGAACCCTATGCGTGTGCGCGTGCAGGCCTCACTGAAGACCACCCCACATTGACGACGTACTTCGAGGGTGAGATCATTGGCACGAAATACAGCTTTATTACCAACCATGAGACTTGGGGCGCCACCGATAAGATCGACCTTAACCACTGGGCCAAGTTCAACGCCTTCCGCCCGTTCCAAAAGCAGGCGCGCAAGGGCCCGGTGGTGATCCGTGATGTCGCACAACGCGAAAACATCTTCATGCGGTGGAAGGAACACTTCCTCGTCCCCGATCACCGGGTGCGCACCATTTCCGGCGCGAGTTTCGAGGGCTTCTACTACATCTGCTTCAACCAGGTCAAAGGGGAAGTGAGTGGAATCTACTTCCACTCAAAGAGCGAAAAGTATGTATCGCCACACAATGCATCAAGATAACCCAACCCTTTTCTTGGCCCTGCTTTCTTTTCCCCAATTTTTCTTCTTCCTTCTGTCCGCTAACGACCGACACCAGGTTTCAGCAGCTTGAGCTCAAGCACGTGGAGGATAGGGGCTGCTTTGGCGCCATGGAATTCAGATGAGACCCTGACACCAGGTCGCATTGGGAAGAAATGAAGAAAGAGGGGACGGGGGGGGCTCGGCCGGCCATAGAGGCACCGAGCGCGATAGCAAACATTATGCGGCGCGCCGGAGTATAGCTGCTTGGGACGCATGCGGCTTTTTGGTTTTATTCTACTTTTTTGCGAATGATATCAAATGATAATGCGTTGGTACGCCTTGGGTATCAGTAGGGATTATTCAATGCCCGGCGACGGCAGGAGGATCACGACACCTAGGTACAGAACGAGAGAGGGAGACGAGCGCGGGGTGGCACACATACATGCACTCAAACCGCATCTACAGTATTTCTCATCAGGCGCAGGTAAAGCATCAACAATGAACCGGGCACCGATTTTGTTCTGATGTACAAGGCTTTGGATGGAGGTATATTGTTTTCTTTTATCATCATTCTCCCATGCTTCTATGACTGGGGTTCTTCTTTTTCGAACTTGGTGAAGTAACCCTTTCGGAAGGGATTCAGTTCATCTGCTGTTGTTCCCTCCACGGTAGTGCGCTTATAGGCGGCCACCCTTTCAGGGTCGACCTGGCTGTCGGGGATGCGCCGGTACGTGATGAGTCTACGAGACCCTTTGGAAGGGGGAGCAAAGAGATCGACCGGTCAGCAAGAAAAGATCCAACGAAAGCAACGTGTGCAGGATGATGGAACAGGGAGGGTTGGGGAGGGCAGTCGGGCCTGGGTAGCAGGGGCATAGGTAGGGGCAGCAGCTCCGAAAGGAGGAAGAAGAAGAAGAGAACACTTACATTTGTTGAAGGGCTGCACGCACGTGACGACGATGTCAAGGCGAGGGTGCTGCGGCGTGGGGATCTCCTGGTCCTCGTCGTTGGCCGTGGGCATCCAGAAGGAGAGGCGGCCGCCGTCGATGAGGGTGTCGGAGGCGAACTGGAGGATGTCGTCGAGCATGGCGAGGAAGCTGTACGGCTTCTTGGGGGCGATGAAGTCTCCCGACCTGCGCGTCTTGTTAGCAGGCCGAGAGGCCGATGACAGTCGGCGAAGGAGGGGGCGAGGGGGGTCGTTGGCTCACTTGTAGCGCTGTTTCCCAGCCTCGACGACCCACGGCGTCTTCTCCGGGTCTCGGCACCCCAGCACCCTCAGACCCTCCCGCACGCCGTAGGGCGGGTCGCACACGATGCCGTCGAGCCACCTGCTCCTCCGGACGGGGGTGTTTGTCAGGTCGGCAGTCCAGAACTCGCCTATGCGGTCGAGGAGGCCGTACTGGGCAAAGTTTCCGCGGACGCTGCGGTCGCCGCCGGCGCCGCGGATACTGCGGCCGTCGATGTCGCTGCCGAAGGCGAGGGCGCCGAAGTGGGCGCAGGCGATGGGGAATGAGCCGGTTCCTACAAAGGGGTCGTAGAAGAGGCGGCCCGGGGCGGCGTGGGCGAGGTTGGCGGTGACAAGGGCGAGCTCGGCATCCATTGAGGTAGTACTGATATACCCGCGCTTCTTGAGGTCGTAGCGGAGGCCAAGGTGGCGTGCGCCGGCACCGAGGTGGCGCCCGAGATGGACGCGCTTGGGGCGGGCGCCATGGAGGTCCCAGTCCTCAAAGATGGTGAGCTCGAGCTCGGGGGACTTGAGGTCGATGCCACCGCGCAGGGGGAGGTAGCGGAAGCTGTTGATGAGGGCGACAAAGTCGGCATGCGGGCGGGTGGTCTGGTAGGAGTCGAGGGAGAACTTGAAGCGGGCTGTGGCGACGGAGGGCCAGTCGAAGGAGGTGGGGCCAGGGGCGTCGAGGGAGGACCTCACGGCCTCGTGGAGGGCGTCGTGAGAGGGCGCCGAAGCGATGAGGCGGTGGATCGACTGGGTCAGGAGAGAGCGGGCTACGAGGCGCGGGGCGTCGGGTGGGGAGGGGAGGGTGATTATGCAGAAGGGGGACTGTGATGGCGTTAGCCGGGCCGAAGGTCTGTTATGTGAGATGGTGTGAGAATTGCGATTGCGATGATGGGGAAAGGGGGTTGACGGGTCAGGAGCGAGGGGTGAGGCTCGTGAAAGAAAGTCATGAGAAGGGCATGCGAGTGAGAGAGAGAGCAACTACTTGACGGTATTCCATAACCCGATACTCGAGATACAAGACAACAGGAGAGGTGATTGGATTTATTCCATGATTTACAGATGCGAAAACAACCGTTTTCAAGGAGCCGTGTATGATGCTCGAACACATCCAGTGCTCACTCAAGACCGCCCAGAAACGTATGTAACAGAAGAAAACTCACATCAGAGCTGTACTCGATGACCTTCATGTCGATCCCCTCGAGGTCGGCGAGAGCCTGCAGCTCTGGGAGCCGGAAGGACTCATGGGCCTGGGAGAAGCGGACGAGGTACTCCATCGCGGGCCCGTCGTCGTTGTCGTCGTCGTCTTCGTCGCTGCGCCGGGTCGTGGACTCGGGCAACGGGGGGGTGAGAGGAGGGGCAATCGATAAAGAAAAAATAAATGCTGGCCTAGAGCGCGGGGGTGGGCGAAAAGTGCCCCTCGTTTTGCGCAGGGTATGTATTTGGTCTGTTCGACGTGTTAGCCAAGATGGACACACTAAATTTCCTGGCTTTATTTTCGTTCGACTCACGAAGCTCAACTAGAAGTCTTCCAACCTGTAATGACTTCAGAGCTTAGCCGGCTCAATTCTAGTGACGGTATGTGAGAGGAGTTTGTTTGCCTTGTTCAATCGTGGTCGACTCCCGCTGACTCGGCGGGTTTGTAAGGCGCTGCCAGAGGACGGCATTGTCGCAGGGCCACAGCCATATGTGCGCACGCCTGGGTGCGCGAAGCGACGGCGGCAGCAGGCGGCACAAGGCAGGGGTCGCGCCAGCAAAGCGGGTACATCCCGTCCATCTCTCAACGCCTGGCGTACGATTAGCGGATCCAGATGCCATTTCTCGATTTTGCCATGTCGAGCTCGCTCTTTCTCTCTCTCTCTCTCCCCCGTATCGGCTTGAGGACTCTATAACCAAACAGCGCGAGCGACGAGAGTGCGTCTTAGCCGAGAACGTGGTCAACAAAGAAAACGCCATGCTGTCGCTCCCTGCTCCAAGCGTCTACCAGGCGCCAAAATGCTTCGTCACGTACGGCACCATGGCCCACGTCGAGCCCAAGCAGCTACCCACCAAGGGCAAGCCGTGGGCGCCCATCTTGGCCCAGGGGTTCAATCACAAGGTTTCTTCTCATTCTATGCATGCTGTGCCATCATTCCCGACTGACATCTTCAGGTCGAACTCATCCTACCTCAGGAGTGTTATGAAGCCGTTCACCAAAAGCTGGTCAAGGAGCCCGCAGCGCCCACGTTCCACCGCGTCATCATGACCCTCGGCCAGGTGCTGGACGGGGCATTCTTCAACGAGTACATAAAAAAAGGTCCGTCGCGCGCCAGGGGCGTAGCGTTGCATGGCGGCTGACCCCAACAGGAAACGTCCTCATGCTCTCCGAGGGCAGGACAGCCGTGGAAAATGTCTTCTCCCTCCGCGAGGGTCTGCTCACCATGTACCTCGACAAGGAGACGTACGAGCGCGCCGGCCTGGTGGGGAAGCCTCACGGCATCAAGGGCAAGAGAGGCCTGAAGCCGAGATGGGGTGAGTGGACATGCCTCGCTTCACTGTCATCGGCAGTACAGTACTGACCCCTCGCCCTTTCTAGTCGTGAGCTACCAGTTGCGAGACCCGTCCATGTTTCACGGCAAAAAGGGTTTCGACAGGCTCCTCTACGCGTGCAAAAACGTCCTCAACTCGCCCGTGACATGGTTGTTCTGCAATGCGACGACTACTGGTAAGCCGTCGCTCCGCGCGCCCTATTCTACTGGTGGCTAATTCTAACATTGTCCAGCGCCGTCGCCGGACCCCTTGGACCAGTACTTCCCGACTAGGTACACCTGCAACCCCAACCTCGTGGCCGACATGCATGTTCAAACCGCACCGCTGGCAGTCCCCAGCGAAATCATCCAGAACGGCGACAGACCCAGCCTCGAGGACTTTGCCACAGAGACGTACGAGTGGCTGTCCCTCATCCGTCTACAGAGCCCCCGCGTCGAGGCCGGAGACAGCATCGACCCGTACCTCTCACGCTACCAGATCCCCGGCGACCCCGACCCCGACGCCCCGTCACATTCGAGAGTCTGTAAGATCACGTGGCAGGGCTTCTTCACTCCGGAGTGGGTGCGCGGCGTCCTTATCAACACCCTCGTTGCCCTGCCCTCGCGGACCTGGGTCTCCCTCAGCGCGACCTCCTTCTCCAAGGGCATGGCCGGTGACAGCACCGAGGTCGCGTTCCTCCGCCCGCCCGCATCTCCCGGCCACTACATGTTTTGGGAAATTAAAGGCGACGAGTAATAAAAAAAAAAAACGAAAAAAATAGCTTCTCTTTTTCCTTATTCGGCCTCTAAGCCTGCTTCTGGCGCACGCTGCGCTCGTCGCCCAAGCCCTGGTCAAGGATGGCGTCCTCGACGAGACGGCGCAGCTCGGCCTGGCCCTCGGGGGTGTGGAAGTCCTCCCTCTCGGCTAGCTGTTCTATCCGGCGCTTGAACTCGGGGTCGACCTCTTCGGGGACCTCGTCGACCTGGTCCATGGTGCCGAGCGTCACGGCGAGGCCCTCCGGGACGGGCGGCATCTCGATGGGCGGCGCGGCGGTGTCGGCGGTTGTAGTAGATTTGGCGTTGCCCTCGGTGGTGCCAGTTGAAGCGGCGGCGGCAGCAGCAGTGGCGTCGGCGGCCCGTTGGGATTCGACGCCCTTGAGGTACTCGGCGACTTCAGGGTAGTCGGCCTCGGCCTCGATCTTCTGGCTGGCGGTGATGCCGTCGGCGCCCTTGGCGGCTATGTCAGCGCCGAGCTCCTCGACAAGGCACTTGGCCGCATCGACGGTCTCGACGACGAACAGCGCCGTCTCGTCGTCCTCGTCCCTCAGGTCGACGTTGACGCCAAATTCCCTGACTATGGCGCGCAGGAGGTCCAGGTGGTTGTAGCTTGCGGCGGCGTGGACGAGCGAGTAACCGTGCTCATCCTGGCCCGAGGCGATGGCGGGGTTCTCACGGAGCAGCGTGAGCAGGGCCGCGGGGTTGTCGGCGGCAAGGAGGTACGGATTGGGGCCCATTGTTGGTTCGGTGGCTTTGATGTCTGAGTGCTCGACGGATCCAGGGGGGTTCGTAGTTTGTAGCAAGTTGAGAATTGAGGCCAAATTCGGCAGTGGCGCAGTTGGATGGTGTCTGGGCTTGAAAACCGGTCGGCGGTGGACAGATGCGATGCGATGCGATGCGATGCCAGTGGGAAATTTTCTGCCATGCGGGGTGATCTTCCGGCCCTGGCCTGGCGCACAACCCCCCCACCAAAACCATCCCACCGCCTTTCTATTAGAGACAAGTCCCCTGGAAACAGCTCGACTGTGCCCCTCCAAGTCTGTCGTGCAACGCCACTTTTCTCTGAGTCCTCATATCCGGAAAGCGTAACTGCAAGTTCCATTATCTGATCTCACCCTCCAAACGCAGCAGCAGGCAGAAGCTCGCTCCCCTCCCCCTTGCTTGTGTGCAGAAGCCGGTGTGACTGACTTTGCTTGCTCATTCTCACCGACGACTCTTTTTCTTCATTCTTGGTTGAGGCCGCTCGGATCCAACAGGAGCTGGTGAAGTGACTCAACCCCCTGTGTTCCGGTGTAGTGCGATATCTCGGGTTAGGCTGCCATCCTTTTCAGCAAACAGACAATAGTCACGCTTGTCTGCCCTTCTCCATGTTCATTGCCCGCCGGGCTCTCTTCTTCTTCACTGCTAGACCATCTCCACTCACTCTTCCAGCCACAAAATCTCACATCCTCTCCAGAACCATGGCAACAAAAATAGCGGCAGAGGGGGTCATGCCCAAGGCTCCCTACGTCCCCCAGGACGTCGAAAAGGTCACCAGCATGGTGCGCGCGCTGGACGGCGCGAAGAAGCTCAGCAAATCCAAAGGCGGGGGTTTCTCCTGCAAGAAAACGTCGTTCGACGTAAAGACTTCTCAGGACGGCGTCGTTGTCGACTCGTGGAAGATGCAGGAGTGGGATTACAAGAAGCCGGACCTGCCCACGTACGCCCGGGGCCTCTTCACAACAAAGAACCGCCTCAACGAGCCCGAAATCGTCGTGCGCGGCTACGACAAGTTCTTCAACGTTGGCGAGGTGCACGAGACCAAGTGGGAGAACATCCTTGCCCGCACAAAGGGGCCTTACGAGCTCACCCTCAAGGAGAACGGCTGCATCATCTTCATCTCCGGCCTCGAGGACGGGTCCCTATTGGTCTGCAGCAAGCACTCCACGGGAGAGAGGGGCGACTCGGAGATCAGCCATGCCATAGCTGGAGAGCGCATGATCGAGAAGCAGCTGGCTGCCCTGGGCAAGACGAAGGAGGACCTGGCGAGGGAGCTGCGGGATCGCAACGCCACGGCGGTGGCCGAGCTGTGTGACGACTCCTTTGAGGAGCACATCCTCGAGTACGGCCCAGACAAGGCAGGTCTGTACATCCATGGCATCAACCTGAACCTCCCCGAGTTTGTCACCTACCCTAGCGCCCTGGTCCAGAGTTTCGGCGACGCCTGGGGCTTCAAGCAGGTGGGCCTGATCATCATGGACGACGTCAACGAGGTCAAGTCCTTCCTCGAGGGGGTGGCCGAGACGGGCGCCTACGGCGACCGCGACGTTGAGGGCTTCGTCGTCCGCTGCAAGGAGAGCCACGCCCCCGAGTCGGAGCCTTACCGAGACTGGTTCTTCAAGTACAAGTTCGAGGAGCCCTACCTCATGTACCGCCAGTGGAGAGAGTGCACAAAAGCCATGATCACGGGGAAGCCGCCGCGCTACAAGAAGCACGTCAAGATCACCGAGGAGTACCTCCTGTACGCCCGCCGGCGTCTGCAGGCCGACAAGGAACTCGCCAAGCTCTACCAGCACAACCACGGCATCATCGCTCTGCGCAACGACTTCCTCGCCTTCAAGAACATCAAGGGCTCCGACGCCGCCAACCTCGAGCTCGCCGAGCCGGCCAACGTCGACAACGACGTCTCCCGGGACGTCATTCTCGTGCCCATCGCAACCATTGGCTGCGGCAAGACCACCATCGCCGTCGCCCTGCAGCACCTCTTTAACTGGGGCCACATCCAGAACGACAACATCTCGGGCAAGGGCCGGCCGCCGCGCTTCACCAAGGCTGTCCTCGACCTGCTCAAGGAGCACCCCGTCGTCATCGCCGACCGCAACAACGCCCAGAAGCACGAGCGTAAACAGATCCTCAACGACGTCAAGGCGCAGCACCAGACGGCCCGCCTCGTCGCGCTCTACTTCGCCCTTGACGAAAGCAACATCAAAGAGGTCCGCCGCATCACCCAGGAGCGCGTCCTTGCCCGCGGCGACAACCACCAGACGATCCACGCCGCCACGGACGCCAAAAAGTTCCTCGACGTCATGGAGGGCTTCATCAGCCGCTTCGAGTCAATCGCCGCCTTCTCGCCGCCCGACAACGGCTTCGACAACGTCATCCAGCTCGACCCCACCGCCAACAGCCGCGAGAACCTCGAAAAGGTCATCGTGGACCTCCATAAAATGTACCCGAGCCTCGTCCCCGAAGTGCCGCCCGCCGAGCGCCTCGACGAGGCCATGCAGTCGGCCTTTGTGGAGTACAAGCCCGAGTTCAAGCACAACATCCCTGACCGCGGCCCCCGCAAGGACAAACCGGCCCAGGGGCCCCGGCAGCAGGGTGGCAAGCAGAAGAAGAAGAAGCCTCTCGAGTACATGTCGGTCGACGTCCCCGCCAACGAGGTCCGCGGCGTGCTCGACGGCGCCTTTAACAAGGCCGGCCTGCCCACCTCGCGCTTTTACAAACAGCTCCTCCAGACCCGCCGTGTGCAGCCAAAGTTCCACGTCACCCTGATGCACCGCGCCAGCTCCAAGGACGACCCGGGCCTGTGGTCCAAATACCTGTCCATTCACGCCAACGCCGAGAAGCAGGCTGGTGGGAGCCAGGAGCCAGCCAGCGCCCTGCTCCTGGGCGAATGCTCCGTCGAGCTGGAGAGAGTAAGCAACCCCCCCCCCCCCCCTTTTTTTTTCTTTTTTTTTCTTTTTATCTCGTATAGGTAGATGAACAAACCTAACTTGTCGCCTGGTAGGTGGTATTCGACGATCGCATCATGTCCATCGTCGTGCGCCTCGTCGACCCCTCGGAGCAGTGGAAGTGCACCAACAACGTCGCGCACATAACTGTCGGCACGCGCGACGACTCGGTCAAGCCCAAGGAGAGCAACGACCTCCTCGCCCGCTGGCTTGACAAGGGTACCGGCGCCGAAACGGGCATCTACGAGGTCGTCTTCGACACCAAGCCCGTCCTGCAGGGAACCGTCCAGGGTGTGCTCTCGCGGTAGAGAGGGGGGTCAATGATGGGGAAGTTGGGGGGAGGGGGGGACGGAAAGGGAACACGCACGCAGAGGAGCGCAGGCCGTCGCTGGAAGAGCGTCCATAGGGTCCGTGGCTTCAAGTCGTTTAACAACGGGATGAAAATGAGGTGCGCATGGTGTAGGTGCAAGAACCGGCACTTGCTTGCCCTTGCTTTTGAGTTGGGGAAGGATAGCATTATCCAAGGTTTGGCAGGTGGTTAGTCTTTCCAGATGGAAAACGAAGGTTGTGGTTTGAGCATTAGCTAGAGCTAGGGGACGTTCACTTGATAAAAGACATTGAAACCAGTTTCCTCTCCTTTTCATCTGCACATGCTCACGATAACATCGTGTTACTAAACGATGGCATGGACTGGTTTATCCAAGTTAGCTAGCTGCCAACGACGCAGGCGCAAATTGCTCTCTAGTATACTGGGTTGGCACATTGGCTGGTTCCTGTCGCCCAGCGCAATGGCAATCAATGCTAGCCATGGGCTAGCAGAGTTATGGGCATTGTGCAACATCGGTTACAGAGCCACTCATTCACGATTCAGTCAAGACATTCATTCATAATGATTAATATCATCGCTCATTCCTAATCGAACAGTGTACAGTCCTGGCCCCGTACTAGCAGGAGGGGCATACGAAAAACGCATGCCAATACTACCTACCCATGAAGCTCAAAGGTAAACCACCTCCGGACCATGCCAGTTCAAATCGCAGTGCCAGTAAAGCAAGTCGGAAACCAATTTTTTTTCATCCGTCATAATTCCGCGACTCATAAGAATCGCCATCAACCCTCGGCTACAAGAGGAGGTAGGTATCAAAAGGTGGGAAGCAAGCGTGGGCTTTTACAACTCCTGCTTCTTGGAGTCATAGGCCGCCTTCTTGGCGTCAGCAGCCTTCTTCTCGGCAGCCTCGGCTCCGAGGCCAACCTGGTTAGCAACCCAGTTCCAAGTACCCTTGGCGTTCTCAGCGATCTTAGCGTAGAGAGTCTCAGAAGGCGTCGAGGTGCCGTACTTGAAGTACGTGTATTGCTTGCGGGCGTAGGCGCGAAGCTCATCCAGGGTGGAACCCTGGGGAACTTTGACTCCATAGCTTTCCAAGTAAGACTTGAGCTCACTCTCGCTCCAGGTGTCGAACAAGCTGGACTTGGCAGAATCGGTAGCCTGAGAAAGGTAGCTGGTGACAGAAGCGTACGAGCCACCGCCAGCGGAAGAGGCGGAGCTGTAGGCAGACTGAGCAGCGCTGACGAGCTCATCTCGGGAGGCGTCCTTCTTCTCGGCAACCTTCTTGACTGTAGCATCGCTGCTGGAAGCAAGGTACTTCCTCAGGTTATCGGTAGAGATGTCGTCATAAGTCCAAGCGCTCCAGCCGGAAGCCGCCTTGTGCTGGTGCTTGCGGACGAGGGCACGAAGTTCATCAGTCTTGGAACCCTGGGGAACAGGAACGCCACGAGCGTCAAGGTAGGCCTTGAGACGGCTTTCGGACCAAGCATCGACGGCAGAGTTGAAGGCGTCGGAAACGGCGTTGGAGGCAGCGTCAGTGGCCTTGGAAGCAGCAGAACCGACGTTGGAAGTGGCAGCACCAAAGGCGCTAGCAGCAGCGCCAGAGACATTGTTCTGAAGGAAGTCGGCGCGGTGCTTGCGAATTAGAGCCTTGAGCTCGTTGGATTTGGTGCCCTGGGGAACTATCTGGTGTTAGTGGTGGTTCGTCATAGTGGGCACGATTTACTTACCAGGAATGCCGTTCTTGTCAGCAAACTCCTTGAGCTGAGAGTCGCTCCAAGCGTCGATGACCATGTCAGTCAGGGTAGCGTACGCCTGCTGGGCGCTGGCGGAAGCGCTGGCGGCCTGCTCTTGGGCCTTAAGAGAGGCAAGTCGAGAGTTGCGGCGAACGGAGGCAATCAGCTTATCACGCTGCAGGCTGTTAGCTCATGCATTAATCAAGAACGTGGTGGACTTACGCTAGTGACCTGGGGAGCAGGGAAACCGTGAGTGTCAAGCCACTCCTTGAGATCAGATTCTGCATATTTGTTAAACTATGATCAAAAGCAAGATGTTGGTTGCAAACGTACCGGACCAAGTCTCGTACAACCAGTTGCCAGGGTATGCGGCAGTCTCACCAGCCTTCTGGGCAATGGTCTCGTAGCTGGCACGAGCCTTCTGGAGAAGGCTGTCGCGGTTGCGGGGCTGAGGAACTACGATGATGTCAGTCGTACGTCTTGTGCTACGGAGTGCTGTTTCGCGTGTGTATACATACCAGGAATTCCATGTTTGTCAGCGAAAGCCTTGAGCTGGCTGTCGGTCCAGCTGTCCAGAATCCAGTCCTTGACGTTGAGGTAGGCGTTCTGAGCCTGGTCACCAGACTCGTACCAAGCATTCTGGACCTGGGTAACGAGTGACTCCTTGTTGGCCTTCGCGGCGCCCTCGGTCTGAAGACCTTTCGCCTTTAGGTAGTTCTGGAGGCGATCGGTGTCCCACGAGTTGTAGGGGGTAACAACATAGTTGTTCCAGTTGCTCTCAATGAGGGTCTCAAGGTCCTTGCGGTCGGCGGGGGTGGGGTAGGGAATATCATGGTCGGAGAGCCAGCGTTCAAGCTCAGTCTCGTGCCATTTATTGTAGGCTGCGAGTGGGTTGGTCAGTTTACAGAAAATACACCACCAAAATTCAGGTTCAGATGTAACTTACCAGCCTTGGAGAACCAAGAACTCGCGACAACACCCTGGGCGGCCAGAGCCGTCAGGACGGTGGGGAGGAAACGCATTATGGCGGTTTTGCAGATTAGTTTTCCAATGCGGTGCAGTGCCGGATATCTGGGGGTATCACGAAAAAGAGAAAGGCTGGAAAGAACTGGGAAGAAAACCACCAGATTGTAGTGATGGAGGAAGAAGCAGGAGAGTGAAGGTTTGAGAAGAGGTCGCCAAGGGTGTAGGTGGTTTTTGTTGTGTCGATGTGGGAGGCGGAACACGTAGAGGACGGCAGGCTGGTTGGTTGGTTGCAGGGGACGGACTGCAGGCAGGCGTAGTGTACCTAGGTTGACGACAGGGAGGGTCAAGCGTCAAGAGGCGAAGAGTAAGAGAGGTAGGTCCACGGATGATCCAGTTCACGTACGTCAGGAATCCATCACGTCACTGCAGCCCGTTTGTGGGAAATTGTGGCTGCCTTTAGGCGCATCTGGTCGCTGCCGTGGCCTTTTGGTCCAATGGCTGATTTGTACGTACTTTACGGATACCTCTCTGCTCATCTGCTCCTGCCTCATGTTGTTGCTGTCTGAGCTCCTTCCTGCTTACCTACCTACCTAGACTCCTTCGTCTACGTCTATGAAATTAAAAGTCGTCCATGTCTGGGGCTGTAGACGGTCACCCACCTAAAGGGGAAGAGGGGGGAGGGAAGGCGCCTCCCTTTGTGCAAGACGAGACGACACCTACTTGCAATTGCATCTACTTGTCTAGGTAGCTTACCTACCTAGGTAGGGGGACGGACTGTGGCCGGTGGCGCTAGCAAAGACATTGAAAAGGACGCAAAGCCTCAGGTACCCAGACAGACACAGAGTGCACCCGTTGCTGGGGTAAAAGCTTTCCGAAGTGTCACGTCAACTCTATGCAATGACAGCGACCGGGACAGGCCACATGTCATACACACAAACGACTGCTCTGCTTGAGAAAGCGACGCGAGAAGGGCATCAAAATTGCAACAGGAGCCTCCCCGCGCAGCCATTCAGAGAGCTCCGTGAAGCTCATCTTCTCTAAGCATGACGTAGCTACCCCCCCCACCCCCCCCCTGGCTAGTGGGGTTTTCTCTTAGTGCGCACCCGTGCAACGCGGTTGAGGGCGGTACGTACTCGCGCGCCGGGCAACGTGCATAGCGCTGAACATTAAGGTTGCAGGTCAGTTTTGAGCCCAGGCGGTGAAACCGATTCTTGGAGGGGGAAAATTGGGGGAGACGGCATGCTATTTTATGCTATTAGAACCATTGAATAATATCACTAGTTATCACTTGACTATTCGAAATCCCATGTTGTTGTTGACAGACAAAAGGGAGATGAAATCGCTCCAGAATCCATAGAGAAAGAGCTATTGCCGTCTCTTGTCTTTTCCTGCCTGCCTCAACACTTCCAGAGAGGTGCTCCTGCCCCAATGCATGCGTCATTCCGACTGATAGCTAGCTCTTGGCTCCAGCGGGAAGCTGCAAGCTCTTGCTCCTCTCTTCCTTCCTGAGTCTGCCTGTCTCACTGAGCTCACCAACCAAACCCAACAACGAGAGCGGTGGCGCGCCAGGACCAATTGCTCCGGTGATGTCATTCTGAGCAAACTACATATTCGAAAGGGAAGGCGGAAACCAGCCACTCTCCGCACCGCCACTGGTTGTTGCACCTCATGACGGAGGGGGGGGGTAATCGTGGTCCTTGGCGGGCCTGGATGGGACGGATGGGGCCGTGGTGTGGGGTAAGCTCGTCCCTGCCAGTCGGCGGCCAGTGCTCACAGGCATGCTGCAATCATCCTTCAGAACTTCACCGAGGGCTTCACCTCCCTCCTCCTCCGGGCTGGCTTGGGGCCTAGACCGGTCCATTAGTCGTCATTGCCTGATCGTATTTTAAAAGAAAGTCCACGTTGTCTTCTTTGCAACCACCGTTTGCCAGCATCGGCAATGGAGCCAATGGTGTGGTACAAATTGGGGCTTGACCATCGGTTGCCCACCACTGCCCGTATCTGATGGTACTTGGACGTGGTTCGAAATGCCTGTTGCCGTTCCTCGCCGTGAGAGTATCAGAAGCCTCGTAAGGGCCATTGCGCCGGTCACGGCAACGTGGATTTTCGAGCCTTCAGCTTGTGGCAGTGGTTTCCTCACGCCTTTTTTCTTTTTTCCTTCATTTTTTCTCTCTCCATCCCAAAGTTCAATGGCGCCAGTGAACCCTGTAAATTGTGATTTGGTGTGCCTGCTTAGGTAGTCAATCAGGCCTGCCTACCTGGAATAAACTGTCCTTGATCGGGCTCTGCAGAATCCTGAACGGCATGCGATAACCTGTCTATAGTGGACTGCTATACTGAGATATAGCAGAGGCCAGAGCTGCTACTCATCGGCTCGTACGCAAGGTGGTTTTCCTGTACCGAGTGAACTGAGATAGGCCGTGAACGGAGATTTAGGGCGATGAGAATAAGATATAAGACAGCACCGGTGCTACTCGTGGGGAGCCATCGTCACTGAGCATAAACTTGCTCCCCGGGATAGCTCATGCGGGTTCGGCTTTCCCCTGTCACTTTGCGGGTCGTGAAGTAACAGACGTCGACTGGTTTCAAAGCTTTCAATTTCCACACATTGGATCCCGTACATACAAGCCATTATACAGTTCATTCCTAGCCCTCGCACACTCCAAGCCTTTATCATCCATATACCAGTTTCCAACCGTTCCCAATATACCAAAGTATTTCCCGTAAAAGTCGAAAGAGTACAGTTACATCCTCTGAGGCCATGCCGCCTCGTTAGATCATCTGGACATGAAGCCCATGTGGCCGAGTATACTCTCCGAACCCATGACCCTTTTGCGCTGAGGCTCTTAGTCCTGAACACCGGCGGGGGTGTTGCAGAGAATACCCTGGTCCAGCTGTCGAGAGGTATTAGCAGTCTATCCATAAGAGTTTTGGTTTCTTTGCTTTCGACGTACGATGGGCAGGATACAGCAGCGGGCACGCTGTCCGATTTCGGAGCAGATGGAACTGAAATTGTCGGCCGTGGTGGGCACCTCGTACGGGTTGGCGCAGTCGAGGTTCGCGATGCCGAGGATGTCAGTCGCACAGCACTGCGCAGACCCGTAGAGGCCGGAGCAGGGGACGTAGGGGGTCTGGCGCTCCTCAACAACCGGGGCAGCGAAGGCGACGCTGGCGAAGAGGGCGGCGACGGTGACGGTGAACTGCATCTTTACGGTCGGTTGTGTCTAAGTGGGAAGGAGGGATTTGTTTTGGTAACGATTGAATGCACAAGAGGCTAATGGAGAGTCTGAGGTGGAGGTGAAGCTGGCTGGACTGTAATGGGCTGATGAGGAGGGAAAGAGATGAAGGTATTTGACGGGACTGAGATGGCTTCTTATATAGAAAATCCAAGGACGAGCAGACCGCTAGAGGCGAGGCGGGAAGCTGTCTTGACCTTCGTCACAGGCCTCCGTCTCCATGACGATATCTCCCAGAACCTCGATGCAACAAACTAGACGCGCTGGCGCCGCCTCACACTGGCCCACCCCCACCGCAACGTCTTGGGTGGCACCGTGATAACGCCTGGTAGCTTTGGACGTGACCAGATATAGTATACCCTCCTATGCTTGTGGGTGACGACGGCGGCCTTGTAGATCTCATGTTAATTGGAGCCTGATACCTCGTGAGGCTCAGGGGCAGTGGTAGCTATGGTCAGCCCAGGTCGGAACTAGGAAGCCCTTCGCAAGTAACCTTACCGATCCATACCGGGACATGGGCTCAAACTGACTACTCGGGATCGGTACCTGAATCTTACATGTTCTGTGCTTTCTCTGATTGCCACACACACAAACTCTCTGGTCTTCCAAGGCCGCTTAGCCGGGGCCTTGGCAGGCAAATAGTCGTTCTGCACATATCATAGGCCAGCATCCCTCGCTCATCGATATGGGAAGCCCCCGCTGGGGGCCGTGTAAGTGGACAAGAGCAAGCCACACGTAGCCCCCATGAAGAACACGTCTCTTGCAGGCCACCGGGCGGTTCGTCGTTGCACAGGGATGAAGGAGGAACAAACGACGTCGGACATGATTCCCCTGACGAGGAGGGATCATCATCCTGTACGGCCTTAAGAGGGACCACCTTAGATACCTACCACAATACTTACGTAGTGCTTCAGTAGTCCACTTTGATCTTGGATGATAGCCCTGTAAGGGCCGACATTGCCGGATGCAAGCACAAACCAGACTCTCGACAGAGCTGCCCCGCCGTATATGCATACAGCTCGCGAGAGCTGAACAAATCATGATCCAAGGCAAGGCAACGTTTGTGCAGGTATTGCTCTGCGTGCTTGGTAGTATGGTATCTGGAGGCTAAGGCACACCCGACTTCCACATGACAATCTGGGTCTCAAAAACAAAAGAAACGAAACTCACCTGGCTCCTCTCATTCACCCCCAATTGTCTCTCGATGACAGGAACGCATGAGCCGACTGTCAGCAACATCAGTCGAACCGCTGTGCGATACGACGCAGAGCCCCCCCCTTCCTCCCGACTGCTGCTCGGGCAGACCGCTCCAGGCCGAGGACGTCAAACATTGTGCGACGGCCACTGCCCCTCGCCCACGGGATATCGCTACCGAATCTCTGTGTCCCATGGGCGGCATGAAGGGCGGGCAGATTGCACTGACGACATTGACAGAAGCCCCCGGGTCGACAGCAGCCTCTCGTTGCTAGACATGGCGGGGATGGTGGGGGGTGCGTGGAGGCATTGAGGCGTCAAGCATGACCAGGGGCGCCGGCTAGCGAGCCCACGCGCCCGTCTTTCCAGAACGTTGGCCGGAAAGACAAGATGTGCATGGCTGCAGTCCTTCATCGTGGCAGAGAATGACCGGACGGTCTGATCAACCCAGAAACGGACTCCCTGTCCTTGACGAAAGGGGGGGGAAGAGGGGGGAGAGCGAGCGCATACGTCAGGTGCCGTCCTTGTTCAGTCCGTATCCGGCCAAGTCGAAGTTTTCGAATCGCAATCAGGAGAGCTTCAGAATCGCATTGTTCGGGACTGACGAAACAGGATTGTTGGACCGCACCATGCAGAAGAGGTCGACTTCGACCGGGGGTTAGCAAGCCTGTCTTGTGGCGATCGGACGAGTTTATCAACGGTGTAGTGTACGTGGAGCATACTTGTACACTAGAGCGGCATCCTGGTTCACCTCGCCTCGCCTCGCCTTGCCCTTGCATTCTGCACGCTCTTTCTGTTAAGGTCAATCGTCACTGCGGCTCCTGCTTGCTTTTGGTTGTGGCAGTGGCAAACAATACTGAAGGAGGTGGAGACACCTTTGCCGCGTATCGATGTGCGAAGTGGTATGGAACCTCTCCAGTTGAGAGGTTTGCCGTACAGATCGCACGATAACCCCCCCCCTTCGAAGTCGGCCACCAAGACGATAGGTATTCGAAAAGCTGAAGCAAGGAAGGGACATGCAGGGGGTGCCGTCATGGCAAACGGTAGGAAAAAAACAAACACACATAGGCAGAACCGGTTCTCGGAGGGTTATGTGATGCTGTACCAATGCATCTCCCCGTCACACGGAAAACCGGGGATGGTCGACGTCGTGGAAACAGGCTAGCAAACAGCCAAGCAATCAGAACTACGGAGAATGAGGGAACGGCCGCGAGATGTCGTTGGCCCGCGCCTACGAAAGGCAGGAGAGGATGGCCTATATCTGCCATGCCCCTGCATCTTAACTGCCGGACACGCACGCACACACACACAAGTGTCACCCCCGGGCCAGGTTTGCCATCCATGATTTCAAGATAGTCGTATGGAGGGTGGGTGGAAAGGGGAAAAAAAGGAAGCGTCATTGGAGCGTAGGCTGGTTGGTTGTCACTTTGACCGTTGCAACCTGTACGACGCAAATGCCCAACGGCCGGCAACTCGTGTCTAACGGTAAGACGAGGTGTGGCTGAATGGCTTGGGTGGCCGACGACAGATCAGCGGTCGCCGACGACAGATCAGCGGTCGCCAACGCTGCAAGCCGCCGCGCCGTTTTATCTTCTTTACCCCGTACATGTTCCGTCGTCTCTCGGGAGGCCTGTACTTGGTCCACCTTTTGCCGTTTTCGCGGCCGGAAAACGTGTCGGGCAGTCTAACAATAGACGGACCGGCATGCCGATCTCGCCTCGCGTAATTCCAAGCGTCGAACAGGCATGGCGGCTGTGAAAGAAGCGATGGACGGCACCGCAGCAAGCTCTGCTGGGGAAGGGGATTTGGGGAGGGGGTTGCATGAGGCATGGCATAACGATCGCATCGGGCAATTACCCAGCAATATAAGCCGGGACGCACGAGGCCCAGGACGGCAGATGGGGCCGGCCTGTGCGGGCTGGACTCGAGATCGAGGCTGTCGATGTCTCTAGAAGCCTTTGACGTCCTCGGAGCGGGACACGAACAGAACTCAGTGAAGGCCAGTTGGGAAGACGGGACCTTGGGGAAGTAAGCTTGTCTGTCAGTTTGCCGTCAGCCGCGGTGGCGTCATCGGCTGGCTCCCACCTGCCCCCGGCCACGGTCCGCACGCTCGGTAACCATCGTCTCCCACCCCACCACCACCCACCCCTTCCCCCGGCTTTCATCAACATGACACCCGACAACTCAGAAATACTTTCCCAAAGAATCCCACCGGCCAGCCCATGTGGTGGTCTGCACTACGCATTGTAGTTTTCGTCTTCACAGTGCCCGCTGGGGCTTGTAGTGCGCACTAGCTTCCACCATGTCACCTCGGGCCTCTTTACAGCAAGTAATCGTCATCAATTGACCACTCCTGTTCAGCAGCTTCCAATAGGCAAAACATCCCAACATATATCAGTCCCACCCCCCCTCCAAAATAAGAAAGAAAGAACAAAAAAACAGCCACAAAGAAGCCGCCGCTAGGACATGACTTCCATCTTGAGCCTTCCTTGTCGGCCCCGATCCTCGATCCTCGAAGCGACCACCAAAACCGGGTAAGAGATCGGCCCCCAAATCGAGCAAGGCGCGGGAAAAAATCAAGGTACGCGGTTCCAAACTTCCTCGCTCGTCAACGTTGCAATCTGCGCCCTGCCAATCAGCGCTCGGCGACGGCCTGGACAGCAGGATAGGCTTAAAGGGGGGGTTATATAACGCCCATATCGCGCCATTGGTTGTTCATCCAATGTGGTAACCTTGGCGCTCCCGTGATCATCAACGGACAGGTGAGGGCGAATACTGCCACTTGGGGAATGCATTTGCGCAGCCGCCACATGCACTCGACATGGCTGGCCTGACCAGAATGCAGAATCGTTCTCAGCTCGACAGGGTCAAGAGTCGCGTCTGTACCGAGATGCCGAGATACGTGGCAAGGCCAGTTCCTGGTCGCGTCTGCACATCAGCCTAGACGCAGACATCTCTCATTGTTGTCCTCGCTTCGTCTTGCCACTTGGCAGGAGGCCTCACTGGCGCCTTAACACGCCGACTGAAAACTCCCCGTAAACAACATGCATCAAAGTCATTGGCTGGTCTTGCCAACTCTGCTTTCCATTCCTATAGGGCCGCTTGAGTGTCCGTGGTACTCGTACAAAGTTGTTGTCTATCGCATTCGACTCCTCTATGCATTCCCATCCCCGCCAGAAGCAATAACCCCAGAAACCCAGCGGCATCACCCGACATTCGAATGGATTAAGCGTAAAAGTTGACAGTCTAGAGTGTGTCAGCATGCGTAGAACCAGAGGGAGGACACCGACTAGACATACGTCCTTCTTCTTGGCCTGTACTTCGGCAATTGCATCCACGTAGTGCTCGTGGCTGATCTTGTTCTTGCCCATACGCAACGCAATCATACCAGCCTCCACGCAGACGGCCTTGAGCATGGCACCGCCGAACTCGTCCGTACTGCGGGCCAACTCACCCCAGTTGACGGCGGTATCGACCTTCATCTTGCGAGAGTGAATCTTGAGAATCTGGGCGCGAGCCTCCTCGTTCGGCAGGGGGAACTCGATCTTTCGGTCCAGACGACCTGAACGGAGCAGAGCGGGGTCCAAAACGTCGACACGGTTCGTGGCGGCCAGCACCTTGATGCGGTCGTCTGACGCGAAACCGTCGAGCTGGTTGAGGAGCTCAAGCATGGTTCTCTGCACTTCTCTGTCACCGCTCTTCTCGCTGTCGAAACGCTTCGTACCGACGGCGTCCAACTCGTCGATAAAGATGATGGCGGGCGCCTTCTCCTTGGCGAGAGCGAAGCAGTCGCGCACGAGCTTGGCACCGTCACCTATGAACATCTGTACCAGCTGGGGACCCGCAAGCTTGAGGAACGTAGCATCGGTTTGCGCCGCGCAGGCTCGGGCCAGAAGCGTCTTTCCGGTTCCGGGGGGTCCGTACATCAGAGCACCTGTATATCGTCAGCCTTGTCCCTATAGCCATCCCGTAAGCAGAAACAAAGCGTACCCTTTGGCGCCTTGATGCCGATCTTTTTGAACCGCTCCGCTTCCTTCATCGGCCAGACGATGGCCTCGACCAGCTCTTCGATCTGCTTGTCCAGACCACCGACATCTGTGTACTTCTCCGTCGGCTTTTCGTCGACCTCCATAGCTTTGACTCTGCTATCATACTCGGCTGGCAACGTGTCGAGAATAAGGTACGAGTCCTTGTTGACACCAATCAGGTCACCGGGCTTCAAGGTCGTGGGGTCAACCAGGCCGATCAGCGGCAGGAAGATGGTTTGCCGCGTGGACGTCTTGATGACTGCAGACTTGCCCACACGGGTGGCGTCCAGGTCGATGTTAGCACCTTCTTCCGAGGACTCGGCAGTAGGGTCGAGATCGAGGAGTTCGACGACGTTGCCGACCAGGTAAGGTAATTGCCTATTGGTATGTAGTCAGTTATCCATTTCGTCATCACCAACCGAACGCAGGAGTGCCATACCGGTTGTTGGCGATCTTGTCAAGATTCTCCTTGATCTTCTCCCCCATGGTGGCCTTCTCGTGCGTCAACCTTTGCAGCTCGCTGCGCATGATCCTAGAGTCGTTCTCGAGCAGCCGTTTGCGGGTCTGGATGTCCTGGGTGCTGAGGTTCAGGATCTCTTCATCGAGGATGTCCTCTTCCTCCTCTGCATCCTTCATGTCGGCATCACCTTCGGCGGCGGACTTCTTGTTGTCCTTGTCCTTGTCACCATCGTCTCTCTTGTCGTTCTTGTCATGACGATCGAGGTCGTCGAGCTCTTCGAGGGTCGACATGATGGCGGGGTGCGAAGGTGGAGAGTATTAAATGATGAGTGGTCGTGAAGGGTACGATTCGCCGTTTCTATCGTCAACGCGTGAGGCGAGATGGTGATGGATCGGGGTGTGGTGCCGTTTCTTCGTCGTGGGTGGTGATGGAGCAGAAAGGGACAGCTTCGGAGCTGCGTAGGTAGGTAGTTGAGGTACAGGCCAGTGAGGCTCGAGCTAGACCTCAAGGCAAGCAACAGTCGCGTAATCAGCCTGGGTGTTGCCCTGTGCGCCCGGTGGCCACCTCTCGCCGGAAAGCGCTAGGAGGAAAGTCCAACCGGATCCGGCTACAGTGTCATTGTCATGCCAGACAGCACGCGGCACTGTCCGATGAGATTGAGAAGACCCAAGGATGACATTAAGTACACGACATCGAGAGCAAATTCCCTGCGCTTCCCAGACGGTATTCTTTACAATAATCATTCGCGTCAAAGTCATAATTCTTAATCCTTCATTTCCAAGGGGCAAGTGACAAATCTATCAGGACACAAAGCCAAGAACCAGGACAGCGAGAGGTGCCTCTCACCCCCTCTCTGACCGATTAAAAGGGTATATGATATGCGCAACAACAGTCATTAAGCCGCACCCTTCGTCATCTTACATCAAAACTTCCGAGTTCCTGCCTTGTGTCATTCGTCGTCAAGGATACGGCTAGCTACCGAGCCAAGGATGGGAACCTCGAATCTGTCGTTGTATCAGTTCTTGCTTCTTACAAATGGATGAATGCCTTGTGTCAACATACCTATCGAGTGTGTCTGCGTCCTGGTATGCCTTCAACGCCAACCAGACCATGACAAGCAAGTCGCCGATGAAGAAGAGCCAGCTAAGGAACTTGGACCATGAGAGGAATACTAGGTGAAAGATCATGACCGCCGTGAAGAGCAGTGCGGATTGCCATGCGTGAAACCTGCCACATGTCAGCGGTCTGCCAGTTTGTTGATATGAAAACGAGGACATTGCGGGAGACATGGCCGTTGACAGCGAAGACCCGACGCCGGGGGCGGCGGAGACTCTGCAGTGCCCCACGAGCACCATTTCCAAACATACCTCACATAATCACTGTTCCGCTCCCCAATCAGCAACAGTATCGCTCCCAACGGCGGAAGAGCCAGGTATGCCAGCGCAGCCTCGTAGTCTAGCCTAATGCCTAGGCTCGTGTCGAATTCGCTCACGCCCTCCCGATGCGCGTCCGCCGTGGGGTAGGACCCGGGTAGGCTCGGCTGCCATCCGCGCTGAGGTTGGGGATGCTGCAGCGGCGGCGGTGACGGCTGGCCGTACGGCGAGAAGGGTCTTCGGAAGTCGGCAGAGGCACGCGGCGATGCGAGGGGAGGGGAGAGAGCTCGTTCGCGTTCCGGCGGGGAGGATTGGTAGGGAGCGAAGTCCATGGCCGTGGCTGAAGTGTTTGGTTCTGTTCTGGGTTCGACACTCGCTGTTGCCAGGGAGCCCGGGGGTCGAAGGAAGGGGGGATCAAAGGTCGGAACCGTGAAGGGCCGGAGACTGTGTACGATTCGTCGCGGATGGGTTAGTTGTTGCCGGCTTCTTTTGAGGGAGATGGTGTTGCTATGGCAGTAGCTTTGGGAATCGAGGATGTGGGAGGTGCGTCAGCTGGAGGAATTGGAGAGCTAGGAAACGCGCAATGCAATGGCGTCAGGGACTACGCGGAAGTACCAGGAGCTGGGACATCACCACCACCACCACCACCACACACTGGAGTGAGAGGGGGGGGGCAAGCACGGTCCCAGGGCTTAATTGGGGGGTGGTCTCTTCTCTGGGCGGTCCGACGGCTCGTTCATGCAGGGCGCCTGCAGTGGTTGCTATTAGTGTGTTCCGCCCCGCATTATGCCTAAGCAGATCGGGACACCTCGATAGTCGGCGCTTTTGGCCAATGCTGGTGGAGTTTGTCTTCTTGGCCGTCGTCTCTAACAGCTTAGCGGTCTAGGGGCTTCTGAGTATGGAACACCAAAGGCTAATGTCTTTCGATCTTGTTGCTGTGTAAATATGAAATCCATTCACTTGTAAGATGGCAAACGCTTGCCCACACGCCGTATATTCAGGCCGATGAGGCCAATAGCTATGGACATAACCCTTGATCGTCCCCAATCGCTATCAAATAAGGGTTGCATCCATGTTCACGAGGTAGCACAGCAACTGGTATGGACATGCTGTGTAGAGGCCGGAATATCCAGCGAATGGCTACTAAGCCATCGCAACCAACCCCACAGAGAGGTCTAATCCATTATCATGGACAAACAAATGGTTTAGCTCTATAGTAGAGATCCGTATCCCGTGATAATACAGACTTTTTACAGGCACTATCATACAACCCCCTTCCCGATAATTTACTCGCTCTTGGCTTCCCCCTCGGCCTTCGTCTCGCCCTCCTTACCCTCGTCCTCCAACTGCGTCCTCCGACCTTCCAGCGCCAGCCACAGGCTCTTGCTTCCGCCCTCGAGAGCCGTGGTGAGACCCAGGCCGGCGCTCTGGAGCAGATGGACGAGCTGCGCCCGCAGACCATCGAGGCCGCCCTCGATGCCGCCAACCCACTTGACGCCGTCAACGTCGAACACGTCGCCCTCGACCCGCCCGCCGATGAGCAGCAGCTTCTGCAGCGCGCTCTGGCACGGCGGGTCATAGTAGCCGGGGCTCTTCTTGCGCGTCGGCGCGGGGAACTGGGGCTGACTGGGGGCGAGGATCCGTAGGGCCGCCGCGAGGTGGGCAGGCGAGACGGCGGGGAAAACGAGCGCGGCAGTCGGACCACTCAGTAGCGGCGAGATCTGCGCGTAGGCCGAGTCGGCGGGGGGCTCGAAGTCCTTCATGGCCTCGTACGCGGCCGCACTTAGGTCGTGCACGATGGGGCCCCTGGTGCTCGTCTGTACGCCGGGCTTGGCCTTGGCGGCCTCGGGGTCGTAGAACTCGACCAGCTTCAGGGCGACGTTGAACATCCGGGTGCGCAGGACCTGGAGGTGGACGTCTTGCCCGTCGATGGGCGCGCCCTCGGGGGTGGCAGCGGCAAGGGCCATATTGAGCTCGCGGCGCAGGGCAGACCACTCCTCGGCCGTGATGTTGCTGTGCTGGAAGAAGAGGATCAGGGGCGTCGTGCGGAGGAGCGAGGTATAGGTTCGGATAAGCTGCGACTTGCGCGTTTCGGGAGGGCGCGCCGAGGGCGGCTTCGTCGGCGGGACGAAGTCGGCGGGCAGGCGGAGGGACGGGTGGCTCGAGGCGGCCGGGGCAGCCAGGCGCGTGGTCGAGGTGGTGAGGTATCGTGCCATGGGGTGGGAAGGGGTTGACGGCAACGACGCCAACCTGCGCAGGGCGCGCGCTGCCTGTTGTGGTAGCCGAGGCGGCATTCTGTGGTGGCCTGTCAGTGATTTTCCGGGTGTCACAAGAGAAGGTGTTTGAGAGGTCTCGTACGTGTGTGGTGAGCAGGGGATGTCCGTCTGCCAGAGTCCTGCTGCGTGATGGGGGGGATGCGCACCTGGAGATGGAAAAAGTTGATGGAGCTTCCCGAGCTTCAATCGGGACAAATTTCATATGGTCCGTGCACACTGGACAACACTCATCGGCCAATCACACTCACCCGTTTGATCGTCTTCTCTCTCGGCGCAAAAGCCCATACGCTATCCTTATTCTTCTGTCAAACTGAAAGAAAGGGTATATCTAACAAATTCCTATCTTAACCCAAGCCATCCGCAGACTCGCCACGCATCATCTCGAAGCAACGCTGCGCACACTGTCCAATGAATACGATGGGCCGTCCAATACCCTTGCAGGAAAGCCAACCGCCAGCCACGGTCCCAAAAGCATTTCTATGAAACAATGCAGGTAGTTGACCATGAGCCCAGTCCGGCCCAGCCTAGCATCACATCTTCTTCTGTCGTAGGACTTTAGCAGCTTGCGCCTGAATTCTCATCATAAAGTCGCTGTCGAAGGGCATATTGACGTATGCTCCAATCGCCATGAAGGTCTTCTTCTCCTCCGCCGTCATGTGCTTCATGCCGTCGAGCGCGGCCTCTGGCCTCATCATGGTTTGGAACATCTCGGGTGTCATGGAGCCCGGCGTCGTTGGGTCCATCTTCGTAAGGTCGCCAAACATCTCCACGCACCTATCGTAAAACATGTCGATGTCCGCCTCGGGTATGCCGCTGTACAATAGCCACGCCTTCTCCAGCTCACGGTACTCGTCCGCTGTGTGATCTGTGCAGATGCCATAGTGCTTCGCCACCCGCCGGCCGAGAAGCGCGACCGAGTCAAAGGAGGCCCGTTTGCCGTGTTTGGAAAGTCGGTCAGTCCAGAGAGCCGTCAGGCGACGCGCTTCGGAGCCGGGGGGGAGCTTCTTGTGCTGCTCGACGAGGTCATCTTTGATGATGATGTCGTAGGTGGAGCGCTTCATCCAGATGTTCTTATAGAGGTCACACTCCTCCTGGCTGCTGGTCACACCGATGCTGAACTCGTGGGAGTACGGGTTTGGGTCGTGGACGAGGTACTGGCGGTAGATATCCTGTTGGCGGATGCAGTCGGTGATGTCCTTGAAGATGATGTCTGAGACGGCCATGATTCCGCGGGCTTTCTCGCTCCACTTGTCCTCTTTGAGGCACGCCACCTGCCACGGGCCCTTGAGATTTGGGCAGAAGTTGGCAAAGTACTTATTGATGCAATCCGCCCAGGCGCTTGACACCGTGTCACGGCAAGTGACGAGGCCCTTCTGGTAGGGCGGGTACCAATGAGGCTCCATGTTCTGTATGATTGTCGACGAGGCGCAGCTCACGTATCTCGATTCTATGAAGGCGGTGAAGGGCAGGACAACGTCGGCGAATCCGAACTTTTCGCTAAGCAAGTCAATGACGAAGACGTCGCCGGGTCTGGAGCTGGAGCCTTTGAGACGACAGGTGAGCACCGGGTGAGGCCAGAACATGGGGTCCTTTCCCTTTGCAATTTGGATCTGGAGCCCCTCGCGACAGGTATCGCTCGCGAGGGCCGAGATACTCGTTGCGTTGCGGATGAAGAACTCCATCTCGACGATCGTATCGCAATGTGCTACATGGCTGTTAAAAGTTGCATATTCAGGGCATGGGGGGGCAGTCGATACTCACGGCCGAGAATCTTCTCAATGATGGGCTGCAGGTGGTAGTAGAGGTTGTTGCCAGCGTCCCAGGCCAACACCTTGCGAACATCGGCGGTCGGCCTGTGCGATAAGAACGACTGGCCAAGGGGGAAGACCTGTTGCCCGGTCCAGTGACCGGCACCGTACGCTCCTAGAGACACGGCGGTGCGTGGAACGCCGCTGCGGTCGAACTTTTCCTTCTTCTCCGCGCCGCGGAGCTCGACACCAACACAGTCAACGGCGAAGCCCGAGTACGTGGCGGCCATGAACTTGGCCGCGACGCCCTTGAACAGGTAGACGGCTCGGAGGAAGTGCTTGCGTCGCTGGCAGTCGGGGAAGTGGTTGGCCCAATCCTCCTTCTGGCACTCTTTGGAGCAGTACACGCGGCGAATGCCCGGGTACCAGCTGACGTAGCAGCCCGAGCAGTAGAACATGCTGTTCTTCGGCGGAGCGCCGGGGCCGCCGCGTTCCACGTCACACCTAGCACACTTATTGCTTCGGAGGGCCTCTTTCATCTCACTGGCTCGCGCCAGGATTTTCCGGGTCTCGAGGACAGCGTCCGCGTCCCGTCTGCCGCGGTGGATCCAGCGGACATACTTGAGCCAGTCATTCCGCTTGACGTACGCCTCACCTGGGCAGGGCTCACTCTCGTTGCTGACACTGCACTTGTGGCCAGGGACGACTTCGATGCAATCCTTATCGATTGGCACGATGTGGGCGGCGGCGAGCTGACCAAGTAGCTGGGTGAAGGCGCAGCGGATGGACAGGTCGGAGCGCTCCCACACGGAGAAGGCGAAGCGGGCGGCCCACCAGTAATTGTGGGCGTTGGGGTCCTTCGTGTTGTCGAGTATGTCCTCGAGGGAGGAATTGGCGTAGGGCCAAAGGGCGAGGACGAAGCGGCGATCGTGTTGGGCCGCAGCGTCGGGCTCCTTAAAACCGCCGTCGTCATCGGCAACGCTGGGGAGGGCCGCGAAGAGCCGATCGACGGGGTCGCCGGGCATGCAATCGTAACGCCGGGCGCGGTCGAAGTGCGGGGGAAGTTCATCTTGCCAGAGTATGTAGTCTAGCTGGCGAAGGCATTTCTTGTCGTTTTCGGTGAGCTTCTTGGGGACAGGGGTTTGCTGAGAGGAGGGTCAGTATAGAGAAGCGGGACTGGATGGAACGAGGGGTGGGATGAGAACAAAGAGTAGGATGACGGTACCGTGGATCCAGAGACGTTGACTAGGCGGAGGAGGTGCTCTCTGCCGGTCGACGGGAAAAAGGATCGCTTCGGCGAGTCGTAGAGGCCCTGGTGAGCCATGTCGGCTTCTCTCAAGACGCGGTCGACGGCGGATTCGCGCTTCAGGGTGAGAGTCCAAGGAAAATTGAATACAAGGATAACGAATGAAATGAAATGAGTAAGAGGGTAAAGGCAGGCGTTTACCGCGTGGATAGTAAAAGAGAATAAATCGCTTCTGGTGTGATGTGTCTTCGTCTGGTTGACGGCGAGGTCTAGGATGTTGATGAAACCGTCGTCGGCCTGCGTGGTAGAGGTAGGGACGAAAGAGGAAAGAGCCTCGGGGACGTCCTCGCCCTGGGTCAAAATGGCAGCTGTTGCCTCATTTGCATCCGAGGCAGCATCCATCTTGAGCTAGTTGTAGTCTGCGATGTTTCCGAGGCCAGGCATGGGCGATTGCGAAAAGCTTTTGAGGAGGTTTGTTTGTTTTCTTCAACAACAGGAAACCTAGTGTATTCAACGTTTGGAATTATATAAATTTCCACCTAAAGAACTTATTCTACTGAGCCCATGATCCTGGGTGAGGGAGCCGGGTACTGACTAGGCAGTACACAATACTTGGTATAGGAGACAAGTGCGGGTCTCGATGATTGTGAGCCTGGAGGCGGGATGCAGAAATCACTGAAACCCAACAGGCAGGCCTTTTGTTCCTTTCTTAGTTCCTGCTTTATCTTTTCAAGTCTTTATCTGCGCTTTTGATTCCATTGAAACCGAATCCCACGTACTCCAGATAGTTTCGGTAAGTCAGACAACAGTGCAATGACGCTTCGAGAACATAGACAAATGTAAAAGAAAGGACAAATCATCCACAACGGTGGGGGTAACAGATAATGAGATTTCGATGAGAGATCGCGGCAAGTTCGTAAATACAGTTGCTCTAAGTCTCACTGGTGATAAAACGTAGTGTCGCGTTGCTGAGGCAGTTGGATGGGAAGGCAATATTGGTCATCAAAAATCATGTTGCTATCTTTTGTTCTACTCTTTAGCAACTACTTGAATCCTGACTAGTCTACACAAAGCACATCCATCAAGCTTTTATCTGTGTCTAGGTCATTCTAATCCAGGAACTCATCCTCTCAGAGCTCGACGTGCGGGTCCAATGCCCTCGATATGGAATTGCGGACATTAAGGCCCTCGGCAACCTTCCGACAAAAGGCAGGAATATTCCAGTGGAATCGACAGAGTGCTCTCCAAATCATTCCGAGGCTTTCCCTCCGGTCGTACAAGAACGAACCCTCCATAAGAGCCATTCATACCTCTAATTCATCACCGTCTTTCCGCCATCCTGTGTCAGCCGGGAGCGGACCTTGACCAGGAGAGGCCGGTGCGCCAGTCGCTGAATAGCGGCCACCGCGCCATTCTTCTGGTCCCCCAGTCCAATGATGGCGCTGGGCGCGAACACCAGAGCCTGTCCTGTCTGCAGAGACACAATCTTGGCAAACAGCTCGCCGGCCGCATTCTTATCCCCAACCACGACGGGGCTAACCTCACCGCCCAAGTCCTGCTGCTCCGGCATGGCGCTTAAGACGGACGAGACACCCGCGAGATGGCCGCGTAACGTGTGCAGCCAGTCTGGCGAGGTGAACCGGTGAACCACTGTCATGGAGCACAGGTCCAGGAGCTTCGTCGACACGGTGGGCTCCTGCGTCGAGATTAAGACGCGGACGCCGAGGTGGCGCTGCAGGCGTATCGTGCTCAGCAGCGAGTTTGTTAGGGTCTTGCTCTCGCTGGACTCTTGCATATACTTGTGCGCCTCGTCTAGCGCGACAACTCTGCCTATACGCGACTTCTTCTCCAAGAAGAGCGAGAGGCAGATGTTGAAGAGCAAGCATGCCATCTCCGCAGTGACGCAGGGGCAGGAGAGGTCGACGATGGTGAGCTGGCCGGCCTTGCGTGTCACATTAGTAAAACCTCAAGCTGTGAATAAAACCGAAAGGGGGAAAAAGCTCACCTTGGGTTCCCAATCGATAGATTTCTCCTTGCTTTTGCCATTGACCATGAAGCTTTCCAGCGTCTCTAGGCGCTGGTTCAAGGGGGCCTGCTGCATTGGGGTGAGATCCGTCTGGGCCAACTTCTGTTTGAAAGTGTGGTAGCTGAACGGCAGACCTTTATTCTGTTGCTCTAGGCGCATGTCTCGGAGGATGCGTGTTACGACGTGAAGGTAGAGCGGCATGTTGCCGTCTCCGGCCGCCATGAGGTGAAGCATTCGTTTGGTGTTGAGGTCCTGGTCGCTCAGCCTGAGAGGCTCGACCTTGACGCGTGGAATGTCTCTGTAGATTTCCTGTGAGTATAACACGGCGTCAGAAGAACACGAATTTCCAGATATGAGTGAAAAGGGCCAAGGCCGTATAGGGTAATTACCTGGACTGTGCGAACGTTGGTGGGGGCGCATAGGACTCGGACGGAAGCTTTGCTGTTCGAGGCGAGGAACGCCGCCTCGCACGGGAGACCACCAGAGTCGGATATGAAGCTGTCAAAGTGAAAGACGATGCCGGCGAGGGGCTGCGGCAGCTTTCCGAGGCTGCTGGGTATGAGGCAGTTCTCCAGGAGACACGCGAGGGTGTTGCTCTTGCCCGAGCCCTGGCTGCCGCAGATAAAGACGCTCGAGGGGCAGGTGACGTTGTGGAACAGCCGCGAGGACCTTGTGAGCGGGCCTTTCTCGGATATGTTGCCGCCAAAGAGGCCAAACTGCGAGGGGGGAGAGGCGCTGAGCAGAGGGACGGTGAGGAGCGGGCTGGACTTGATCTCGTCTTGCTTCTGGGCGGCGGTATCGAAGCTGAGATACTTTATGTGGATGGCAGCCTCGGCCGCGCCATCCACCATCGCGTCTTTCACCATCGCGCCTTGTTGATGGACAGGGCCGCCAGAGTTGAGATGGCCCATCTGGGTGGTAATCTCAGCCGCGCCATCTTTTATGTTGGCACCGCCCCCGTTCTTGGCCTTGGACACCAAGGGCACTTGAGTGTTCGAAGATAAGGAGGAAGGCAAGGCTTTGGCGGGTTTCTGGGTGAACACCGAGACACTGGATGCCGAACTGCTGCCACAAGAGGGTCCGGGAGACGAGGTCGACGACGATGCCGAGTCCATCCAGTGGCCGAGATCATCCTTGTGGTAGGCGACGGCTTTCTTATTTTTCAAGCACCGACCACAAACGTCACACTCAAACTGAGGGTGAGAATGGCCCTTGTCGACCAAATGTTGGTTGCGTTGGGCGGGAAAACCCCATGCCTGTGGACAGGAGCCGCATTTAAACGCCATCCTATTTAGATGTCAGCATCAGAAATAGATGATATCGCCACAGAACTCTGTGTATGCAGGCGTACGTGTTGGATAGTGGCTTTGCGGAACAACCGTTAGTGGTTTCCTTTTTTCCTCTTTTTTTTGTAATGTTTTTTGCTTCAGGTTTGTGGTTGAAAATGAGCACCGAGATACGTAATAGTTGTTTGTGTTTTGGTCTGGAGCAGGGACAAACGAAGTCAAACTTAACACCTGCGGCTTGTTAGAATGAATATACCCGGGGACCGGACTATATTATATGTAAGTGCGTAGGGCAGCTCTGAAGGGAGGGGGTGAGGAGGGGGTTGGAACGGACTAGCTGCCTCGGCCGGTGCCTGCAACAACTTAACGGGGGTCTTTGCTGCAGGAGGCCAACCTGTGTATTTAATTTCATACAGAGCCATGTTCTGTTCATACACATTCTTCCATCCATGGATAAAAGAATTGCTTGGTGGCCATGTTAACGACCAATAGGCGGTTAATTGGAAGGATCCGAGCCCGTCATGGCCGCAGGTTGAAGTCATTATATCCTTTCCCACCATATCAAGTAGCCATCTCTGTACGCTCATGGCGTCTGCCGCAGCATTGCCAGGAAATACGGAGTACAAATAGAACTAGATCGCCATAGGAGGCCCACTATCCATTTGATTCCTATTACTGTCCGTGAAGGCTCAGCGGAATAATCCTTTAGGTGGCATCCCGGGGTAAAACAAAGGGGGTAGGTACCCTCCGGTGCCTGGGTTGGCTGATTGTACCTGCACTGTTCCAACCAACTAAAAAAAAGAAGAAAGAAAAAAGTGGCAGTATCATGCGGCCCCATGTATCTAGGGAAGTCAGTTACCCGAGCCGCCTTTTGCCCTCTACAGCAACAGTCGGGCGTTAAGCAAACCAACAACAACACAACAACATGCCAGTGTACGTACGTAGACAGCCCCGGGTGGGGGGGCTCTGTGTGGGGGGTGGACGGCCTGCAGCATGTGTCGCGGACACCAACTGAAATATTGGAACCAACCATTTTCGTTCAATGTGACAATGTACAACTATCCAGAAGATTCTGCCCTCATGCGGGAGGCCAACCAGCAGGGAGGTCGGGATTCCATTATGCCAGGGAAAGAGAAGTGTATTATCCACCGTTACGTGCTCCTTCACGCAGGGCCCATTCCGGAGCCTTTGCGCCGGCCAGCCTGGGTTGTTTGCGGCCTGCATGTTCCCATGGGCCATGGTCCCATCAGCGCGGATAGAGCAAGTAACGGCTGGTCATCCAAAACGGCGGCCAGGAAGGCAGAATACTGAGGCTAAAAACCATGCGACCAGAAGATGTTCCGGCGGGGCCCGTCAGTGGAGGCAGACACGGGGTTCTCCCGTATGACAACCCCGCAATCGCTGCCACCCCCACTGTTCCGGCCCCACCAGAATCCTGGACGGCGCAATTGGCCTCCGACAGCGCAACAGCGTGGAGGGACCTCCAATAGGTAGTAGCGCACCACCATCATTATTTCCAGGTAGAAATGAGTCTTGAAGCCATGACTAAATTTTTGCCTTTGTCGACAAGGTAGGTGACGTATCCTTGCCTTCTGGGTTATCTATATACAAAGACGGCGCTACACTTGATTCCTGCCCCCGATTCCGTCCGCCATATGGCTCAACATGTCCTGCACCGCGACACGCATCCAGGTCGGTAGCACCCGAAACCACACTTTCGCCAAGGCCAAGGCCGGCATGTAGGCGTTTTCACTACATGATAAAAAGAGACCAAGTCAGCTGCCCTGAGCTAAGCCGTCCACAGAATTCACCACAACAACCAGTTGAAACGTACCTTTGGCCTGTGGCGAGAATGTCGAACATTTTCTGAGCCACCTCGTCCGGGTCGAGTATGGGCGTCAAGAAAGTGTCAGGGGCGTCCAGGTTCCGGAACATCGCCGTCCCGATGGTCGCAGGGTAGATCGCGCTGACGGCCACGGCCGGGTTTCCGTGCCTGTGCTTCAGCTCGGTGTGGAGGCCTTCCACCAGCGACCCGACGGCGGCCTTTGAGGCCGAGTAGTCCGACATGCCGGCGATCGTCAGGAAGGCCGTCGATGACGCGGTGACGAGCACGTGGCCGCGGTTCTTCGCGATCATGGCCGGGATGAACGCGCGGACGGTCCACAAGAGGCCGAGCACGTTGACGTTGAAGGTCGACCGGAGATCCTCGTCGGTGGCAGCCAGGAGTCCATTCCCACGGACGAGACCGGCGTTGGCAACGAGGATGGACGCATGGCCGTGTCGGTCCCGGATGGCCTTGGCTGCTGCATGGACATCGTCGCTTGAGCTGATGTCGCACTGGATGTGCGACGTCCTAGGGCCGGTGTTATAGCTGAGGGGTGCCTTGTCGAGCACAACGACCGTGGCGCCGGCGACCTCCAATTTGCGGACGAGTTTGGCGCCAATGCCTGTGGACCCTTTCGTTCGCGCGTGTAATTCAGTAGCAAGCTCTCCGAGAGCATCGAGGGGTGATGGGATTTCTCTGCTGGCCTACCTCCGGTGACGACGACCACCTCTCGCGAGAAGTCTGGCTTCGCCTTGGACGCCGGGTTCAGCGCCCTGTGGTTCAGGAAACGATTCAGCGACAGGACCCAGGCAAACGCAACGCACCACAGCGCCCATCGCATATTGCCGGACGACGGCCCGACCCATCTCGTAGACCTAAGATCGGTCCCCAGTTCGATTGGGCTGGGTTCAATTCCCGACAGGACCAGTCCACAAGGCACCAAAAATGAGACCACAGGGTGGAGGATGGTGACACTGAGTAGTCGAAGCAAGACATCCACGGTGAATCTCTTCATTTTTCTTTTCGGTTGAAGCACTTGGATTTCGACCCAGACGCCAAAATGGGGTGGACGTCATGATGAATCTTATTTCGCCTGTGCTTGCTGAGCTAAGCCGAGGAGAAAGACGGATGCAGACGGGCTCGTTGACCGCCATATGCATCGCAGAAATCACGCCGAATCATGACGTGAGGTGTCACGGTCCTCCTGTCCGAGATTGGAGGAGCCCCCGGATTAGCAACCACGCATTCGATGGACCTGGAGAGGCCCAATCACAGGGAAACATATGGGACCTCATACCAACTCTTTAGCATCCGAGTTGACAACGAACAACAAACACCTGGTATTTTCTTCTATCTTCATCTACGCCGATACATTCAACACCAGCAGCAGAACCTCTCGATACCGAAAAGACCAGCAAGGGTTCGCTCACGAGTCAGCCTCGAGTTCAATGGCCTCGGCCCATTCCTTTTCATCATCAGCAATGCAAGCAGGGCAGAAACAGGGGCTTTCCTGTTGAACGGCAGGGGTGCTAGCCTGTGAGGGAGTACCTCCCGCGGCTGTAACTTCCCGTCCACGACGTTCCGCAGCCAGCGCCAACTCTTCAGTTCGGCGGTAGCGGGCTTCGTAGCTGGCTATGAGTTGTTGGACGTGGGAGTGACCTACCGAGCCGGCACGTTGGGCGTTGGACTTACCATCTTTGGACTGAGCGTACATGTCAGGAGACCCAACGGTGTTGCTGCGAACTGGTCGGGATTGGTCGCTTGTAGTCTTCGACTGGCCAGAAGTCGGCTCCTCGGGCGCAGGGTCGGAAAAGCCGTCCGGAGCATCGGATGGGCGGTTGTCTTCAAGCTGCTGGAAGACGCGCTCGGCATAGGCGGCAGCGGTAGAGCATTTCTCAGAGTGTCGAGACATGCTTGAGATGTTGCGGGAGTTCTTGGAAGAAGGAAGAAGGGAGAATGGCTTCTTGAGGATCCTTGCACTGGAAATGAAGTGATGGTGAAGCTAGCCACAACGGTATTGCTGGAGGTGGTCCAATAATATATACACTCAGAAATGCTTTGAGAACTCATGATATCAACAACAGATGTGACAGGTCTGTTACATGCTTTTGTGTTGATCAAGCATATAGGAAAAATGTTGCTCTGATACAGCACTTCCTTCTCTAAACAAAGCATTGCTCCAAGGGATTTTGTCAGTTTACCGTGCACTTCATGTTCGGATACGTAGGCATCAGACAATGAATCTTGCATCGACCATTGTTCGTTTGTATCCTTGGCCTGCTTCTCATGAACCACGCCCAGATGGCTGTACCATCGCCTCTACCTTTCCAGAAGCGACTATCTGCTTCGTTGCCTGGCCCAACAAAAGCCAAAAGTGAAATTTTTACACAAGTCTTCTTCATGATCCAGAAGCCGTCCTTCTCTTTATACGATGACACCCAGAAATATTTTGGCAGAAGGCGAATAGTCTGGAGTATGCCGGAGGACATATGGCGTTATTAACAAGGGTCTTCGTCTCTTGATCTGTACCTTCGGTTGCGTGCAGAGCTTTTTTGCAAGCGCCATGACGGCTTTGACATATCCACGCCAATTTTAGCCTGTATAATAAAGTCAATGTATGAAATTAGGGACACAGACCAGCCTTTTTTAATATTTTTGAGAGTGTGTGGGAAACAAGAAGACCTGTACTCGAAGCCACCGCAAAGCCAGCACAAGTTGAGCAACATTACAAGCCTGTCAGGAATCAAAACATAGCCGCAAATATAAAAATACTGTCATTGTAAGATAGAGCAACCAGCCACTTCCCTATCCAAAAGTAAAGACCTCATGATCAACCCCGTTCATTGCAGCCACCGCTAAGCTATAACGGCGTTGGCGGACAGGTCAGGCTGACTCAAATAGATCATGCCAAAAAGAGTATTGGCTCCTTCGGCAGGACGTTATAGTTTGGATTGTGCCTAGCACAGTCAAAATTAGTTGATCCTTTTGCCAAAGAGCCTGCGCTAGAGCTACACCTAGCGTTGCTGGTCTTTATCCATTCGAAACCAAGCTATGCCATGCACGATGAAACTGCTCACAATATCAGACGCTGATTCTGTTCTAACATGATAGAAAGCACGCCAAAGAACAGGACTCTGGTGGGTAAGGAAGCAAAGATGGAGAAAGCCTATTGAGATGACCGGGTGGATAGTAAAGGAACCGCTACCTAGTCGAACTTTTCGACATGTAATACGTCCTTACTCAATACAGCTGACATGCCGTAGACGCATCTGCAAATTACACTGCTGACAGCCAAGCCCCAACCCCCTGTTGGCGGAGACTTCACAAGCGAGATGGCGATCTGTAAAACCTCTGAATGGTCAGCCTTGTCAGGAAAACGCAGCATACAACACTGATAAGCTGTTTTGGGCTTCGTGGCGTGCATTAGCGATCTCACTACACGCTTTCATCCGCCATGAGTTTGCCCCTTTTTGACTTAGCCTACCAGCATAGCGCTCAGCTGCACCGAGTCGGGCCACATTTCGAGTCAGTCTTGCCGCTCGGGATAAGAAAAGAAGCTGCGGCTGTAGGTCAGCCTCTTCGATGCCAAGACCTGGTGCCTATCGATGTTCGTGTGGAGGACCTCGCCCTTAAGAATGCACTCGTATCCGGCCGAGATTCCGACCCTGGCTTGCTGCCTTGGTTTTTCGTTCCCCGAGTCCTTCCCATACTAATCTGCGACATTTTCTATAATTTCTGATTGAAGTTAAAGCCACGATTGAAGTTTTCGCCAATCGGCTGTCTTATTCGCCATGGGTTCCAACAACGTGGAGGAAATGGACCGCTGGGTTCCAGGGGAGGATGCCTCGGGCTCTAGAAACCTGACCTGGGATCAGCTTGACTTTAACCGGAACTGCTCTCACTGGGGACACTGGCTATCATCCATGCTTCAAACAGATTCCTGGAACCCCAAGGAAACCATCGGTATGAGCCTTCCATCAGCAATGTTATACTATGCCGGCGCCATGCCTGATGGCTATCAAACTACCTATGATGAGGTCGCCAAGTGGTTCGCCTACAACATGTATCACACTCCTTTCCCTGAAAACTCGACCAATCCCGAATACTATTTGTTCAGCGAGCGGTTCAACAACACTGTCTTGTTCGGCCCAAAGTCACACTGCCCGGCGGAGTACTGCAAGGCTGTTGGGTACACGGGGAACCAGGACCTATGTGGGATCGGAGTAGGTGTCTCGGAACGAGAAAGACTAAACCCCGTCCACTGACTTTTACTAGGTGGTCGTATCATACTACTTGGAAGGTGTGTTAGCGACAATGTATCTCATGGCCTTCACTGTCCACCAAATGCGACAACATCTACACAGTCATATCTACAAGAAACCCCGGCCCGTACACAAACAAGGATTCGGAACCAGAATATTCGATGCGTTCCGCGGATCCTTGGACATATTTCTGGGTGGTGCCATGCTGATCTCGGTGGCCATGCTGGGTGCATCCGTCTACGCCGGAGCAACCAATGTCAAAGAGAGAACTGGAGCGAACCCTGACCTCCCATCGCCGGACTCCATCTACGAGACCGCCCTATCTCTGATCGCTTCAAGTTACTCCCTCTTCCCGGTCATGCTGCTCTATGCGCTGGCCAAGCACGATGGCCATCGGAAGTGGCTGCACCGGTCGGTGCTCTTTCTTCTCTGGGGGCTCAGCGTCACCGTCGTCTACCTTGCCCCGAGAGGCGAGCTCGATTACGATTTACGGAAAAGTGGCCAGAGGAATTTCGATTGCGATCAGCGCGGCTCGCACTATTGGCCCGTTGTGAAGGCTACGCAGTTCCTGGTCATCGCCCTGCCACTTCTGTGGTTCATCATGACGATCTTCCTCACTACTGGGTTCAAGATTCCGGGCATGGTCGACAAGCCGTGGGTCAGAAGATGGAGATCCATGTGGCGCCTGATGGTTGCGTGGATCAACATGCTTATCATGTGGGGGATCTTGGCCTACTTCACATTCTTCCGGCAGAAAATCATTGATGCAGCCGATGGTATTGACCAGAACGACAAGTGGACCTTTGGCCAGGTCATTGCCTTGGCGGCATGGGCACCGATTCTCGCCGAGATTTTCTACATCCTCATTTGTAAGTTGAACGTGGCCATTGAAAAATCCCAGTTCTCGATTGCAGTCATTAATGGGTCTGTTAGTTGGCTTGGAGGACGGCTTGACGGGCCATATGCCTGCCGGCTATCACGCTACGCACGTCGCCCAGTCAGACCCTAACATTGGGGTTCCTCTCCTCGATCAAGGTTTCGATACGAAGCATGCTTCGACGATTTCATCAGTCACAGCATTGACCTCTCCAGTAACCCCGATGCCAGAAACCCCGATGCAAGCCCCGATGATGTGGCAGCAGGGCCCTGGATACCAGCCAATTCACATGCAGCAGCAGCAGCACCAACATGTACAGCATCACCAAACCTGGGATGGATACTATCACACTGGGTGGTAGGTGAGTAGATGAGAGCATGAAGATGTATATATTGTGTCATCCTCTCCTGATGACTGTGGTAACGTGTGTACTACAGAGTTGCAAGCCTGCCTGTTAATATTAATTGCTGACGGCCAACGCATCTGTTACAGGGCGGTGAACTATGGAGTGGTTTGGATTCTATGATAAAATAACATTAGACTTGAGAAATCATGGAAATTTTGTCAGTTAGCACCATAGCCAGTGATATAAGACAGAAAATGGGCCCAAGGTCGCGTCACTCTGTGAGCCGATGCTTAGCGGGTCTACAGTGTCCAATGGTTATTTACATAGCCCGCATCAAGTTGCAAGACCAACAAAATTGGCTTGTGTCTCGCAGAAATATATCAGTAGAATGCAGATGAATGGTGGTCGCTATATTGCATATAGCGTGTTTTTTTACGCAATGGCCCCTCACGCCATTTTCATGCCTTCATGAAATTACTTTCAACCTGTGACTTGACATGCGTAGAGAGCTTGTCAGCACCCGTTCGCCTTTCCGAGACATCAATAAAGCCTCCACCATTGGCATTCTGATACATTCTAATGTGCATTTTTAGATGCCGGAAGGATAATCCCATGCGTGATTGACTTTGATGCAACCACGCATTGGGAACAACTGCAACATGTCCCCCTGTGGCTGGACGATTACTAGGCGCCTGAGGGCGCTGATCTGGCGTGGATTCGTCATGTGACAAACGAGGACGAGAAGGGACTCCGCAGACGGTTAGGCACCTGGTGCATGTGGTGAGGATGAACCGAAACCGAGTCGATCATTGCGGAGCTCGTGGGTCTAGCTGGCAGCTTCGTTTGCAAGATAATCGGGTGGACGAGCTCCAGAGGCCGGACTCGTTCTCGGACGATTGCTTCACGAATGCAAGCCCTGCTGGATACGAACCACCGAATGTTGCATGTATGGTGTCGTTGCTGCTTACTGCGGTAATAGCATTCCACAGCCACACTCCACCAGCTGCTCTCTTCCCGAAAAAAAAAACATCGGATAGTATTGACCTTTCAAGCCTTCTTCAGTGACTGTGCGGGGAAAAGATCAGGGAGGCGCAGGGTCCTAGGTATAACCTTGGGCTGCACCCATCGCGACGCTACTGGTAGCCCACTATGTACGGCTACAGTAGACAGCAAGGGGCTGATTGTGTGGGCTTTCCTTGGCTCCGGAGGACCCCCTCCCCCCAATAATGTCTGTTTGGCTTGTTCAGAAGCTTTCAGAAACACATCAGGAGAAGCTACGTGGCAAGGGTCCGAGGGTGCCCAGACATGGACGCGTCTGTCTGTACACTAAGAGCCTTGCCGATATCCGGGCAGTGCCTGCGGGGTGGGCCGTGAACCTTGACGCGGTGGCCCCGATTGGACCGAAAACAGGATACGCGTGGACGTTCTGGGTCGAGGCTTTCGTGAGCCTCTCTCCACCATGGCGGCGGTGTGAATATTGGGTAGCTATCACAGGCTTCGTAAACCCACAGCTAGAGGCTCAAATAAGTTTATATAACCTTCGCTTCCCCGCATATTGCGAGATGAAATCTCCGGCATATAATCCAAGACTTCACCGACGAGAAACACCCGGTTCGACCTCATTACACACATCCTAACTTCATCAATATGTTCAATCGCGGTAACTGGCAGGGTGGTTTTGGGCGAGGTGGATGCCACCAAGGAAGAGGAGGTTTTCAGCAGGGCGGAAACCCACAAGATGGTCCTCACAGTGGTGAGGCCGACTCATACTATTCTCAAGGAGGTCCTGAGCAGCAGGGATACGGCCAACCTCCCCAACACCAGCAGAATTTCTCGCCACCTGGCTACCAGAACCAGTACCAAGACAATTACAACCAGGGCTATCGAAATGATGGCCCGCCTGGCTCTGGCGGCCCGGGAGGTGAGGATGGCGAGCGTGGTCTTGCCGGTGCATTGGCTGGTGGTGCCGCTGGTGCTTTCGGAGGCCACAAGGTCGGCGGCAACATCGGCCACAGCAAGTCGAGCACCTTGCTCGGTGCCGTCGCCGGCGCTTTCGCCGGCCACAAGCTTCAAGATGGCGTGTCTGATTGGAAGCACAAGCGGGACGATGAGAAGCACGATGAGCACAAGAACGACCACCACGAGTCCCATGAGCACCACCACCACCACGCCAGCCACAGTGATGACAAACCCCGCAGCGGCAACTTTGCTGGTGGTTTCACAGGCTCATCCCGAGACATCCGCCTGGACACCCACGGAGACTACAACCTCCACGCTTCCTGCAGACGTCGGGACGGCGAATGGCAGAGCAGCACCATCAGCCTGAACCGAATTCTCGAGAATGACCAGGGGAGCTTCCGCTGGTGTAGCGGGGGTGGCAACAACAGTGACTCGTCCTATACTGTCCAGCAGGGCGACACCCTCCGCAACATCGCTGCGAGATACAACGTTGGGTTCGACGAGATCGCCAGGCACAACAACATTCCCAACCCCGACCAGATCTGGCCTGGCCAGGTTCTCCAGATCCCAGGCCGTGGCGGAAGTGCGTCCGGTAACTTTGGGGCCTCCGCACGGGATGTGCGCCTGGTGCAGGGTGGCCAGATCCTCGAGGCTGAGCTGTCTCGGAACGGACAGTGGGTCCGCAGCTCCATCAACTTGGATGAGAGAATAGGAAACGACAACGGAACTCTGCACCTTGTTTAAAAGGAAATGCAGTGGCATGGAGTAAAAAAGCGAATCTAGATTGGAAACTTAGGGAGAACTTAGGGAGGCTTGAGTTGTGAATAAGGTTGTCATTTGACAAATGTTTCTTGTGAAACAGTCATCTTTCACTGTGATGCAATTAGCAACGTGTCACGTAGTAGATGAATCAAGGTGAAGCAATGAATGACAACTTCCTCAGGATACCTCTCCCCTCGTAAGATGGCACTGGCACACGTGTGATGTCGTGAGGAACCATCAGCATGCTAGATTTGTTGGTTTTCCCGCAGTTCCTTCTTCAGTGGTGATATTGAAAGTTGGTACAGTCTTATTCGTTGTGGCTAGAAGGTCGACAATGCAGACAATGCATCCAATGCTACTTCCATTTGGTCTCCTTCAGCTGGAAAGGGATTGAAATCATATGAGCGGCATTTCCCAAAGAGCTCGTCTGATCCTGAGTTGAGGACATGGAATGTTTTGCTTCGCGTTGGGATCGCATATTGTTTACATGTACGTGCCTCTTCGAGGAAGGTGGCAAATTGAAAAGGAGAGAAATGACAGATTTTGTGTCAAATGATATTGGAAGCACTAGAGAAAGAAACTGACTAGGATGTGCATCTTCGAGGCCTTTATCTCGCTCTGGCATGGCCCCGGCTACCTTCCATATTTTGAAGGTCCTCAACAACAATGGAGCACAGCGATACGTCTTTCTCCCATTCTGGGACTTATTCTACGGGGGCCAAGTTGGGCAGAGCGAACCGTCAAAAATAATTACAACTAGCACAGTTAATCTCAACATCCTCCACGCCATCGACCAACACCGGTCTATCTTTGGCAACGCAAACAAAGAAGATACCAAAGCCACAACAATACATCGATCCTCTTAAGCCAAGCTGAATCTTAAGCTAAAATCTTGGAAATAATGACTTGAGGCTGGCACTTTTAGCCAACCCTGTGAGCTTCAACTGGAGAGACATGTCGCATTCGTGAACGACCCTAAGGGAATAACCCTAATAGGTCTCTAGGGGGCGAGCCGATGTGGAAGGGTATTTATTTCTAATGTCGTGAAGCATTATCGTTACTAGCTTGAGGTTTTCTGTGCTATACAAAGATCTCTTGAGCCTCATGACTGGCATCAAGAGGAACCCAAAATCCTCAACATAAAACCCCAATCCAGTTGATTAGCGCTTGAATGAAGATATCTTAGATCAATTGATGATACCGTCGTCCAGCATCTTGTTGAAGTTATTTTCATTGGGCCACATCTTCTCAGGTCCCGGCATCGTCACCGAAGTAATAGCAGGCTTTTTCCAGCTGTCATACTGGATCCACGGGCTGTCCATGGTGTAACCACCAGGAAGCTTCATAACCGAGTCCGGAGCAGGCCCGGTGTAGTCACTCGTAACGTTGAGGTGGGCGCACTAAATCATTTTATGGCTGGTTAGTATCCGTCTTCCTCGTTGCATTGACGGGTCATTTCCCGCCTTATGGGTCTTGGGGAGCGATTTACCTGCAAAAAGAACTGTTTGGCCTTGTTAGGAGGGTGGGTGGCAATGTGCTCAATACGCATCAGGTACTGGCCCTGAGTAATTTCGGCGGGAAGCTCGAACGTGAACTTGTTTTTGCCAAATGAGTTCCAGCCCTTATCGGTGCCATCCCAGCCATCCTTGTAGCCGAGCTGGTACACCTTAAACCAATCACCTTTTTAACGGTTAATTTTCACGAAAACAGATAATTAAAGAGCTGTATTTAACACTTACCAGAACCGTCATAGTCGCTGACGTCACCCGGAGCCTTAGACATGTGGATCTATCCAGAGGGAATAAGTCAGCGACGGAGAACGTTGCAGTTTAGAGCTCAAATGATTAAAGATATAACATACCGTAAGGGGTCCTGGGTGCTGAAGCTTCTGATGGATATTGGTAGTGAAGCCAACAATGTCCTGACCGGCTATGACGTTGGCTGCCTTGGTGCTCTTGGCGTAGTTTTCGGAGCCTTTGTTGCAGCGAATGTCGTTGCTCTGCAGGAACTTGCCGTCGTCCCACGAAGGCTGGAATCCATTGTCATGCTGACGAACGAAATCCCTGTTACTGATCTCTTTTCCGTTAAGCATGAGCTGAGGGAACAGATAGTGGCCCATCGACAGAGCGGGAAGCGCAAGGCAAACAAAGTTTGTGTTCTTCATGGTGAATTGAATCGAAAGTCTTGCCTGTTGAGGGGGAGCAAGAGATGGTGTCTTTGCAGAAGGTTGTCAAACTGACTTGCAGTGGTGGAAGAAATGAAAGAAAGAGAGAGCAAGCTCTGGAACAGTAAGTCAAAACAACTGTATGGTGAAAAGAATGTAGCGATGATGTGATGATGGTGTGGAATGAAAGTCAGGCTATACCGGTCTTTTGTTACCCTTATATACGACGAAAGATAGTAGCACGTAATACGCCGCCAAGATATTTCGTGGAGTCGCACAGGTGACAAACCCAGTGACAGTACGGATAGAGCATGATGAGTTCTGGTGTATTATTAGAAGCTTAACTACTCCTTGATATAGCCTAACCCTAAGTTTCTTACCGCAATCAGCAGATACCAATCTGTTTCTTCTCAAGTTGACACAAAATCATGAGTATATCGTTCTTCGCATTGCAATTAGGAGCGATTTATCTCTCAGATAAACAGAGTCTCCGTCTCCATGGGCCTAGTCCGACGTGGTCGGGTTTGCCTTAGATGAGAATGTGGGTCGATGCTGCTGGGGGTTGGGGGTTGGGGGTTTTGTAAAACGTACGCCAAGACTTGATGGGGGTACTTGAACTATTACAAGGTGCAAACGTGACCAAACCCCAGTAATAAGTCATCCCCATGTGCGCAGCGAGAGCTATTATGTGTGTAACTATTCACAATGCATCGTTTTCCTCGGGCAGCGGTAGTGGGTCCCGCAGCTGCCAAAGTTTGATGTATACAAGCATCCAAGCCTACGTATTCTATGAGTAACATTACAACGTTGAAACTAAGTGGCCATAGACTTGTCTGCAATACCAGCATCTAGATAATCTGATAACTACAGCGGGCCCGTTCTCGCTACGTGAACTGCATGTGACTCATTGATACAATCATTCAAGTCTTTGGGGTGTAGGAAATTTCTATACCAATGAAATCTGATATCACTTTAACTGAGGACTAATCCAAGTTTTGTCGCAATGCGGTAATAAGTATTGAGTGGGTAGGAGTGCCAAATACTATTGCAGTAAGGATAGACTGAGTTATGCGAGCCGTGTTTTTGAATTGGGATTCAAGGCCATCCGTCTGACCTTACTCTGATCAGGATGAACAAGGACCCCGTGAGGGATTTAGGTGGTGGCACTCTTCATCATTACATGAGCCATTTGGCTTCGCAGCTTTGTCAATTGTAATCAAGCATCAGTGCTCAACACTTGGCGACTCTGGGGGTGCATCCTTCAATCTATGAGGTTGCGATGAATGATATCTTGGGGGTCTATTCCAAGTTAGTTCACAGCGTGCCAGCCTAGTTATTGGAGTTCTATCGATCGATTCTTCAATCGCAAAGCATTGCTCAGGTGTTCATATGACGTCCCATGACGTGACCCGACCATTGTAGCGGCTTACTTCGCTTACCAAGTCCCCTCAGAAACACCAGGTAGAGGTGCAAGTAAGCATTGCGAAGTTTCGGCAAACAGAGGGACGTCGGCGTCATTCAAGAACAGACGTCGGCCAAGGTACAAAGCTCCGTCGTTGCAGTTGGCACTACCATAAACGGCAACAGATTGCCGGCTTCCAAGGTTTGGCGGTCCCAATTGGGCACACGACCACGCAACTCGGGTGACCTTCTTCAGACGTCTTTGTGGCCTGGGTGTGGCGACAAATTGGGAAACTCTATACATAGGGTTGGTGTGGCTCGGCGTAGGCGAAAGTGATGCAACTGCTGCTGCGGAGTGCATTGTGGCTCAGCATTGGCAAGCCACATACGGGTTCATCGGGATAGCCCCCCCCGGGGGGGGGGGGGGGGGGGTGGTCCCTTTTCGCCGTAGACACATGGTGCATGTGCCGGCTGGTCGGTTGGCGACTTGGGCGTACTTGGGCGCGGTTGAGAGTGACGTTGGTCAAGATGCTGTAGTGGGGGCCATTGCGCGGCCCCTCATGACATGAGCCAAGTTGGTTACCCGTCTTAGTGCCGACCCGAGTAGTTGGCGTCTTAGCGCTCTGTAGACGGGACGGGAATGACGCACGAAGACTCCAAAGCATCATGCTGGGCTGACAAGTCTTGCACCAGCTGAATCTATAAAGATGGAATGTTTCTGCCCTAAAAGAAAGTATCTTCCTACTACAAAATCACAGTCGATACGAACAAACACAAGTAATTCTTGAGAAAACCAGCTGTTGCTTGGACTACAATTTATCGACCACTACCAACCTACACAACATACAACACCACAGTTAATTTCCCGTCATATCAAATCATTATACCCTTTCAACTTGACACAAGTCACACACGCATTGCAACTACGAAAAATCACATCAACCTCTAAACCATCACCATGTGCTTTGGCGGATCTAGACGCAAGACCTACGGCGGCGGCGGCGGCGGCATGATGGGCGGGCCCCGCCCCGCGGTTGTTCAGACCCACCACCACCACCACGGAGGTGGTATGGGCGGCGGTATGGGCGGCGGCGGAATGATGGGCGGTGGCAGAACCGGTCCCCGGTCTGGTTTCGGCGGCGGCTTCGGCAGACGCGGCATGGGCGGTGGCGGCATGATGGGAGGACGCAGACGCTGCTGAATGGCGCTTCCGTCAGTGATTTACGATTAATTGTTACGCGATGAACTGCATGGGCGGGGTTTTGTATGATAACGCACGGCGAGCGAGGGAAATCACGGATTGTTTAGGAGTCCTGCATTCGCTGTATGGATAGAAGCGCCTGACATAGCATCTAATCACAATCGATGATGTTGACACAGCTCTGAGCAGTCGGTGTTTTCGGGTAGCACGAGCAGTTGGGCGTTGAGCTTTTTGACGTCTAGGCCGACTCGGACGATATGCACGAGATGCTAAGGTACTTACTTCACTGACCACAAGTCCGAGAAGCCAAGGGCGTCTCGAAGTATCAACGTCGTGCAAAATAACTCCCATGCGTTTGCCATTAGAGAAACCCGGGTATTTCTTTCTTTCTATATTCAGCGCGCCGTCAACTATGAAGGGGTACTTGTGGGTTCGTTTACGCATGAAGCTGCGTTCATCCCCGACGGCCTCTACTCACCAGACAGGGTTCTAGACAGTAGCCATACATCATAACCAGGTGAACATATACGGTACAGAATATCAATTGTTCCACAGGCTGTATCTATAGTGATGTATCCGATTTCCTGTCCCTTTTTGTCTCTAGATCTAGGCGCTTCTCTGAGTCTTTTGAAAAACCTGTGAATGCAGATTGATGCCAGCCTAGTCTGAATGACTAGATATAAACATAAAAAGTCTAGAATGAAGGAAATGGTCAGAGAGAAGGAGCTGTAAATAACGGGAGTAATATGTACGGTACAGTATATCTAGCACCAACTATGTTGAACGGGCAATACCTGACCCCCAAAGGCCACTCACTATACGGATATATACATTATGATGGGGCACTGTCCAGAACCCCCCGCCCGCGTAGGTACCGTATCCTCTCGCGAGGTCCGGGCAAAGCTATAAAGCAGGCTAGCCAGAGATGGCTGGCAGATGCCCTATGACAGTTAGCGGGTTTCTCTCAGAGCTAAGCCTAATATAGAAAGCGGTCAGCCTATCCTCCTCCTACCTACGGATATCTACCTTATTTATAATGCCTGACTGTTTTTGCTGCTCTTTACCCCTTAACTATCTGCTTACGTACATGACTGTTCCCTGCTTTTGCCACTTATAGACCCCTGTTTCTGCCAGCACACTATACCTCTTGCCGTTAGTCTGGCTTGCTGGCTTTGTCCGGACCTCGAGAGAGGATACGGTAGGCACCTATGGAGAAAAGATGGTACCTGGAAAACTGACATTGTAGTGGAGAGACGCTTGAGATAAGCGAGTGGTTGCACAGCTCTGAGGCCTGTGCACTCCATTGTATGTTGGCAGTTGATTGGTTCATCAAAATAACACCTCCCACCTCCACACCTCAGCCACCGTCCATGTGGGCGGCTCCATCGTAGTGTGTGACGTCAAACGCGGCCCGTCATCGACCCTCAACTTCTCACATTCAAACTTTATCTTACCTACTCACCTACCGGGCCCTTTCAAAGGTCCAGGCCAGCATGAAAAGCGTCAAAGGGGACCCGGAGTCCCTGGTGCAAGGTCTTCAAAGCATTCGCATCGGCCAGGAAGCACCCGACAATGAAACGACTGGAGAAGACCATGGAGTCGTCCCGGTCGAGAATCCAAAAGGGCCCGAAGCGACGCCGGTTGGTTACGATACCATTATGACGGTCATCAACAGCGATGGGACTACTTCCTACTACACCAACACCGGCGAGCTCATCACAGATGAACCACCGAGGCCCAGCGAAGCCATCAAAGCAGCGGTCACCGACAGCGACCGCGTAACTTCCCAGGGATCCCTCAACGTCCGGTCAAAGAAGGCCGAGAGGATGAAGCGCAAGCTCCAGAAGAAGACCGCCAAGACGCCACGCCGCCAGCCGACTCATCTTCTCCATCTCCCCAATGAGATCCTAGTTGCCATCCTCATGCACATGCTTCCCAGCGATATCCACAAGGTCGGCCAGACTTGCCATACACTCCGCCATCTCGTCAAACACAACGAGGCGCTCCTGTCACGCCACATCGTCTCTACGAGATATCCTGTCCTCGGAAGATGCTTCCGGCTACCCGTAAGCCTCAATGAAATCGACCCCAAGCTCCATGCCGTCCTGCAGTACGACACCAGAATCGAGATGCTCGGCATCCACCGACGGTATCGCCACATCCCTCAACCCGACCCCTTCAAGGCCTGCACCTGTTTGACATGTGTTCTGCGATGGCAGGCCCTCTTCACCATTGTTGACTTCAACCACTGGCAGCCGGATCTGGCTGCTGGTAACCCTATTCCCGTCATTCCAAGAGGGGAAGAGCCCGAGTGGAACGAGAAGCTCAAGGAGAAGACGGCTTGCACTGTGCTTAGGGCCCTTGACTCCCCACTGGTCTACGCCTGCCTCCTTGAGATGCATCTAAGGAACACGTGCGCGTCTATCAAGCGCCAGACTGACAACAAAGGCAATCAGCGCCGCCACTTCATCATGCTCAAAGAGGAGGCTGAGTCTGGTACCGACCATTTCCTGGAGCGCGAGGGCCCCACCACCGCCGACATGCCTTTCCAGCGCGACGGCTACGACCTGCTCGAGGCCTACCTGCCCGGCCGGACGTGGCTCAAGAACGAGAAGAGGTGGGCGTATATGCCTGCAGATATCCACGACAGAGACCTGGCATGGGCTGCGACGAGGTGGAGCCCTGTCACCGACGATATTGCCACATCCCTCCGCCCCACCCCCTCAAGGCCTACACCTGTATGATCTATTTCGGCGATGGCAAGCCCTCTTCGCCATTGTTGACTTCAACCACTGGCAGCCGGATACTATCCGTAATCCCATCCCCATCATTCCGAGAGGGAGGGAGCCAGAGCGAAACGAGAAGATCAAGGAGAAGACGGCTCGCATCATTCTCGAGGCCCCGAAAGACGACGCTGTCTGGGAGACCGTCAGGGATGAACACTGCTTCATGCGTAAACGAATCCGCAAGTACCGCAGCGTGGTTGGCGGTGTGCTGTTATACTTGAGACACATGTCTGGTCATAAACGCTATGAGGATATCTGGCTCAGACTGGGAAGAAGACGAGGCTATCGTTGCAAAATAGGAAGGTCGTCCGCCACAGAAGCTCGAAATCGATTGCATAGAATTCATTTCCGGGATCCTTTATGTAATGCTAATGCCTGATGCTTTCTGTGTGAGCTTGATATGGCCTGCTACTCATTCGGTAAGATCGAGCTGGGGAGGAACTACGAGGACGTAGGGAAGCTTCACACGCCAGCAGTCGACGACCTCACAATGGAAACGCAAAGAACTGATGGCATTGAGATGTTTGACTTGACAAATCCCGTCTTTCTCTGTGTCTTTGATTCCTTGAAAATTTGCCATTACTAGGCTCTGGAGGAATAAGCACCTGTAAGATGATGGTAATGATTCTGAAAGCTGCTCTTCATCCAACGTTCAAAAACATATAAACAAACCCCTTGGTATCTTGACTCCTGTTGCCCGAATTCAAAGACCGTCTTTCAATGTATTTCCATGCCCATATCCACTTCTGCGAACCCTGTATCCCCATTACGCTGTTCCAAAAACACCCTCACATCTTTCTTCTCTAATCTGTAGTCGGTGGTTGGATGCGTCGGTATTTTCGAGCGCTTCAGATGGAGCACGGGTCGGTGCCGTAGCGAAAGACCCAGACGGGAGATTGAGCGCCTCCAGGAGGGTAGACGGTCTTGATGGCCTGGCGGCATGACTCTGCCTGCGAGCGCCAACTTCCGAAGCGGATCTCGATGTGTCCCATTTCCTTGTTGAGAGCATGGATGATGATGTCGTCGATTTCGTATTCGAAATGGTTGCGGAACCACTGCAGAAGCGTACGGGGATTGACGAACGAAGGGTCGCCCATGATGACAACAGCCCTGGAGCGGTTGCCGCCAACATCCTCCTCGGCCTTCTTGGTGCGGTTCAAACAAACATGCGCAACATGGCCCCCAACGATCAGACGACGTCGAGGGTTGCTGCAGTGAGCGTAGAACTTCTGAGCCGCCGCCAGTTCGAAAAAGACAAGCTTCGCCGCCGCCGTGATGTGGTCGCCGATGGGAGGGCTGATGACACAGGCCCAGACCCGTCCCATGCCGTGGATCTGGCCGAGAAGCTGGCTGTGCGTGACATTAGGCGGAAGGTTCGTGATCCAGAAAGCGACGTTCTGGCTGTCAGGAATAGGCGCTGACTGGTTACGCGGGATCGTAGCGTCACCCGCGTAATTAGGCGAGATTCCAAGCTGCGCCTTCAGCTCCCGCTGGCTATCGAGGTCCGGGTGATGGAATGGTCGAGTCACCGCGTTCATCGGGCGGAATATGCCAGCAGGAGTGAAGGAGACGGGGCCCTGGCCCGCAACCGCACTTGCCATGTTAGCAGCATCACCAGCCGGCTGCGCCGAGCCAAAGCTAGCGACGGCAGCAGACGGTTGAGCCCGAACTGGCGCTTGACGAATGGTGCTGTTGCGGGGGATCAAGCCGTTGCCTTGGAACGTGCCAAAGGCCAGATTAAAGCTCGGCGCCGGGACGGGCTGTTGTTGATGGGTGGCAAGTTGGCTCGCGGCACCAGCGCTATTGAAACACATGTTGAAGATGGGGTGAGGAGCGCAGGTGAGGCCACGCCTGCCATTGGCTTGATTAGAGGCAGGCGCGCGACGGTCGAAGTTTTTGACAGGAGCAATGCCTTGAAAAGGTCCAGGGGCGATTGGCTCTCTGATAGGACGTTGAACCTGACCGTCGTGGGTTCCGCCTCGAAGGTGGGGAGCAACCCAGCCATTCTTCGAGCCGGATGGCTTCGAAATGCCGATGGCAGAGTCGGGCTTGGTTTCGATTCTGGCTTCGATGTGGTGGTTCGAAGTATGGTTGGGAGAGAATCGAGTGGTAGACGAGCCAGAAGATGAAGAGCTATAAATACCCTGGGGTGCTTTACGCTTGTTCTTGCCCTCTTTGACAATGGCCGTGGCGGCAGTACTGCTTTCAGTCTGTTTGGTTAAGCCGAGAGAAGCTTCAGCAATTCTACTAGCCGGGGAGTCACGGCTGCCCGTACCAGGGTTGCCGGCTTTGTGGGTGACGCTTGTGCCGTGCAACCAGGAATCACTTGATTGGGAGCTAAGGGCCGATGACCGAGCATTGAGAGCAGAGGAATAATCGCTAACGCCCTCAGCAAACTGAATGTTGGTGGTATCAACAGTTAGCTGTGAGAACTGCTGTACTGGCACATCCATACGACCTTCTGCGCTAAGAGGTGGTTGAGCACCAGGCAGGTTATTGTAGTCATTGGTCTGGGCATCCTGGTCCATGATATGGTCACAAGATGTCTTGTGGTTGTGACTTACAGCCGGAACTTGGGTGTGTCTGACATCAGGAGTAGATAGCAGAAGGTTATGTTCAGAGTTGGGGCTGCCAACGGCGGATTTGGTGTTTGCAGAGCGAAGATCATAGTCGTTGAGTAGCACACCGTTGTCACGGTCGCCGGAGGCCATGGCGTTGCGGTTGGAGAGCTGCTGTGCATGGACACTGTTGACAGGAGAAGAAGGTCGATCAAGAGGAGCACCACCCTGAGGAGAAGCAGAAGTGCATCGAGTGCCAGCCATTGCGAGTATTGCTGATGTGATGAAAGAGGTATGTGAATGGTGCCGGCTGGTTCCTGCCATTGCAAGCATGTTAGAACTTGCACAATTTTTGTGGCTTTCAGACTGACAGACTTAATTGTGGGGAAAGAACTGACTGGAAGACTTGAAAGGCTGGGTTCAATGGAGAGATCTTGTGATTGGCGTGAGGTATGAGATGAAAGATCTGCTAGACGAGAGTCAACTCTGGTCCAATTAATGCTGATATTGGAAGGTGCAGGAGGCAAAGAATGGACCAAAAAGACGATAGGGACTTGTTTGGATAGAGTGGGGGAAAAGAAGAAGTTGGATTATCAGAGGGATTGAGGGCGTTTTATGCCAGATGGAGGAGGTGGTAGAAGGGATTGAAGTAGCAGGGGCTTTGTGGGCAGAACGAGCCAGGCAGGCAGGTTCAGAGGTTGGAAGTCCAGGCAGATTAAGGGTAGTGAGCAGGTTCAGGCTCACCTCAGATGTAGGATTGCGCTTGACGTGATGGTTTGTGACGAAGAGTTGGAGGAATCCTCTCTTGCGCAGCTGGGTTGGGAAGAGCTTGGAAGACAGTTGCCTGGGTGTGGTGGTTAGTTGGAATAGTTGCTGTAGGGTCAAAGGATCTCATACCCAAGATTGGATGAAAGCATGGAATAAAGAGGTGAGATATGTGAGGCTAGAGGAAAAGATGAGATTGGTTAAGGCGGTGGGTTGAGAAAAGGCAAGTGAGGCCGAGGCAACAGAAGTGAATAGGTAGGTAGAACACAAGTCCTGGTGGAGCCGCTTCAAGGAAGGAGGCAAAGGCAGAAGGGGCAGGTGCTGCAAGATTGATTGGTTGCGGAAGGAGTGGGTGAAGGAATGGGCTGGACTCGGTACTCACTCAGGTCAGAGACAGCTTTGATACTTTTGATACTCCTCCCTCTTTGTCTTTGCCTGGGAAACTGGTTGCCTGGGTCTTGTAAGAAGTAAGCGGCGCCAAATTCGATATGAGGCAGAAGCAACGCGGGGAAGCAGAAGTGAGATCAGTGTGTTGTTGTGCGAGGTGAAGGAAAGCTTGATGTTGGAATTCAGGTGAGAGAAGTGACTAGCCTTGAGGTGAAGTTAGGACAGGATAGGCGCTCTGGCAGGTAAACCTCTACCGCCAGCATGGATGCATGAAAGGGCGAAAGTGAAGTCGCTTTGGTCACTCAGCTAGTAGAAAGAAGAATTGAGGGTATGAAGAGGAAGGTGCACTGCCTAGCTGATATGACCCTCTTCTTACTGACTCGATGGACCTACGGATAAACTAGATCAACTCACTGATAACACAGATGCTCGTCGTAGCATGATTGGGTCCACCTGCTCAAGTTTCAACTTGTTAAAACTTTGTATATGGAAGTAGAAAGCACTTATTAATGTCAAGATTATTGAAGCGTGGAATAGGGAGTGAGACGTGTTAAGTCTTCTGACACTCAGTTTTTCGGAAAGGAGAGGGATGCGATTGAATTGATATGCCCAGACACGATCCCAATAAAACAAATAGCTTGGTATTCTAGCCGCAGAAAGCGTATCGACGTGGAACCTTGAACTTTGTATATACAACACCAGAGGTTATCGGCTGCGGAAATTTTGCATGCCAGAACTTCTTCACACGAAAGAGACCAGACTCCTGGATCCCAGTGCAGCTTCCATAAAACGCACACACAGCTGTAGTTGAACTATTGACCGTATCGTCCATGACTCCATCTGTTGGTCTGGTCATCAAGAATAACACGTTACGAGCTGTACCCTATACCAAAAGGGTCCTTTCTAGGTGTGATATGGGAGTTCATCTTCTAAGTTCGTACATGGGCCAATATACAGAATGCTCGTTGCCAGATCTCGGCTTCTTTACCTACAGTGATATCCTACAGATCCACCATACAGTAAGCCCTCGGCAAAGGATATCTATATCTCGCATTTCGTATGGACTCTATTGCGGTGTAGCTTAATGAGAAACTTTAATTAATCGAAGACGGTAGTTGGAAGTACATTTTACCAAGACCTCGGCTCAAAGCAGGAAGAACAACAACATTGAAAAGCTGTGTTTCAATATTGCTAGAGAGATCATAGTAGCATCGCTTTTTGACTGAAAGTCTATGGGCATTAACTGCTTGATATGACAATACTGGTAAACAAGACGGTTGATTGACCGTTTCTAACTACCCAGATCAAATCTATAAAAGCTGACAAGAGCGAGAGGTGTCAGTTTCAGCTTCATTTTTCAATAGAAACAAAACCCAAATTGCCACAGAAAGCATCACGCCATGAACCGGCATTTCAGTCATCCTCATCCAGAAAACAAAGGGGGGAGGTATGCATCAGTAGGGTTCTATTCAAAACGCAAATTGAGAGATTACAGTTGCTGCTTTAATCATACAGTTTTGCAGAATACCAAAATAAGTCTTTATATATGGCAGAAAAGAGACTTTTCATTGACCTCTCAAGACGGTCAAACTGGAACGTCTCGCATGCATTATTGACGCTGCCATGCGTTGTATCAACCAACCAACCAACCAAAGTTGACATAACCTTGCCTGCCTCTGGACGCATGAACAAAGAATCAATCAAATATACTTAGATGCCATCCGCGTATTCCCTTGTTTCACTGGAACCTCTTTTCTCACAAATATGTAATGGTATTAGATGAGCTCAGATGATCCGACCTCGATTCATCTCACAACGGCCCGGGAAGTTGTGCTCAGGCGCTTAGTGGGGAAAATAATATATAAATCATGAAATAATTCGAACACAAACTCCCACGTCTATTTTGAAGTTCCATATTCTCAAGAATGTTTTGTGGCTTTCAGGGTTGGTCTATTGACTCGCTGCCCTCTCACCTCCTTGCCTCCGACTCTCTGGGTGGTTCTGATCTCAGGGTAAAAAGAGAAGGTAAGGGGAAAGTGGGAAGATGAGAAAGAAAAAAAAAAAAGAAGGAGACGAAGAAAAGGAAAGAAAAGAAAGAAAATTTTGATGTGACTAATTTGCAATCATTTTCCTTAGCTGTGACGTTCTTTAACAGAATCAGAGACCTGGCTCAACCCGGGTTTCGGCCGTATGACAGAAATGCGGCCACCCCTCCCCATTGGACCCTGGTCGGCCCCTTACGTCCCCCCACCCGCGGATCTTGTCCTCATCAATTATATACCAAATAACCCGCACATAGGCCTTGCTTTCTGGTTTCGAGTGATGTTTACGGTCACCGAATGAGACATCGTTTTCCCTTTTTGCCAGGAATTTGATAAATGTGTCAAAATACGAGTGGAAATGTCGCCGAAAACTAGGCATCATTCCATACAGGCTCACCCTCTACCCGATCAAGTCAATCAGGTCGAGTTTGAAAAGCCCGGATCTCAGATCAGAATGCTAGCCCGTCTCCTAGCAGCTGCAAGGGTCCAGTGCTCGACGGGTAATCGGCTCCCTTGTCCCGAAGTTATCTCCTCGCTCTGGCAAATGCTGTTCGGACGATCCGATCATCTGTCTCATCTAGGACCGCTACCGTGGAATGGGGCAACACCCGCATAGCTCGAATGAGATTCCCAGATTCCCGATCTCTGTGCCACGAATGATGAGTATGCAATCGGGGGTGCATGTCCTACCTGGTAACTACGTGGACATGCGGGGGCCACTACTAGGAAAAAAGCAATTTTTTGAAATCCTTTCTAACAGAAAGGGAAAAGATGAGAAACAAAAAATCAAGTTCACAGCCGTCTACTAGTCAACAACTTGTCATTTGTGAATCCCTCCACACCATAATCGCCAGTGTACAACACTACGCAGCCATGGCATGCTTCTTTCTTAAGTCGCCATTCGAGAAGCATTCACAGACTCTGACATGATTCCAAGCCTCGTCAGGGGGCTCTTGGAGGCCAGAACGTTCTCGAATTCTTCCTTTTCGCGTGTTCAAACCGGCCGATTTCCTTGCATCCCCTGTTACACATTCCCCCCAGATGTCCAAGAGCTCGCTGCTTTTTTCCTATCATTCTACGTGCCGGCTTGTGGGCCATCCAGCCGCAGCGACTCGGAAGGGGACCCGACCACACCTCGCGACCTCCGACAACAGGGGCTCCAGATCTGAGAAAACAAAACCTACCCAAGACGGCAGCACTTTGACTCGTACAAGCTGTCGACCATGTATCTGTCATGCGCGCAGCCGTGGGCGCCTAACTGTTGCGTGAAACCTTGCATCATTGTCTGGGTTGCGCAGGTAGGCAAGTCCTGGCTTCTTATTGCTTATTGGAAGGATATCGACACTCGGATCTCCTGAGTATTTGCTTTTTCTCATCCGGAAGCTATTAGAATCTCCCCTGCGGGGTCGGACATGCCTCTGGGAATGCTCCGGCTAATATTGTCATGCAACTCTTCTGGGATACCGGGCTTCGCTTATGTAGGTTCTTTTCTCAACTCTCAACAAGGGGGGGAAACATTTGCCTGACCCATCCACCGGAATTACCGGTCGGCGCCGCCAGATGACGCCTAGCTGCATTAGATCAGCTCCCTCTCTTCTTCACTCACACGAGGGGAGGGGGCTGTTCTCCGAGTCACTGCAAGGCCGCCTGAAGGGTCAATGTCTCGACCTAGTGCGTTGATGCGAAGCTGATCTTTCCTCATCTCGAAGGCTCAGTCAAACCCTTGTCAGCTGTGTTTACTCGCTACCTCCCTACATTCAATCCATGAGTGGGAACATCTCAGACAATGAGGCGTCATCATTGCTTGTTGTTTTTTCCTCCTGGAAAAAATTTGCATCTCACAGAAAGTGCAACTACGCGAACGCTGTTCGCTTTCTGAAGCGCCAAGTCATTTACTCGCGGCGACGAAGGCTCGACTCGGCAAGATGAACCCTAGGGGGTTCAGTCGGTTCACCTGAACGAATATGTCGTCAGGAGCACCGTGCGTACCCGGGTGAAAACAACGACATGAGCGATGGCGGTAGGAATCTCGGCGTATGTGGAGCTGAACTCACACTCCGTTTCCGGCAATGGTAAAACCCAGCATCAAACCTTTCCTTTTTTGCACGCTGAGGAAACCAAACCCCATTCCTCTACATGACATTCTACTGTGCATGGATGCAGTTTCGAGGGTAACATTCGCCGCAGCGGAAAACTGACCGGAAGTCTCTCCCCGGAGGACCGACATGGGGCCAAGGGGAAGGCGGAAAGCCACAACCCGCCGGGGCAGGCTCGTAACCTTCGATTTTCCCCACTAGTCTGTCTTCAATGTCCATGTTCTATATGTCTTGAACCTACGAGACCCGTGTGAATGGCTTCCGGGTTCCCATCCGGCCCAGTCTAGGCCAGGGCAACCCTAGTTGACGACGTCAAAGAAGAAAAAGCATCTAACATCTATCCTCGAGGCATCTCCACCATGCAACTTCACCTGATGCAGTACACAGTAAGGCACCGGGATCATCAGCGGTCAATACGGTCCAGAGCTTGGCTTCGATATTGACTGAGCAAACACTGCTAGGGTTTACATCCACCACGAAGAGTATAAAAGGCAAAGTGGTCGCACCGTAAAGAATCTAGTTCTTAATTTCCTTTCCAGAGCAACATCCCACAAGTCCTTACACCACTCAGTCACAACCTCCTTCTTCTTTTCCCAGAACTACGTGACAAGATGGGGCGCAACTCATTCGACAGGGCTATAGACCTCAACGTCCCTATATCAGAAGAGAAGGACGTTGAGGTCGTCTTCACACACAACATTGGCTTCAACGAGCTGGACTCTGAGAAGGGCTTTCAGACATCAGACCCGGTGTCATCAAACTCCGACAACAGCGACTATGGTTCCAGTAGCGTGAGCAGTGGTCCTGAAAAGCCCGTCATGTCCAAAGCCCGCAGCATTGCCCTCGTCACAACAGTCAGCGGTGCAAGCTTCATGAATGTAAGTGCATCACACCTAACGAAGCCTTCCGAACTACCTCTGACGCTGTTCTCCAGACACTCTCGGTCCAAGCCGTAGTCATCATCCTCCCTACCATCGGGCGTGATATCGGCATCCCAGAATCACGTCTTCAATGGATTGTATCAGCCTACTCCCTCGCCTTCGGCTGCTTTCTTCTGCTCTGGGGTCGCATAGCCGATATCTACGACAAGCGCATGATTTTCATCGCCGGCACCGCTTGGCTAGCCATCATGACCCTTGCTAACCCCTTCATTCCCAACGAGATTGCCTTCAACGTGTTCCGCGGACTGCAAGGTCTCGGCGCCGCTGCAAACGTCCCAACGGCCATCGGCATCTTGGGCACAACATTCCCTCCTGGAAAGACAAAGACATACGCTTTTGTCGCCTATGGAGCAGGTGTCCCTCTTGGAAGCGTCTTCGGCACTCTCCTCTCGGGCTTCATCGCGCAGTATGCCAACTGGAAGTGTGTGTTTGGTGTCATGGCCTTCCTTGCCGCCCTTGTTGCTATTGCCGGCTTCTTCTTCATTCCGCCAGCAGTACCGACACCCAAGGAGAAGAGTGCCAGCGTCAGTGCCAAGAAGTCTGTCGACTGGATAGGAGGAGGCCTCATTACTATAGGCCTCCTCGCGCTGATGCTTGCACTCACTGAAGGCAACGTGGTCGGCTGGACGACCCCGTGGATCACCATTCTCATTGTGGTCTCCTTCATCATCATTTCCCTATTCTGGTTTTGGCAACGCTATCTCGAATTCCAGACTGACCGCCTTCCGCTCATGAAGACTTCCATTTTCCATAGCGGCAAGTTCTGCGCCGCCCTCGCAATCATGGGCCTTTTCTTTGCCTCTTTCAACAATTTCCTCATCTTTGCAACCTACTTCTACCAGGACTACCAAGCCAAATCCATCCTTACAACAACACTATATTTCCTCCCCACCGGCATTGGTGGCATCTTAGTCGCCTGGGCCGCTGCGTTGTTGATCTCCCGCGTGCCAACATATATCCTCCTCGTCTGCGGCCAAGTCTCAGTCTCCATTGCATGTCTGCTTTTTGCGACGCCGATCCCCACAGACACATCTTACTTTGCCTACGGTCTGCCCGCCATGGTCCTATCGGTTATCGGTGCGGATATGGCATGGCCCACCCTGATATTGTTTGTCTCCAAGGCCCTGCCTCAGGAAGACCAAGCCCTTGGGGGCGCCCTCGTCAACTCTGTGGGGCAAGTCGGTCGATCTATCGGACTTGCCATCTCCACGGCTGTCCAAACGGCGATCATGGCTAAAGCCAGAGGTGTATCGGTCGAGAAAGCAGGCCCGGTGGAGGAGTGGGATCAGCCCTCATTAGACGGTCTCCGAGCAGCTAACTGGATGAACTTTGCCCTCGGCATCACTTCCCTTATCATAGTTGTATTATTCTTCCGCAGCTCAGAGATTGTGGGAAGGGAGGATCCTGTGCCGAATAAGGATTCAGCTGATGATGGCGCTGTCACGACCACTATCGAACTAGATCTCGAGAAGAACGAGAAGTGCGAGAAGTGCTAGATTTCCTATGTCTGAATACAAAAGTTTTGATTTTGTGGTTTAATCAGCTGATATTTCCCTGTTGTCTCATCTCATCCCATCTCATTCGACTTGATCGGCGCCAAGCAAGATGTTCCAGACGGCGGCCACCTAATGACACAGCTGATTGTGGCGGGAGTGATCTCAATTCCTCGGGGATTAATTGCCTCATTCCAAGCACAGGCAATAATAGAGTAATGAGCACCCACATCATTTACGCCGAATTCCTACACCTCGAGTCGGCACACATCGGCCTACTTTTGGCTGCCCCTTGTGATTAACACCCCCTCGTGATCCTCTCATTCATGCGGTCTCCTTGACCCTTTCTAGGTCAGTTGTTAGTCTGCAGCACACAATCCCTGCTCCTTGGCTCTGCCGCGTAATGCAAATGTTTGCTTCCAGTCCTCTAGCTCGAGGGAGAAAACCGCAGTCTCAATCACAAATTGAATGGGACCAACCTACCGCGCCCACCTATTTCCACTAGTGATCATCTTGCATAGAGGCAAACAATGATAGTGCGTAGACATGACACCCCTCAAAGGCTCAAAACCCCGGCGACTTCAAGCTCCATGCATTATACGGTAACATTTGCAGTTGATACATGGACACCAACACAGTCTTGTTTGGGCACAATTTCCGTCTCTGCATATCAAGGATTCAGTCACATCCCGCTTCAATGTTTGCCTTTCTCACGTTTCGCTTAGTAGGTTATTTCCACCACATATGCGTTAGAGTGGGTCGGCTAGTTATCAGTGGCTTTACATCAGCAGGACGTGGACAACATCGCATCGCACCGCCATAGAAAGTCGCATTATGGCCAACGGCAGCCACGTGATAGAGCACTTTATGAATTTCATGCTTAATTCTAGCCTTACTAACTAGGCTTTCGTTGATTCTAGTACGAAGAACTCGCCCATATGTCAGGCTCTCTCGCCCAACATGGCTTCCTGTTGGTTTCACCAGGGTGGTGATACAGTTAAACGTACGTATCGAGTGGAAATTGACGAATAAAAGGGGTAACTGGTGGTTCTGAATTATGCGTAAAGAGGGAAACCATCGTGGGATTGCTCGGCGAAATGGCCAAGCAATAGCCCCGTGGATACGGTGGATCCACGGGTAATTGGCCGCAGTTTATCCGGTTATCGGCGTTAATTCATAACGCCGAAATACAGGCAATGGTCAACATCGCAACACTTACCAATCACAATTGGAATATTAGATTTCCCTCAGCCAAGCATGGCTGTTTCAAGCAAGCATTGTTAAAAAAAAGTGATATTTCCTACCACTTCTTGGTAGCAAGGGAAGCTCTTTCTTTTTTATCTTTTTATTTGGCATAGCTTCCCTTCATTAACTATAAAGTAATACACTTTTGATTTTAATTGCTAACTTCTGATTTGTGTCTCATGGAAACTTGGCAATAACGATGTTTGGAATGTTTCCAAAAAGCCAACAATATGTCGTTTTACCTCTTTCTGACGACAAAAGTGATAATAGAGTGACATCGTCATTGTCAATTGCAACCATCCTAGCTAGGTCTCTCTAGTCTGTCATCTCTGTCGCAATTGCGATAGATCCAGCCAGACCGATGGATCCGTCGTTGCGCGATGGATCCGGTATGGCATCATTGTAATAGGTCAAGCCAGCCCAGCGTCACCGTGACCTATCGTAATTAGCCTACCTGCGCTACAATAATCATACCATTTTAGAATTCGTGGTTATTTTGTATGCCGAAGAACATTGGTAGACTGATATTCCTGTTAAAGAGCTGTATTTCTATTCATATAGGTGTTTGAGATAAAAGTTCGTAGAAACTCTTCTATCACGACCAACATATCAAAGTCACAAAAGTGGAGATACCCCCCACTGGAGGATGACTGGCTAGCTTACTTCAACACAACAAGTTGGATTCCGATGCTGATAATGCAACGTGGCATCAGTCGCAGCTGTAACGTCGGCTTCTCAAAGTGAGATCGCATTAAAACCGACAGTAGCGGTTAAGATATGAGTGTACAAATAGCCCCTTATTAACGGCTGGCCTTCATTATAACACCTGCCAAGAAAACACCCACCACGTTCTTTACAAGCCATGGCGACTGAAAACAAGTATATCATGAGGCAATGTACCGTTGCTGACAGTGATGAGCTGACACGCAACAACATCCCCGCCTTCTGGGCAGATCGGCACTGGAACCTGGCCTGGCGTCATCGGACCCTCGAGTACCATATCTCCCAGGTAGCCAAGCGCACGCCGCGGAATCTATTGAGCAATCCCGAGACGAAGCGACAACAGAAGGCCGTCGATCCTGCTACCGGGCGTATCGTAGGCTTTGCACGTTGGTATCTTCCCGGCTCCCACTCCACAACCGCCGACGGTACACCCACATGGCCTGACGCCGTGGTTCCGGCCGTCACTTCCGAGGAAGAAGCTGAAATCCAGCGTGTCGCCAAAACGGCCCACTGGGACCCGAACGAGGAGTCAGATGAGCTGATCATCCCCATACGTGAGGCGAAGGATGAAATTCTTGCGAAGAAGCCGTATATGCGTTAGTCGAATTTTCTCCTATCCGTTATATTGGGATTAATGATTCTGCTAGGCTTAGATTATTTGGCCGTACATCCCGATAACCAAGGCAAGGGAATCGGTACTCTATTGGTCGAAAGCGGCATGAAACAGGCGGAAGAATTGAAGTTAGACATATTCGTACACGCTATGAAAGCCGGAGTTGGGGTTTATAAGCGGCTTGGCTTTTATATCGAGAAGGAATTCTTCCAAGACGATACCAAATATGGCGGCGAGGGGGAAGTTTACACAGCTCTCATGATTTATAGACAGAAGGTTTGACATGACTTGTTATACACTGTAACTCTCGAAATAGAGCATCTTTAGTATCGGTCGATTTGTGTTCATGGAACCACCTCATTTTGACTTTCAGCATCTAAGTGCCTGTTTCTATATTTTCTCATAGTGTCTTTACTGCCCCAGAAGTTGACAGTTAGATTCCAAGAACAATATCATTCTGAATCCCAACTAGTCCATTAAACAACCTCAGATGCTAGACAACTACTGAGCGTTTCATTCCACACAGCCTACATACTTAGGTGAAGGCAATCCATAGTGAAATGAATACCAGTTAGGGCCTAACCATTTCTTATGTTCTCTCTTCCCCTTCATCAAGAACTCTAATAGCCTCACGTCCCCTGGCTTGCCTTTAAGCTGAATGGCCAGTCCCTGAAGGTCCCTGATAATTGAATCCCACGAGGCCTTATCCCGCGTCTTGAAATCCCACTGAGCTGTGCGAGCTCGTTCAAGTTGCACGATAACATCGGACAGTGATATTGCAACGATAACTATAGCAGTTGGTGCATTGGATGCGAATAGTGGGATCTGCTGCCTCGATCCGGCCTAACCGAATGGCTGGTTGTGCTTCGTGAGATAGGCCCCTGCAGATTGCTAGGAGTAAGACGCGTTTTTTTTGCTTCACTAATATCCATCCCAAGCCGTAGCTCCCATATAGAAATCGCTTCTGTGGGTTGCTAAGGATTTCATTGGCCTCGACGACAAGACGGTAGCGTTCAGCTGGGATTATTCTTGGTACAGCGTCTAGGAGGTTCTCGTTTAGGGAGTGGAGATCAGGATGATAACTTCATGAGCCGGTGGAACTTCTTCTTCGAGTGCGGCCTGCCCGGCTAGGCGCTAAGGATATCGTGAGTGGAAAGACAAGGGGTTCGGGGCCACAAGTCCGGTCGTGGAGCAAGGAGGTGGAACAGGATTAGGACACTGCCCACGCGAGTGTGAGTAACGACGATAGGACCTGAGAAGAGCTTGTGAGGCACTGGACCACTTGTAGAGGATACCCATCGACATCTTAATCTTAGTATGCGAAGGCTGCAGATTGCATTTCGGCCCGGTATCAAGTGGATGCTCTGTGATGCCCGTTGGTTTCGATAGAGTTAGCCTTCTACATAGATTGGCTTGTGGCACCAATAGGTTTAAAGCAAGGATACAAACAGTACAGCAGTTCATTGGCTCCACACTCACAAATTGATGCACTGCGCAAAAGGCGGCTTGAGTTACAGCGGTCGCGGCGTCAACCTGCGCATATTTGCTCTTAAGGAGCACTGGGTATTATTGGACGTGCAAGGTTGCTGAGAAAAATAATAAGTGTATGCGATATTCAATGCCCAAACTTGATGTCTCTTGGATTCTGAGAAGAGATCTGTCTATCATCATCATCGATAATATTGTAGAAGCAATGGAAGAGATAAAAAAAGGATCTAATTGCGTCAAGAGACGGTAAACCAGTTGGGACCGGTTCTGGGAAGAAAGAGAAGAAACAGCAGGCCAAGGTATCATTCAATAGTAGGCAACAACCAACATGCGCGAAATGGACGGACGGCCACGATGATTGTTGCTGCGGGGCATCATCCTGTTCAGAATTACTACACGGAACCTATATGGCCACTTCAAGGAATAGCGATCCTACCGTGACAACATTTTAGCTATTATGAGTCCACATCGCTAAGTGGTTGAGCCACTGCGTGCAGCGTTGCCGCATCTACTGCGCCAATATGAGCAAGTTTCGCCCCCTTCGCCTGCACAACAGACGCAGCCGCCCTAAGGCAGCCACGAACCGCCCTCAAAACGCACGCAGGAACTAAACAAGATATAATACGCGTAGGAAAGCGGCCGAGCCAAAAGTCTCAAAGCTCAGAGCCCCAAGCCATTGCTTCTCGACGACGCCGCACACAGATATGGAGACAAAGATCGCCGACAAGCTACTCCTCACGGGGGATTTATGCATTTCCGCAATGGCTGTTGGCCTCTTCTGGTCGGCATCTTCCGGAAACTTCCGAGAGAAGCTCTGGGAGCATGGAGGTATCAAGGGCTGGAATTCGAACCCGAACCTTCGGATATACTTCTACGCGAACTACGAAGAACCGCCCGAGATCCCGTTGATCTGGTCACAGAGGTAAAGACACGCTCCTCTTTGTTACCGTACTTAGCTGCAGACGTATCTAAATATATCGTGGCTGACATCCTCTGATCCCCAGTCTCACCGACGCCATGCTCGCCGTTGCTCTGCTATCCCTGGTCCTCCTGGCAGCCCGGGTGACCTTGGCATATTTTGGTCATATGTCTCGGACGGTCTCGCTGATCTACGACGCCTTGCTCGTCTTTTTCTGGCTCCACAGTATCGAGTCTCAGGCTTCGGGCGACTTCTCGGACCCCGAGCACCCGAGCCCTCGTCCGTGGTACCTGACGCACCACTGTCGGGGCCAGGTGGTGACGGCGTGCCGGGTTGCCCAGGCCAACTTTGCAATATCGATCCTCGCGGCGCTCTTTTACGGCGTAAGGCTTCTGGCCACGGCCGCGGGGGCTGTGGAAGCCTATCGGGAGTATCGAAAGGGCGGGTATCGACTTGATCCGGTGGACCTGGACCTCACGAATGGCGAAGATTGGGCTTCCCAAGGGGCCTGTTCAGAGAGGGAAGGAAAGCGGCAAATGTATCGGGATTACCTTAGCCCCGTGCTTGCTTTCTTCCCAGAAGACCATAGATAGTGCTTCCAAACTGCATTCTCTGTCAATGGTGGTTCTGTCCGTTGCCTTGGTGGATGATGAAATGTCCTATTTGGGATACTTGGGACATCTCTGACTATGTCCACATGCGACTATAAACCCCAGGACCAGCTCTAGAAACCTTGACAGGACTTCTGACGAACCTAGAGAGACGAGCTACAGCCAAAAAGTCGCCGCGCTCGCCGACACAAAGGTGAAGAGTATAGCTGGGACATATTTTTATGACATACGTAGACGAGACATGTATCGGAACAACAAAATTAGACATTTAGAGCTGTGTGTGAACAAAATGGGTATCTCGTGCAAAGAGTTAATCCGCCCTTTCCAACCGAACACTGTAGTCCACCTCTTCATCGCGTGACTCGTCGACTTCGCCTTCATCCTCGTCCTCGTCCTCGTCCTTTGCCAGCTTCCTCAGCCTCTGTCTCACGACCGGATCTTTTTCCAACTCCTGCCACAACTCCAGTTGCCATTCGTCAGCACAGACGTCGTCTTCCTTACGAACCCAAGGCCACCTCCACAGCCCCGCTAAGATTAGGGACCTTTGCAATGTGCGGAAGACTGTCTCCATGAGAACGAAAGTGGTGATCATGACAATGAGTGTCAGCCACCATGCCCAGTCCGCGCCAAATGTCTTTGAAAACCCGTCCCGCACGGAATAAGGCGATGGAGCGGGTGCGTAGATGGACGAAAGGAAACCATTCCACGCCCACCATCCGGAGAAAGTGATAAAGAAGGATGCCATTACGATGGCTGACTTGTGGTGCGTTTCAAGGATGCTGCAACACAATCAGTCTTCGACTATGTTAGAACCAGATCCAATGTCAGGTACTCACAAGCACTTATAGTTGATCCAAATAACACCCAAACTAAATGAGAGGTTGCCAACGGCAAATAGGCCCTGGTCACTGGAGCGGGCAAACCAAACATACCCCGCCCATACGCCCCAATACGCCAGCACACCTTGACACGCTCCTGAGAACATCCAGGCAGTATATTTGGCCAGATTCAGTCCCATGTTTCGTTGACCATACATGTACAGCTCTGGGACTGCAAGCAGGGTGTCGGCGCTGAGGTCCTGCTCCCAGACACCCATGCAGATGACACAGAGACTGGTGAACAGGGTGTTGAAGACAGTCAAGCTAGCCGACTCGTAGAGCGAAGTACCCGTGTATCCGTTGTAGCGCTGGTACATGGCAGTTGGAAGGTAAAAGAACATCTCCTTCCAGAAAGTGCAAAGAATGAACTTGGCGGTCCGTACATAGTTCCATCGGCCATGCACCAAAAGTAACCGCTGCAAGTATCGGAATTGGGCTATGGCGTAGTCAGCTACTCGAGCAGCCTGCAGGCCCTCTTTCCCTGAGATGCCGACGCCGACGTGGCTGGCAGAAATCATCGCCAAATCGTTGGCGCCGTCACCAATGGCAAGGGTTAGTCCGTGGCCCATGCGGCCTTTCAGCTTACGAAGCTGGGACCGGACGGTCTGTACCATAAGAGCCTTCTGCGCAGGCGAAGCACGGCAGCAGATAACGGAGTCGACGAAGGGCACAACCGAGTAGAACTGGGCGGTCAAGTCGGGCGAAGTCTCAATGGAAGCCAAGGATTGCCCGTCGATGACAACAACACTGTGGACAGAACCAGAGTGTAGGTCTTCAGATAGTGCTGCCATCTGGCCGCTAAGATCTCCCCTGGTAACATCAAGAGTAAACAGGTCGGACACGGGCTGGCAGATGCGGGCCGAATGGGCAATATTGATCGCTGTCTCGCGCTTGTCGCCGGTCAACATCCAGATCCTGATATTTGCCCGTCGAAGTTTGTCGATAGTCTCTGGCACACCCCCTTGAAGCTTATCTTCAATCGCAGATGCGCCGACAAGGTTGAAAGACTGCTCAATGATCTCGGCTGCAGCCTCAATCTTTTCCTGACGGTCGGTCAAGCTAGTTGCGGCATCATCGAATGTCCGTTTCCACGTGCGGTAATCTTGGACCGAGATGAACTTTTGGGCGAAAAGCAGCGTGCGGAGGCCTTCGGTCGCAAAGTCGTCGATATGTTTGAAACATCGTGTAAAAATAGCCGAATCGTCGGCGATGGCAGGGTCATCGAGGAAAGCGAACTTCTTGGGGGTATGATGGTTAGTCAAGGGAGAGGCTGGCGAAGCCTCATATGAGGCAGTGCGGATGTTAATCGAAGGTCGGAGGAGATCGCCCGATTTTCTCATTTTGCTTGCCTCGAAGGACTGGCTACGGTCCGCATTAGGTCTCGTACTCGGCCCTGAAGAACCACGTGCAATGCCGATGCTTCTTCGTAAAGACATGCTTGCACGGCCGCTGACGCTGATTCTCGGCTCTTGTTGTTCGCTCTTTCTAAGAAGCTCATGTTCCAGGTCCGCGCTTTTTCGAACATCTTGGGCCTTTTGCAAAGCCAGATTGGCCAGCTTGAGTCTTGGAAGGATAACCGAATCGGCACCTTTGCAAATGATGCAGATACGTCCATCGGGGTAACGCACAACAATGGACATCCTCTTTCGGTGACTGCTGAACTCGATAACGTCCAGAATCTCGAACGTCATATCCTTCTCAGGGCCGGCAGCATCAGAAATGAGCCGTAATGTGACACATGAGGACGTCCGGGAGACGACGGTGTATCCGAGTTCCTGCGCTGCTCGAACGATTGCCAATTCGTCGGGGGACGAAGACTGGTATTCAATCTCGCCGTTACGAATTTCCGGGAGACAAGTGTGGCAGAGAGCCATAGCCAGGATGTAATCTTTGGCTCGTCTGGCAAAAAGGGAGTGGGGTCTCAACCCGATGAATTCCAAGAGCTCTTTGGTAGTAACATCCGGTTGCACATGGTCTGGGCGACCCGTGGAGCGCCACTGGGAGGAGGACCGCCGTGTGGACGGGGCGCGGGAGCGCGCCATGGATGGCCTTCCAAGAGACGTAGGCGACTGGACGTTATAATCGGCATCAGCATCGGTTCTGGTGTGCTGAGTCGAAACTCGGCGCCCTCCTTTGGCCTCGGAAAGCGTCTCAACGGAGCTATTCGCGCCATCCTCGGCCTCCAGGTCAACGTCGGGTTGATGAAGCCAAGCTGTACCCGCAATGCTTAACTTTCGGAACTTCATGACGTTCTCAGTTAGCGTACCCGTCTTGTCGGTAAATACGTAGCCCACTTGACCCAGATTTTCGAGAATTGTGTTTGTGTTGCATCGCGCAGGCGTGTCTGTCTCGGCGTGGTACATCTCAACATCAGAATTGAGCATGAATAGCTGCCCGACTTTGACAATCTCAAGACTGATATATAGCGCCAGGGGGATGACATTGTTGAACTGAATGATGAAGCCGATGAGGATTTCGTAGAACTTGACTTGGGCATCTTTGAGATACCACATTCTTCGCTCCTGCGACCTCTGCCACATGAGATATCCCATAGAGCAGCCAATAGACAGAATAATGACGTAAATGGCGAGGGTGGCAACAATCTTGTTGGATACAATTTCCAGCGCCGGCTTTTTCGCTTTGGGATGTTGATTGGCATTCATCCGGATTTTGCTTTCCTCCCCAGTGTTGATGACAATGCCGATGGCGGATCCGGTGTTCCTCAAGATGCTGCCGCGGTAGACAACTTCGTTAGAGGTGAGTGGTAGTGACTTGCCGTCGACAGTGATCTTCCCGTCGAACTTGTAGAGATCAGGATTCGGGTCCTCGACGACGAATTCAGCATTGGACGCGATGATCTTTTCAAGCGTGTCATAACCTTCCAACGATGCCGACGCTTGCTTGCTCTTGAGGCTGGTCTCGCCGTCAAGGGCCATCGTTTCGATGTAAGCCAAGCCATTTTCTCCGTTGGCGTGGAGCAGTATGATGTCTGCCGGGATTGGGTCATCTCTTGATATCTTGATGAGATCTCCGACCTCAATATCACGCCATTTGGTCGTTGTCCAAGGTCCTTCTCCAGAATTGGTCTCAGACGAATTTTGATTCATCCTGGACAGTCCGCCAAGCTTGGATGGCCAATTTCGCATGACTGTGCTACCATTTTTCGAATGCTTGAGCACGTGTGCTGCCTGTGCATTCTCCACCTTGTCGAGCCGGTGCCGCTTGAAATCATCGTATCCCTCTTTCGCGATTGTTACCAACACGAAGAACAGCAGCGGTAAAATAGTCGTGAAGTTTCCGGTCGTCGAGATGCCGGGTATTGTCTGTGGCACACCAACGCAGAGGAAGTAGAAATTACCGATTCGGGAAAACTGAAACAACAGCTGCTTTGGAACAAAATCGTATAAGGTGTATCGCGAGGTTCGAATGGCATTGGACACGTAGGGGTGACCGCCTCGGCGCTCGTCGGACAAAGGCGCATCTTGGTTCAGACGCAGAGGGATCCGACGGCCGTTCTTGGAGGGCGGAAGTGTCTTGCGACCCAGCACCACTTCGGAGAAAATGTTTTTGCACCACGCGACCGCATCGCGTCTTAAGATGACGTTGGATAATCGCGTCTTGCCAGGCCTGCTGTCGGCTTCAGGAGGCGCAACGGCCGGTGGCGCGTCGTGTGTCGGCTTTTCGTTCATGGTAGCCGCATTGGTCGAGCGAGTGACAATTGCACGAGTTCGGTCTCGTGGGGAGGAACATTTCCGACTTTAAACGAGCGATCGCGTCGATCTGGAACTGCGCGAGTCGAGGGCAGCGGCGGAGCAGACTCGGCGCAGCGATCGAGGTCTCCTGGTGCTTCAGTGAGACTGGACATGTAAAGAAACCATTTGCAACGCCATTGTACCGTTCCCCAGGCTGCTGATGATAGGGAGGAGAAGACCTGTGAAGAACGAGGTGACGGAGCAGAAAAGAGCGGGCATTGAGTTCGTCATTGCTGACCTGCACCCTCGCGCGTGGTGGGTTGCCAAGGCTTCTTGGCGAAATTAGAGCTGCAGACACCACGACGGCAACCTGTTGCTGCAGATGTCAATCAGGTACGAATACAGGGCAGATGCCCCCCATGGAAGCCACTGCCCGTATCAATGTCTCCACGGGCGGTGGGCTCAACTGGCCAGGTTCTCGCTGTTGGGGTTGCCGGTCATTGTAACGCTTGTCAGTGCAAGGTGTCGATTCAGTGCGGAGACGGCGACGCGGTCTCTGGTGAGGTTGACAGAAGGTTTACCAAGGTTCAGCCAAGGTTCATCGCTATTCTCTGACGCAAGCTGACAGCCAGATCTTCTCCAACATGCGGTGCGATGATGATCCAAAGCTTAATGGTCTGCGGCCCTCCACGAGGACCGCTAAGACCGCCAACGAACGACGCGCTAGGTATTATTAGTGTCGAGACCCTGGTAGTGATTGGCTTCGGAGAAACTGCCGAATACCGTTGCTTCATTGCCACAATAGCGTCGAATAGTTGCCGAATCTAGATTCGCTCCGGCTCTCATCGTCGGACGTGCATGCAGCAGCAGAGCAGAGAGGATGTCGCCGCCGCGATAAAAGGCCCGCACTTGCACAAGATTCATGTTCCCATCGGCCGCAGTAAATGCATCCATGGTCTCGAAAGACGGCACCCAGGACGCGGATGCCAATGCAATCTGGTATTGTACATAGTACTTTGGTCACCACCACCCCCCTGCAGTCTGCCTCCAATTCCTCAACCGCAAGAGTCATACGCGGGAGAGACTGGGGAGGAGGCTAAGCAGGCAAGATGCCGTGTCGCAACGTTGCGTTGCAGCTTGGTGGAGTATCGCACATACGTATGAGAAGACCAGAAAGCCTCGACATCTAGGTAGTCGTCGTCGGCATGAATTCATCCGGTCGAGGTGTTTGTCGCATGATGATGATGGGTGCGGCGCCACCGTCTCGTCTGTTGTGTGATGACAAAACCAATTGAAATGGGATGAAAGGTGAGGAAGGGCATCGTATCGTGGTGGTTAGAGAGTGAATAAGGTATGGTGCGGCCGCAGACAGAGATCCACCAGAACTTGAAGAGCCGTGCCAGTTGATTATCTAAGCACTGTACACAACCCGGCTGTGCTCCCTTCTTCCGCACGAACCGGAACAAACCCCTTTAGGATACACATCGGGCCTTCAATCAGCTAGGTACCGTCACAGGGACACGGCATGAGCTTACGTAGGTGTTTCCCTCTATTTATGAATCGAGCGACTCCAGTATGATCGCCGTCTGGGGACCCCCTATTCCTCGAATCCCAAAACGGTAAATACCTAGGTATTACTATCGGCAGGACTTTAAGGCTACGTAGTGGAGAGGACCATCACCCAAAAGGCAAAAATGCAGAAAGAAAAACAAATTGTAGATTGGGGACAATACTCTTAGAAAGTCCCCATTTTCATAACGGCTGATAAATACATACATAGATATATACATAAAAATGATAATGCCACAGGATATATTATACGTTAATTACTGCCCGTAATTAACGGCGTCGTTTTTTGCGACAGATAACAATAACAATGCTGGCCTGCTTCTTGAAGACTGAGATACTGGGTAATGCCTTATGCATTGCACCGTCTGAGACACGATCATCCGGTTCGCAGATCATGAACAGTGAGCCAAGGCAGTGGATGTCTCTTCAGGCCCGCTGAGAGCAACAAGTAAAAGGAGAAAGAACGACGAACTACATGCGCCATTTTCTCCATGACGATGATTCGACGTCTGCCGTCCCGTCTCACAATGGCCCGCTCGAGATGCCGCTTTCTAGCGCCTCTTGACACCGGCAGCCGTGAGCTTTTGTGAGATGAAGTCGGCCATCTCACCGGCATTTCTGCCGTACGATAAGTGGGCGGGAAGGATGATGAGCGTGCCTTTGCAGACGGCGTCGCCCGTGGCGCAGATGATCTTTGTCTTCTCCTTGGGAAAGTTGGGGATCTGGCCCTTGTCCTGGGTGTTCTGCGTGTCTCCGAAAGTGAATGCCGCGACGATCTGGTCCTTCTGGGCCTGGGGGAGGTTCTCAACAGCGCGGTGGGTGAGTGCCGCCCCCTGACTGTAACCGCCGACAACGAGCTTGGAGTCAGGGCACTCAGAGTTGGCCTTGGCGATGAGCCGCTTCATCTCGGCGATGCCCTGGAGGTCCGCGCCGCCGGGCAGCGCGTTGGTCGCCAGGCCGGCCGCATAGTCGACACCCTCGACCGCCACGCTCTGGAAGTTGGCCTTGACATCGTTGGCTGTAGGAGGGCCGCAGACGGTGCCCATGTTGCCGACCTCGGTCGATCCGCGGGCGAAGAGCATGATGACATCTTTGCAGCCGCCCTGGGTGAACTCTTTGGCAGTGATGCCCACGCCGCCGATCTGGCGGCCTTCGAGTTCGCGGACGTCAACCTCATTAACGGAGGTCTCGGAGAGCGTGGGAAAGGCGGCCGTGACGGACGCGAGTGCGAAGACGTTGAGGAACTTCATCGTGACTGGAGAACGGGAGACGTATTGAAACTGTGAAAAGAAGGCGGGCTGTTCCCAGAGCAGAACGAATAGTATCGCAAGAATGAATGACTGCCTGTTGGGCTTGAACTGATGGGCGAGCTGGCTGCTGTGTCAAATACAATGTGCGAATAACGATGAGATGAGTGCAATCTCAGAGGAGACTTACAGCAACCTTTATACTAGGGCTTACCCACATCAACTCACGCGGTCCCGGCTAGTCTTGATATACAGAACAGCTGGTGGTTCAATACATTGGTGTTTTCTCCCCTACGAAAACAAACCTGTGCCGTAGGTCTAACCTAGATCGACCAATCGCGTCTCTCCAAATGGGCAAGCCGGTCAGGGAGGCTGCTTCACTGCCCGACAAGTCACCCTTGGCCCTACAAGCCGACTCTCGTGCTGGAGGGGAATATGGATCCCAAGGCACTGATTGAATGGGGAACGGTCCGAATCGCAAGTTTGTCTCTTTTGGGATATGAGAGCCAAGCCACTGGGTAGCCCACGCGGCAAGGGCAAATTGCCCAGGTGGTCCCCTACATCTGAGTGTCGTTTATCGGAGATCCTAAGAGCGGGATGGATAGTTCCACAGACCGGCCAAGCACCTGTTCATTTCTCATCGGCAGCCCAAAATGATAGTCTAACGACTGTCTACCTCCTCGAAGGTACAAAGTACAAGGCGGCCCACCTTTACCTAGGTTGCACAGACACACGGCAAAGGTAGTTTAGCAGCTGCCTACCTGTTCAGATGATACAGTGAACAGCCCCTTTCTAAGGGAGCTGGTTAGACAAGGGCGGCCGGTGTTTCGTCGTGCTCGTTTAGAAAACGAGCCAAGATCAACGATGCTTGGTTAGACCCATAATCACCCGCAAAGTTTTATCCTAATGGCTTAAGGCGGAGAGACCATACGGTTGTACATAGTAGGTATACGGTCCGATGGTTGCGTTGGCAGCTGCCTGAATTAGAGCAGTAGGCCAGGAAAGCTAGAATGGTCCGGAAGTATAGGCCGAGCTAACAAAGTTAAACGGTTAACTAGCATGCAACGATGCTGGACTCTGACTTCATAGGCAGCTGCTAGCTTCTCAGTCAGCCAGGAACAACCCCGTAGAAAAGGACGACCCTTGTGGATAAAAGGCCGGTTTGCGAGTTGTGACGGTGGATCGTCTGGCGGCTTTGAGTTGGGTTGCAACGATGTCTCTCGATTAGCGGCTTCAATCTGAGTTGAACGGTAAACATTCTACAAGTTCCAACCTGAAACTTCAGATGACCAGGTCGACGCAAAGAAGTGCGGCCAAAAAGATACTCCTGAACAGGGATAGGGCCGAAGACCCAAGCCGTCTTACATAGTAGTGTGGAACATGTCGAGTAGCCACGTCTCGTCTTGACAACCAAGACCCTGTGCCGCCGTCCGTGGTCTGGCATTTGGTGTGGCGCACAACCACCGACTCGTGAACTGGAGATAAGTTCTCCTGGGGGCAAGCGGTCGGACGTTCTAGCAGACTCGCCAAAGGACCGAGCGCGGGGTGGCAGTCATCAGAGGGATATTTGCAAGGACGTCGACCGGACGGTAAAGACAAAGCAAGAATGGGGCACGCACGGCATGTCCCAGTGTTCCAGATTATACGGATATGTGTGGGGCGATCAACGGCCTTGCAGCATAACTGAAGGTGTTGTGATGTGACAGCTGACAATAAGAAAAATGTGCCGACAGTCTCCAGTAACTCTTCCCTGAGGCGATCCGATGTCCCCCATACGATCGGGTCGCTTTTATTAAGCGTGGAAGCAAGGAAAGCCGAGGTTCTCTCGTTGGGTTGTGGAGCAGCGTTTCTAAAGGCATGAAGGAGTTGGTAGCATGATGTGCCCCCCGATGGACCAAGATCGTACAATTGAGAAAGAGACCAAGTCCCTGTCGATTTTCGAGAGAGGCTGAGACAAGAACGGACTCATGGAGAGAAGGGAGCCGTGTGCCGGGGTGGGTGAAACCACCGGCGGCCAAGACATGCAGTGGCCCGTTAAAGGGATGCTGTGCTCCGTACAACAGCAAGTGTGGGGGGTGTTAAGCGTCCTGTTCAGGGGGCCATGCACTGCTTTTTACGGAAGAAAACGGTAGCAAATACAGATTAGTGGGTTGAGATAGTAGTCCCCGTAAAATGGGCCGATACCATTTTCCGGCAGCATCTATCAGATTAGGCTAGCGCTTCTTTTTGGCGTCTTGCTCGTACTAGCTATTGCACTAGTCATAGAACAACGGATTATTGCAATAAAACAGCTTTGCAAAGAGTAAGACCTTGGGTCGATAGTCAAGGCGGGGGAAAGGTCACGTGGTCGGTATCCACAGCTTCGGTCTATAGATTGACCGCGACCCGGACCCACCTTCTAGACACTCAGCGAGTGACGTCGATTCCATCACCGCTGCATCTGGGACCCCTGGATTCGGCAAAACTCTCGCCTACGACTTCCCCCCTGTTGCAGTAAGCCCAGACCTCCACTCACCCGCCACCCAGCACCCCACGAATTGTGGGGATCTCTATCGCTGCCCGCCACACTTTCTCAGCCTTCCCGTCGTCACACGGACAACCCATCGTTGCCCTGCTGATCCAGTTTCCGCGATAGCTCTTAGCAACAATTCGATAACCTCTGCATTTCTGCTCCCCCCAACGGTCTGGACTCTCTCTCCACTCCTTCTCGAGATCAGTCCTGTCTCCGTCTTTTGAAGTCTCCGCCATTTTCCCTAGTCAACCATTCGCACACCTGCATGTCAGCAACCGGTTTCCCCTCCGCCTTTTGATAAGCTCGAGCCTCGCCCCCCCACCACCCGATCGCAACTTTCGTCGCTCGCCTTAGCTGGGAGCCCTCGACTCTTCGATACGGCCCTACTGGATCAGATCTGTGGTGTATGTCTTTCACAGATCCCACAAATCACTCTTCCAGCCTATCTGGCGACACCAAACATGACTCCGATACTGTCCCGGTGACGGGCACCCAGAACGCGGGGTCGAAGGCTGAAACGGAGCCTCCTGAGCTCGGCAACCAGCAGGGGCCGCAAAGCAAAGCAGTACTGTCCGCCAAAGCGGCAGGCAAGCAACAAGCGACGGGCGATTTGATCGACTTTGGCGACGATGACCTCGAGCCGACACCGGAGACGAAGCCTGCCGCCAGCTTGGACAGCAAATCTGCGCTAGGATCAAGCCAGACCGCCTTTGCACCAGCCTTAGAAAGCACCCTGGAGCCTATGACCTCGTCTATCGCTACGCTTAAGCCTACGAGTCCTCTGCCTGCCGAGACTACCACGCAATATCTCACGATCGAGTCCACCACATACGTTGACCCAACACCTCCCACCCCCAGGGCGTCACAACCTCCTTCTCGAACCCCGTCCAACGCTACCAAACGCCGGTCGTCGTCCGAGACATCCCCGACAAGATCCGACGCCGGCTACGACGAGCGCAGATATGCAAGCGAAGATGAGCAGGAGAATGGATCACGGTCAGAGATTCAGAGCATCATGGAGCAATTCACCGGTGATGGTAGAGGCCCTGGCGCTGAAGAGGTTATGAGTCCGAGGTTGGAGATCGCATCGCCCATGCTGGGCAGCCCTGGAATTCACCATCCTCCACGGAAGTCCAGTCTCGACCCGCTGGTCCCGTCACTGTCCCACCAGGTTCAAGAACTTCAGGGCCTGAGGATACACTCGGCGTCTCCTGTCAGCATGCTTTCTCGAGAGCGAGTCTCCGATGACCAAGGTCCTCCTGTGCCGCCAAAAGATGGGCCACCCGCGACCCCTTCGCGTTCTCACGACGACAGACATATAAGCACAGATTCCCAAATGTCTCCTGGTTTGCCCATCCACCGGCCGCCACCCCCTGAGCCCGAACCCGAACCAGCATTGCCTTTCGACTTTCACCGCTTCCTGGAGCAATTACGGAACAAGAAAGCAGACCCAGTTGCCAGATACTTGAAGTCCTTTCTGTCCGAATTCGGGAAACGTCAGTGGATGGTGCACGAGCAAGTCAAGATCATCAGTGACTTCTTGGCCTTCATCGCCAACAAGATGGCGCAATGTGAAGTGTGGAGAGATGTTTCCGATGCCGAGTTTGACAACGCTCGGGAAGGCATGGAGAAGCTGGTCATGAACCGGCTGTACACGCAAACTTTCTCGCCTGCCATTCCTCCGCCCCAGCCCATTCCCGGCGCGAAACCGAAACGGCGAGGTGGCGAGCGACCCATGGGACCCGGCCGACGTGGGCAGCATCAAGAAGATGTGGAACGGGATGACATCCTGACGCAAAAAATCAACATTTACGCTTGGCTCAGGGAGGAGCATTTGGATATTCCGCCTGCTGGTGATAGCGGGACGCGGTTCCTCAAGCTCGCACAACAAGGTGAGTCAGTCATCAGTCTGCGAGACGTTTTGAGCCTCTCCTGATGTGTCGTAGAACTTCTGAAGATCAAGTCTTATCGGGCGCCACGGGACAAGATAATCTGTGTGCTCAACTGTTGTAAAGTCATCTTCGGTTAGTCTTACCTCACGCGACACTGACCATTCCTCCGGTGAACTAACCAGCATCAGGGCTTCTCAAGCACTCCAAATCGGACTCATCAGCCGACTCGTTTATGCCACTTTTGATTTACGTCGTTCTGCAGGCCAACCCCGAGCATTTAGTTTCCAACGTCCAGTATATCCTGCGCTTCCGGAATCAGGAGAAACTCGGCGGCGAGGCAGGGTACTATCTTTCATCCCTGGTAAGCTTTTTCTACCAACACGGTCTTTATGACACATGCTGACCTGTCGCAGATGGGTGCTATTCAGTTCATTGAGAACATGGATAGGACAACCCTAACGATCACGGATGAGGAGTTTGAAAAGAACGTCGAGGCAGCTGTGTCTGCAATAGCAGAAAGGCACCGCCTCGACTCGCCGGCGGTCGCGCAGGAACCCGTCTTCTCGGAGAAAATGGGCTTCCAGCAAGGCGAGTCTTCCGGACGACCTTCTTTAGACATGATAGGAGAATCTTCTATCCCGCGCCGCTCAATGTCGTCAAACGAAGGCAGCAGAGATGTCGAAGATCAAGCCCCGATCACAGGTCTCCTTCGATCAATACAAAAGCCGCTCAGCACCATTGGGCGCATGTTTTCCGACGAGCCGTCGCCTGCGCCGCCCCCCGTCCCTAGCAGTGCGTCAAGGCCGCCGGGACCTCCCGAACGATTGTCCCCTCGACTGAGCATGGAAAGACCGCCGGATGGGCAGCAGCCCGCCTCCCGGCCTCATTTGTCGGCGGAAGAGGCTGCGGCCAGGCAGGCTAGCGCCGAGGTTGCCGAGGCGCAACGCCTCAGCAGGGCAGAGCATAACAATGTCGTCGAGACGCTTGCGGGCATGTTTCCCGACCTCGACAGGGATATTATCTCCGACGTGGTGTATCAGAAGCAGGGGAGAGTTGGACAGGCCGTCGATGCCTGTTTGGCCCTGTCTAACTGAGCGCACTGTACATCGGAATCAATAAACATCATTTTTGCTAACGACCAAGGTAGTTCCACTGGATTCCATGACCTGATAGCGCTCGATGTTACTTGGCGTACTACCCATTTGCCACTTCGTCCTGTTGCGCCACCGCCACAACAGCCGTGGCTGGTCGAGGTCGAGTTAGTGTCGATTGGCCGAAATTCCCAGTTCGTTGAGGTCGGCCATCTGCGGACCGCATCGAACAACGGAGAAGAAAGCGAGAAACGTTCCCATGCATGAGTTCCATGTGCTGCAATTAACGCCTCTTGCCCTTCTTGATAATATGCCCCATTAGATACCTAGCAACGTAAACCGGTTCTTCCCAAATGGAGCAAATGTCGCCGCCTACCGTGCGTATCACAAAAGCGTATGTCTCGAGGTCGGAACATAACGAGCTGTAGGCTCAGCCTCCAGACTAATTCAGCCAGCCCACCTGAAACCTCAACAAAGTTTTATTCAATTTCCTTTCCTATTTTTTCTGTCGGGTGAATTGGTTCACCAGATACAGGCAGGCTTGTTTACACTCGCGTGTATCCTCACTGTTTCGTTCCAATGTTGCCTTCTAAGCAAATATCACCAGACTTCCTCACGGCGCTTGGCACTCTCTGATTTCTAGGACTGAGGCATAAATGTTTTTCCGTCAACAGTCATGTTGATTTATTTGCCAAAGCGACGGGACTGACAAGAGGCGAGCTTTTTGTTCTCGACAATTCTAACGCAATAGCAAGACCCTTTTGAAAAAGAAACACAAAGAAAAGGGAAAAAAACTAGACAAAACTATATATATCTGATTTAATTTTAGCCATGCAATTAAAACTAGATGTTGCGATGTTGACCATCGCCTGGATATCGGCGGTATGGATTAACGCCAATCGGCCGGAATAACTACGGCCAATTTGCTGTGGATCCACCAGATCCACAGGGATATTACGCAGTGGATTTGCTGTGTAATCCCACAATAGTTTCCTTTCCTTTACGTATAATTTAGAACCAGTATTTACCCCTATTATTTATCACTTACCTATTAATACGTATAGTTAACTATATTACTACCTTAGTAAAACTAACACTAATTAGTAGTTAACTTTATAGTAACTACTACTATAAGCTACTATAGATTAGTAAGGTAATATAAGAAGAGGTAAATTTTCTATTAATTATTTATAGTAGCCTTAATTAGTTACTAAGAATCCTATTTATAAATACCCTTATAGTAAGATTACGTTATATACCTATTATAGGTTAATTTATATTACTTAGTAGTTATATCCCCTTAATATAGTAAGAGTAGTATAAATTTATATTATTTATATAAGTAAATTAACTTTATTACTATATAAAAAGTCCCTTATCTAACTATAAAAAACACCTTACTTTATATACTAACTTACTATTAATTAGTAATTATTTACTTTTTACTTTCCTTTTATTATAAGCCTATAAAGCTTACTAACTTTCTTTTTTTTATATACTTTTTCTTTTCTTTAAATTATTTTATATTACTAATATAACAGCCTTTATTACCTATAAGCTTACTATAAGCCTTCCCTTTTTAAGTTTTTATTTAACCTTAAGTCTTTATAATTATCTATACTACTAGTAGTAAATCCTCTAATAAATATATATACCTTTTAATAACAGTTAAGGGAAATACCTATAACTAAAAGGTAGTTAGGCTAATAGAAAGTAATTATAAGTAAGTAACTAAGATAAGTAAGTATAAAAAGATAATAAGTAATATATAAGAAGGTAAATTAACTAAGTAACTTATAATAATTTATAATAAGTATATAATACTATATAACGCTATAAGGCTAGTAGCTATAATAAGTAACCTATACCTTATACTAAGTAACTTTAGGAAGTATGTTATTCTTAATCTTTAAGGGAGAGATTATATTATAAATATACTAAAGGATCTTACTAAGGCTAAGTAGTATAATAGCTTTACTACTATAGCTATATATTATATTACTAAGTATAAGGTAAATAACTATTTATATAGTATCTTTTAGGCTAAAGTATAAGTTAACTTTAAAGATTAAGAAACTAAGGATTTTACCCTCTTACTATATAAAATACTTAAGAAGCTATATAAGTGTGTTATAAGCTATAAAGTATAAATTAATTAGTTAAAAAACTTTATAATTATAGTACGCTTTTACTAAGCTATTTAAGATAATAAAACTATTATTTAAGATAAAAAGATAATTAATATTACTATATAAAAAGTTAGGGGATTTAAAAAGCACTTAGTAGATAATAATTTTTATAAAGAGATTACTAATATAGTAGTGTTACTAATTAAGGCTATTACTATAGTAAAAGCAGCTAAATAAGCTATAGCTAGAGAGTTAAAGAAAAATACAAAATATAATATAATATAAAAATATAATATAAATATAATATAATATAATATAAATATAATATATATATTTATATTATATTATATTAAGAAAAGAATATATTTTTATATTATATTATATTATATTTTATATTATATTCTATATTTAATATAATAATATAAGATATAAAATAAATATTAGTATTTTATAGTATAATTATACTTATAGGACTTTATTATACTTAGTAATACTATATATTCTAATTATAAATACTATAAAATATATATATAACTATTTAATAAGAAATAAGTAAAGATTATTAGTATTATTAAATATAAAACTAATAAACTCTATTTAAGTACTTTTATTCAGGTATTATATAACTATTTAATCTATATATAATTTAAATATTTTATATAGTAAAGCTTTACTTTAAACTATATAAGTAAGATAAGATTAGTATTTAAGTAATAATAAACTTCTTATTATATATTAAGATCTTTTTTAATTAATAAAGACTATTTAAGTATATTTAGCTAATAATAACTTAATATAAATATATATAACTTAGTACTTAAATTCTTTTTAAATTCTAAAGTTTCTAATTATGTTTTTTCTTTATACTACTGATTTCTTATTTTAAAAAAAAGTATTTAAATCTTATATTTAAGAGATTATTATATATATTAACTTATTAAGAGTATTAAATATACTATCTAGATTATCTAAACTACTAGATTCTTACTATTTCTTTATAAGTATTAATCTTTTTCTAGTAGTATTAAACAAATTAGTTCTTCTTTTAGTATTAATATTACTAAATTAATTAAAGCTACTTTTTACTATAATAAGAGTAGAAGGTATAGCTAAGTATTAACTAGCTAATATAAATAATATAAGTAATTTCTTTATATTACTATTTTACTAGTCTATAGAATTTATATATATAATAGTTAGTAAGTATTATATTATATTCTATATATTAAAGTAGTAGTTTTATAATATCTTAGAGATTAAGTATTATAGTATTTAAAGTATTATATAGTATAATATATATAGAGAAGTATAAAGAAATATATAAAATATATCTTATATTATTAAGGTTAAGCTTAATAGAAAATAAGACTAAAATGTTTACTTTTAAATTACTCTTTTATTTAAGTAAGTAAACTACTAGCCCTACTAATTACCTAACTAGGTAACCTTTTATATTTATAAGACTTATAAGATTTAAAAACTTTCTAATTTCTTTCTTTTTATATATTATATAATATATTATATATATTATTCTATTAATATTATTTTATATTATAATATATAGTAGTATTAAAAGTAGTTACCTAATATATATAAGCTCTATACTTAAGATATTATAACCTTTTATCTTATTATAGTATTTAATATATATTTAATCTATAATTATTTAATTTTTACTTTATATTTATACTTATTAAGAACTCTTTTTTTATATCATACTTTATAGTTATAATCTATACTTATATTATCTTTATTTTCTATAACTAGAATATGTTTATTATATATATTATATCTTATAGCTATATAGTATATATTAGTTTCTATTAAGGTATAATTATACTTTAAAACTTTATAAACTATATAGTTTATTCTTATTATAAACCTTATTTTACTTTTATTATTTATAAATATTAAATATACTTTATACAGCTAGTAACTACTTACTAATTACTATATATATAGCTTATAGTTATTTTAGTTTACTAAGTTCTTAATCTTTACTAACTTAACCTCTATTTAAGTCTTATTAGTTATTACTATACTATATTTAACTTATTATTATATAACTTACTTTATTACTTTAGACTATAAGTATAATATTTAAATACTTTATTATTTCTAACCTAGTAGTATATACTTTATCTAATAAAACTTATTTCTATAAAAGTAAGTATTTACTTTACTAATATATTAATATTATTTTAATCTCTACTTTTTAATAGTATTAATATATAACTACTAATTTTATATTATATTAATTACTTATAAATAATATGTTTTTAAATAGATTTTACTATATCTTTAAGTCTACTTTAGTATAAGAACTACTTAGACCTAAAAGAAAAAGTTAACTATTATAATACTATAGATACTATAATTAATACTACTACTAATCCTAATATTATAGATTTGGTTAACTTAATAAAAGAATTAAATAGTTCTATTTCTTTTATATATCTTAGTGTTAGTTTTACTAGGGTGGTGATACAGTTAACTGTATGTATTAATAGGTAAGTAATAAAATAATAGGGGTAAATACTAGTTCTACCATTTACGTAAAGAAGGAAAACTATTATAGGATTACGTAGTAAAT